GAAAGTCAATAAGGGGCTGCGCAGTGGTGCAGTTGGAAGGTCCTGGGTTCGATTCCCGGCCCGGGTCTTTCTGCATGGAGTATGCATGTTCTCCCTGTGCATGCGTGGGTTCTCTCCGGGTTCTCCGGCTTCCTCCCAGAACGTTAGCTGGAGATGGGCACCAGCACCTCCCGACCCCACTAGGGGTCACAAGGATGTTAGAAAATGGATGGATGGATGAAACTCAAATAAAAAAACAGAAATAACACAAATAGTAGCTGAGAAGTTGTGAAATTTCTCCCTTTGTCTCGTTATTCTGGCTCGATCAAGTCATTTTCTGCCAGCGAGTCAGAGGAGAAAATATGAGTTTGTTGTCTGAAAAAGCAAACGTAGGAGTTTTTTTTTTCTTCAACATCCTAAATTTCTGTGGGTGTAATATGAAGGTGGCATGAATTAATGAGTCTCCCAGGGAAGATACTTCCTTGTTGAGGCGTTTAGTGGCTCTATGAGCTCACACTTCCTCTTCCCCTTTGAACGTGACACCTTCCTTTTTCTGGCTTTGAGTTACAAATGTTTTAAAATTGCATAATGTCCAAACATGCGCATGTCTGCCTGAATCGGAGGAAGTATGCAGGAAGTTGTGGATCTCCAATGAGTAGGAGGAATGTTTTAGGAAAGCACAGCTTCCTTCTTGTGCTGGCATGTTGTTTATTCATTCATCAAATATTTTGATTTAAAAAGAAAAAGGGAGTTCCACAGCCCAGGTAAATTCAAACATTTCCTTTGTGAGTAAATATTTTTCCTCATCATCTAAAAAAGCACAGAGATTTTTTTTTCATTATAAAATATTTTATTTGTCATAAAAACTCATCAAATAAGCACCAAAACAAGCCAAATTGGGTTTCACAGATAACAAATAAATAAAATAAATAGAATGTGAATAAATACATCAGACAACAATTCCATAGGAAATACAATCTTCCATGCAAACCATGGAGGAACAGAAGTGAAAACACTGTTCTAGTCTGATTACCAGGATCAGTGTGATCATACAATCAGCAGCTGCAAACACTGACGTGCTCCAGCTTAGGAGCATCTGTGAGCGGATCCCTCTGAGTGCTGAGCCGGATCCCCTGCAGCAAACACCCTGGCGGTCAGGATGGAGAAGGAGAACAGCCTCTCCAGGGTGTATTGGCACACATACGCCTCTTTCCAGTGCTCAACGCGCTGGTGCTCGGCTTTCCTCTCAGGATGCTCCTTTTGGAGACACAAAACAATCAGACATACGTCGATATTTCTCCCATCTGGCCCCCGCAGCATCACAGGTTGTGGATGAAGCTTACCTTCTCATGCTTCCCTCCCAGCGACCTCACGCATTTCCCCATGTCTCTGTGCAGCTTCTTCAGCGCTGGAGTCACGATGCTGGTGAGCTCAGAGCAGCTTTCAAATGCAGAAATCCTCTCCACTGCAGAGGCATAGCTGTCCAGGACTCCGAAGATCGTCTCAACGCAAGGCTGAGAGAAACAGCGCGAAAATGCATCCTGTTATTATAGCCTAATGGTTCCCATCATAGCTGTGTTGTTTCTCCCTCTTTTGAGTACTTAATTAGTAATATTTAAATTACCGTAGACTTTTGCTTGAGGCTCGCAGGGTCGCACATGTCCTTCGACTCAAGCCAGGCGATGGAGTTGGAGTAACGTGCAAAATCAGTCGAGCCGTTTCGTGCCTGCAGAAGAGACACGCAATTAATAAATAGGAACAAATGCAAAAATCTCAGGAAAAATATTCAGAAGCATTAAAAAAAATAGGCTTTAATTCGTTAATTATTGATTTCAAGTTAAACAACAGTTATTTAAAGGAGCACTGACCTTCACTGAAGCGACTCTGGCATGTTGGTTCAGATCCTGGGAGCTTCTCCTGACTTCAGCGCAGGAGTCCAGATGCCCAGCAGGAGCTGCTGATGCTGCGATGAGAAACAGGAAAAGACCAGCGAGCGAGGCGAGGCAGCAAGACATGCTCAAGTTATAGTTTTCCCCCTGGCAGCAAGTGAAATGTTTGTTTTGGTGTCTGCTGAATGTGTTTGAATTTCATGTTTAAGTTGGCCCTCTTATACTGCTGGCCACTCCTCCGCAGTGGCCAGCCAGAGGTGTGGCCAGGCTGCTGGATTTTCCTCAGGTGAGTTAAACAAGAACACTGAGCGGCTCTGGTGGTAATAAAACTGGTTCATTTACAAATAAAGGTGAAAAAAAAATCCCCCCGACTTTTTAAAACTGAAGATGTGTCAGAGTCAATAAAACCATAAAAGAGAAATATTATCTATCTATCTATCTATCTATCTATCTATCTATCTATCTATCTATCTATCTATCTATCTATCTATCTATCTATCTATCTATCTATCTATCTATCTATCTATCTATCTATCTATCTATCTATCTATCTATCTATCTATCTATCTATCTATCTATCTATCTATCTATCTATCTATCTATCTATCTATCTATCTATCTATCTATCTATCTATCTATCTATCTATCTATCTATCTATCTATCTATCTATCTATCTATCTATCTATCTATCTATCTATCTAGTAAAAACTCTTCTCAAGTTCTGAGTAAATGATAAAAACATCAATTTATCATTTACTCAGATAAATGTGTAAATGATAACTCATTTATCATTTAAATGAGCCAAAATTTCAGCATTTCAAAGATCAAAATGAGAATAATTAATGTAAATAAAAATAACGATCAGACAAAAGAAACATTTCATTTCAAATCCTTCAACTTTAACATGAATTTCTGTGTTTGATGAATTTCTGGTTAGAAGAGGCTGAAGTCACTCACAGAGTATCATTCAAGTCAAAGAAGCGATACTTCAAAATAAAATTACTCAAGTAAAAGTGAAAAGGTAAATGTTTTCCAAAAAAGTTGCTGAAGTAAATGTATGTATGTCTCACTAATGAACTTCATTAATAAAAGCAGTTATCTCATCAGAGGAAGTGAGAATAACCTTTGGTTACCTTTTCAGATCATAACGAGCCGTGGATTTCTTTATCCACAAAGAAACTTCCCAGCTCTGCCCTCTTCTCTTCCACAGAAAACGTGTTGTTTTCTTTCTGCTGAGAAAGTGGATGATGAGGAAAGGAATCACACTTCCTTCATTTTTCCCGTGTGTGTGATGACGATGACTGGTGATGATCTGATCTGACTAATTAAGTGGACAAGTTCACTAAAAGTGTATGGGGGAAGACCTTATATGTCATCTGTTTGTTTGTTTGAAATCCTGTAATAGGTACAGAGGTTTCAGTGGTTTCGAACTTCTTTCAAGTCAAAAGACCAATGAATTATTTCATGAAGTTAAAAGAAAATTACAGCGCAGGTGGAATATATTGTTTTCCTGGGAAAATTTTTTAGTTCTTGTCCATTTTGCAAAGGGACAAAAATCTAGATCTTTAATTCCCTCTGCGGTCTGTATTTAAACCAAAAGTGACAAAAATGTGTTCAATAACAAAATATTTATAGATCAAAATGATCTGATAACATTTTTGTATATTAAATATAATATTACTAATGGAAACCTTTCATTGTGAAGAGGTTTTACTCCGATTTGCCTCATTTTAGATTGAATTATTTTTAACCCAATATTTATTCTTGTTCTTTTTATTTGCTTGAGTAATAAAACTAAACCAATGTGCAAATAAACAGGGAGCTCCGGTGTCTAAAATTAGCTGTAGATAAACATGTGTAGCAATCATTGGAGCATTGTTTGATTAATAATCGTCCTGACATCCAGGGAGGGTCAAACCTAGAGCCGCAGGAAATGGAAGTCTGGGATGATAATAATAATAGTAATAATAATAATAACAATAATAATAATAATAAACCTAATAATAAAAACTCAGATAATTGATCTGACTAATGTTTCAGAATTGAATAACATAGAGCATGGAAGAGAAATATAAATAGTATAACATCAGTTCATGATTTCCAACAAGTTGCTGTTTGAAGCTTTAAGACATTTGTGACGTCATTGCCACCATAAATTACGTCATAAACCGCCACCGATTGTGTGAGATTAAATTTCCTCATCATATTACTTTTCCACAAAGATGCTTGTGTGTTACCAACACCTGCCTGGCACCTGGTGTTTTTATTCGACCTAAGTAAACAAACCTTTCTGATACGGCTATAACGATTGCTCAGAAATGACCTGTGTACGTCTTATAAAAAAATAAAAATAAAAAACACACAAATGTGTGTTTTCTTTTGTGGCAGTGATCATTTTAGCTCTTACACATAGCCTACTCAGAGCTCAAATAGTGAAGGGGAAAAAATGTAATTAAAAAAGTAACTTTTAATGAACACTGCGATGATCAATCCAGAGATAAAAATAGAGAGATTAATCTGTCACCATTCTTCACTCTTCACTCAATCCATTAAATCTATTAAAATAGATTTTAAATCACTGTGAATCAGAGTTTGAAGACATTTATGTTGTAATTTTTACTTAGTTTTTATAATTTTATTGATTGATATATTTTTCTTTACTTTTTTTCAATTATATTGTAAGGAAATATAATAGGATTAAGTAAATATTTGTTCATTTAATATGAACAAATGTATAATATGAACAATATGTATAAATGTGTAAAATGTGTTTGTTTGTTTCTTTTGTTTTCCTTTCCTATTTTTCTTTATTTCTTCCTTTCTTCCTCTATATTATTATTATTATTATTATTATTATTATTATTATTATTATTATTATTATTGTAGTATGTATGTATGTATGTATGTATGTATGTATGTATGTATGTATGTATGTATGTATGTATGTATGTATGTATGTATGTATGTATGTATGTATGTATGTATGTATGTATGTATGTATGTATACATGTAGTTTCCTCCTGTCCTCCCTAACGTCTCTCCTTCCAGTCCAGTAGGTGGCGGTAATCCCGTTAACATCTCCCTGCCGTTCTGGAACAGGATGAACCGGAAGTTCTGCTGCTCTTGAACGCATCGCGGTTTGCTCCGGAAACGTTTCCGTGTTATTGTTGTTATGAGCAGTTAGCATGGGCAGCTACATGTCAAGAAGTTTCAATAAAAGGTTCGTAAAGGCTTTGTATTTGTATTTTTATGGATTTTATTTTAAAGATTCTTCCTAAGCATATTCGTAGTAAAGTTGTTTTTGGTCTAAATAATCTAATTTTTGCGCAACTGAATGCAAACCGATACTAATTTCAGTCCAACCAGCCATCCGCTAACTTTGCAGTTTTATTAATTAAGCGGCTTTTAGATTGATACATAATGTCTATTAGCTGTGGGCGGTGAAAGCCAAAGTCAAATTCCGTCTTTGAAAACACAATCTTCTCAAACTAGGGGGATTCTGATAATTTCTTTTTTAGATACTGGTGTATATAAAAGTTAAACTATAACCTGAAGGAGCAAAACTGCGTACAAATTCCTTAAATTTCAGCTTTTAGTAAGTAAAGATGTTGTTTGTGGGGCTGCACAGTGACACATGGTAGCACTGTTGTCTTTTGGAGCCCCTAAAACCTTAATATATCTATATAACAATAAAATACTTATAAAACAGTTACCAACCATTGAGCTTGTGTATTTTTAATATTGAAGAAAAAAAAATTGCAATGTTTGTATCCAATTAATCAATTAACCGTAAGAATAGTCAATTAATCGATGACAAAAGTAATTGTTAGTTGATAGATTTGTGAGTACATATTGACAAATGTGCTTAAGTCAAGCTTTGATTCTCCTTACAGGCTCCCGTAGCTCCTCCCATGATGAACTTTGAGGGTTTGGACCCTGGGATGGGTGACTACCCAGCCAGCCTTCATGGGACTCTGGAGGCCGGGTTGGAGCCTGCCATGGACCCGCACCTCAACCCGAGCTTGCTGCAGGGCGTGGAGCTGGACCCGGAGGGGCTGGCTGTGTCGGTCCCTGAGCCAGTGCACCTGATGGAGGGCGTGTTCTCTGAGCTCCACAGCGTAGTCTCAGAAGTTGGCATCCCGGTCACCGCAACTCATTTTGATCTCCAAGAGGAGATGCTCTGGATGGGAAACCATAGAGTGAGATCCTGAAGTACCTACTGCTTATTTTTATTACATTTATTATGTTTAATCGTCTTTCTTAATTTCTTCTCCACAGGGCCATGTCACGTCGTATTTTGGGCCAACAATGGGCCGCCATTCATCTTTCCAAGTCCATGCCACAGATGACATCCGACACATTCAGAGCTTGGAGACGGGGGTGTTGTTCCTCTCTAAGAACAACCTAAAATGCTACACTAGAGGAGGTCTTGTTATGTTCGATTACCCGTAAGTGACACAATAAATGTTTATTATACTGACAATAATACTTACTACAAACAGCTTGAGCTTTTCCTGTTTTTTCCATGCACCAACCACACACTTCAATGCTTTTTATTGGGATTTTATTTGATAGATTGTTTTTTATTATTGCTTATTTCTTTATTAAAGGATTCTCATTAGTCTCTACTACAGTAGAGACTATTTTTCCTGCAGTCCATACCACAAACATTACAAAAAAGATATACCTTAAAACACAAACAAAATAAAACACAAAATTAAAATCAACCGCCTCAATAACCTTAACATTTTACAAGCAGTGTAAAAGGAGATCATGAAATACTTTAAAACACACAAACAAAATTAAAACACAACTTTTCTAAGATAGTTAAAAATAATTCATTTTGAGTATAAAATTCAACCGTTACAGCAATTCAATATTATTTCATTATGTGTTGTAGATTTTAAGGTTCTTTTTAAAATGTACATGATTAATTACTAATCAGTTCAAATATTGCATCCAAGTAATTAGGATTGCAGCTGAATTTGCCACCATGTTGTGATTGAATACGACATGTTGCAGTGAAGTTTTTAAAATGAGCTGGCATGTTTTTCAGGATGGAGGAAGGAGCTGATATGCATAGTCTCCTGATGACGGATAACAACACTCTGCTCATGGGGGGATTACAGAACTATGTTGTGGAAGTTGATCTGAACACAGTTCAAGAAACTCAAAAGGTTGAAGCATTTTATGGAACTCATAATTAACTGCGAGAGAAGTTTGAACTCATTTTATTGTCTATGTACTGTTTGTGTTTATTAGTTCACAGTTGAGATACCTGGAGTTGCAATAATGCGTCAAACGAGTCGTTTCTTCTTCTGTGGCCACACATCTGGCAAGGTGAGGAATCCTCCAGGAGGCCGGTTTTTAAAAACATTAGAGCTGCAACTAACATTTATTTTAGGAAATTACTATTTTATTGACTATTCTGATGGTTAAATGATTAATTAAATAAGTAAATTGATATATTTTGACAATTTTTTATTGAAGCCTTTTTATTCAAAATTAGAAATGCATTAAAATATGCAAATAAACAAAAAAATTCAATACATTTTTAAGTAAGAAAATATACATTTCATTGTCTAAAATGCAATAACAGCATTACTCTAGTGAACAACGCTTGATCAAATACAACAAAGTTAAAAATATACTTCCAACATTAACATGTGGAAGTGTTGTATTTCACTTAACATCAATGCAGTGCATGGCTGATCTGTTGATTATCTTTTAGACTAACTGATTAATAATTATATATCAAATGGTGCTTAATAGGAAATTCTTCTGAGAATTTGAACCAGGCGAAGCAAAAATGTTGTCACTTGAGGAATTATGGGAAAAAAAATATTCACAAATATTCACAAACAAAAGAATGTAAAAATCTTGAATGTAAAATATATACTTATATAACTTTTACTGTTCTGGCTTAATTTCTAAGTGTGTTGTTCTGTATATGCCAGATAATGATTAATTGATTACTGAATTAGGTGACTATTATCTAAATAATTTGATTAATTGTTTCATCCCTAAAAAGGATGCTTTGGTGCATTTTTGTTTCTTACATTTGCAAACTTCTTGCCACAGGTCACCCTTCGCGATCTTCGCACCTTTAAGACAGAGAATGAGTTTGACGCATTTTCCGGCAGCCTGTCGGACTTTGACGTTCACGGAAACCTCCTGGCTGCGTGCGGCTTCTCCAGCCGAGGCCTGAACGGGTTGGCCTGCGACCGTTTCTTGATGGTCTACGACCTCCGCATGATGCGAGCTGTTACTCCGCTTCAGGTCCACGTGGATCCCCTCTTCCTGCGCTTCATTCCCACCTACACATCCCGCCTGGTCATCATCTCACAGACAGGTATTCCACCCACAAACTGAAGCTGTTGTTAAACTCCTTCATCCGTTTTCCAGGGTTTGTACAGGTCCTTGAAATCCTTGGAAATGCTTGAATTCCAATGAGGTGTTTTCAATGTTTGGAATGAGCTTGATTTCTGAAGAAAGTCCTTAAAAGTGCTTGAGATTCAAACTACACAGTTTGAATGTAATTGATTAAAAGAATAAAATTAAAAAACATTTATTTTCATACAGGGAATGAAAGACAAGTTTTATCTTCATTTTTGAATTTAAATTAGAGTATATTTTTCTTAGTTACAATGACCAAAATCATTTCAATTAAATAATAATTATTATAATGAATCATAAAAATTATAAATTATAATTAATGTAATCATATCTAAAATTGTAATTTATTATTATTAGTAGTAATAATAATAATAAAAACTATTTAGAATTTATTTATTATTTAGAAATTGCTAAATGCCTCAAAACACAGTCAGGACATTTTTTATAACATTTTTTGTTGTGTTTATATATTTAATTTGTTTAGATTGTTTCACTGTAACAATATTCATAATTTCTTCATGTCTTAATGATATGTGTAATTGAATTGAAGGTTGGCTTATCTTATAAATTATGGAAATGGCTTGATTTTTTTAATTTTTCTTAAATTGTTGTTCACGTTTCACCTCTTGTAGAATGTAAAATATTCCCACAAAACAGAATTTAAATGTCATAGAATATTGCATTAAACTGTAATTTTTAATTCATTTACATAGTTTTAATCTCCAGTCTGGTGCTGGAAAAGTTTGAAACTCACCTTCAAAATTCTTGAAAACTTCTTGAATTTCATTGCGGCAAAAGTTTATTTTGATCGTCCAGCCGTCCTGTTGAGTGTTCAAGTTGTCCACTTACTGATTCTTTCTCCAGGTCAGTGTCAGTTCTGTGAGCCCACTGGTCTCGCCAACGTGGCGGACATTTTCCACGTCAACACTGTCGGTCAGCTGCTCATGAGCTTCGACGTTTCGTCGAGCAAACAAGCCTTGGCCTTTGGGGACTCGGGTGGGTGTGTGCACCTGTGGTCTGACGTCCCAGAGGTCTCCTTCAATGACTACTCCCGGGAAACAGACTTTCCTCTGCCTTGTCTGGTGGACACGCTGCCTCAGCTGGACTGGAATCATGACCTCCTGCCCCTTTCTCTCATCCCAATGCCGCTAACCAGCACCGAACCGCTGCTGTCAGACTGGCCAACTCCTCTATCTACACCACGTCCCAGGTAAGATCTGATCACAGGCAACAGCTGCTGTCGCATTTCCACTAAGATCTGAGATTTAAGGTTTGCAGATGAAATCAGCTGAAATGTGTGTCTCACTGCAAAAATATTAAATCTTACCAAGTATGTTTGTTTCTAGTGTATTTTAGTATGCTTGAAATAAAACTTAAAAGTAACTTTTCAGCCATATTGATTAAAAAGTACTAATTTCAGTGGCAGATTATTTCACATTTCAAATTCAACATTCACAAAGTCTTTCTCAAGATGTGCAACAGGAACCAAGGAAACTGGGGCATTGTGCCACAGAAACCAAAGGGAAGTGGGAAAGAACTAGCAGAAATCACAAGCAGATTGTGTTTTTTTTATTATTTACTGGTCAGCTGAATATTAAGAAAAATGTAACATTATCAGTTTTACATGTTTGTGAAATCATACAAAGGAACCAAAACAAAAACTGTAACTGGATCCTGACTTCATAATATTACGTAAATGTGGAACTGATGCTTGAGTTTTATTGTTATGTTGCAAGTGGCATTGTTTACAGTTTATCTTTCAATTTTACATAAACAAAAAGGAGGAACAACACAGATTTGGGGGGGAAATGGCTGAGATTTTAGCAACGGTGTGCGTAATGCAGACGTCATAACGGTGGTTTTAGTCATGGTAAAACATCTGAAAACACGTTTCTCTCCACAGACGAGCTCCTCTGGTCGACCCAGAAATCCTGCGCACCATGAAAACCGTTGGTTTCATCGGTTATGCACCAAATCCTCGTACACGCCCTCGAAACCAGGCAGGAGAAAATTACCTTCAATTCTCCTCTCGAGTTCAAAATTATTCCTGTTTTATTAGGTTTCTATTTGATGGAATCAGCAGTGACACAAATTTTAACAACTCTAAGAAATCCCTAATAAATAAGTAAAAGAATAAAATGTATACTGCACTTTTTAAAATTAATTGCCGCATTTAGAAACTTCTAATTAATAATCCACGACTTAAATTTAAAAACAAAAATGAAAATATTTAGTCTATTTTTTGGCACTAAAACCTGTATTTGTCTTTTCCAAATTAAATAAAATAATCAAAGTAGTAAGAGGCACATCAGTGTTTATCAAGGCTTTCTACACTAGTGCATAAAACAATATAATTTATTTAAAGGAATTTTAATTTGTTTACCAGGATTAAAGATTATTAGGCGTCCCAACAAGTGTAAATAAATAAATCAGGACTGCAGGTAACAATTATTTTAGTAATCAATTATTCTATCAATTAATTAATTTATTAATTAGTTAATTGGCCTTCACCACCATTTAAAATAAAAGAAAAATAGTAATAATTTTTAATTTTGGGGAAATTGCTGCAATTGAAATTAAGTATGTTTTAGCTTCTGTATTTATAGTCATATTATGTTTTTACTGCCAGTTTTATTATTGTATTGTTTTTTTAAATCAAGCTTGATTTTATTTCTTATTTTATGTTTGATCTATAAAGTTGCGTTTATTGTGAAGGTGAAATCAATATTTATATGGTATTTTTACATAGCACTTTTAAAAATTTATGTGCTACATAAGTAAACTTTGACTTCACTAATCAGACAAAAAATTGGCAAATTTTTTCAGATTTTATGTTTAACTACTTAGATCCTGTTTTTTATTTTATTAGAAATACATTAAAAGATACAAATGAACAAAATTAATTTCCTTTTAAAAGAAAAAAATAAATATTTTGTTGCCTAAATTGCAATGAAATATAATCGATTTCTAAATTAGCTGACAGTTACTTCAACAATTGAAGATTATACATGAACATTCGGCTGTTGTTTTAATATTTTGTTTTAATATTTTTGTAATGTAACGTGTCGATTTCAGGTTCCGTATAAGATTAAAGACGTGGAGCTCGATTACGACAACTACAACCAGGTTCCGGAGTCGCCCATCGGACGTGATGAAGAGCCGCACCTCTGCATGGTGCCCAAGAAGTACAGGAAGGTGGGAGAAGCTGAACGAGTCTCTGTTCGTTTGGAGAAAACTTCTTCTCAACGTTTCTTATGCTCCAGGTCACCATCAAATACTCCAAACTGGGGCTGGAGGACTTTGACTTCAAACATTACAACAGAACTTTGTTTGCGGGTCTCGAGCCTCACATCCCCAACGCCTACTGCAACTGCATGATCCAGGTGAATGACTGTATGATTCCGGTCCAGGTTTTGTGTGGAGTCGTGGTTTTAACGCTGCTGCTGCTGCTGCTGCTGCTGCTCTTTGTTTTGGTGCTTTAGGTGTTGTATTTCCTGGAGCCGATCAGGTGTCTGGTGCAGAACCATTTGTGTCAGAAGGAGTTCTGTTTGGCCTGTGAGCTGGGTTTCCTCTTCCATATGCTGGATTTGTCACGAGGAGATCCGTGTCAGGTTCGTTTTTACTCAAGTCCCAAAGTTTAGGAAATGTCAGGCAGGAAAAGTATTTACAGTTCTGAATGAGTTAGAAAAAAGAAAATTAGTTTTTATTTCCAGATGTGGAAACTTCAGTTTAGTCCTCTTTCCATCATGTTTCCTTTCTTTTTTATTTTTGTTTTCTTCTCTCACTTCTGCCTTGTCCTTTATCTGCTCAGCTTGTTTTGTTTCCAACCTTCCTTTCTCCCTCATCCTTCCTTGTTGCCAGTCCATCCATCTTTTCTTCCTTCGATTGCATTTTTGCTTCCTTCTCATCCTTCATTACCCATTTCCTTTTCCGTCCACCCACCGATTCATCCTTCTTTCCTTTTATTTTTATTTCCTTATATCCTTCCTCCCTCATTTTTTTCCCCTCCCATGCATCCACCCTTCTGTTTTGTTTCCATCCTCTTTTGTTTCCTTGCCATCCTTCCGTCCTCACTTCCTTTCCCCTTTTATACATCCTTCATTGCTTTTTTGTTTCCTTATCATGCTTCCTTCTTCACTTTCTTTCCAGTTCCATCAATCCATCCTCCTTTGTTTCCTCATCATCCATTTATTTATCTTTCTTTCCTGTTTCTTTATCATCCTTCTTCCTTTTTTGTTTTCTTATTATACTTCCTTCCTCACTTCCTTTACGCTTCCATCCATCCTTCCTTTGTTACATTCCTTTTTTGTTTCCTTATGATCTTTCCTCTAGTTTTTGCTGAAGGTTATTTACTCTGACCACTGTAGGAGTATCTGCTCTAATTTCATTGTTCTATTTTATATTCAATGGACAAAAAAGTTTAACTTCAGTCTGAAAAACTTGTAAAATGTGTTGAAAATCTTTCCTTCAGTGACATTTATTAAAATAATCCCACTCTGCTGCCGCAGGTTTCCTAACCCTCCTTGTTTTCAGGCCAGTAACTTCCTCCGAGCGTTTCGCACCATCCCTGAAGCCTCGGCTCTCGGTCTCATCCTCGCCGACTCTGATGAGCAAACTGGGAAAGCCAAACTGGGACGCCTGATCCAGAGCTGGAATCGCTTCATCCTCACCCAGCTTCACCAGGAGACTCAGGAGCAGGAAGGCCCGCAGGCCTACCGGGGGGCCAGCAGCAGGTCAGAGGTCAATGTCTACCTCCAGGTGGTTCTGCTGTGATCCAAACAGGAAAAGAATAAATGTTTTTGTTTTTTAAGCTCTCTGGGCTCCTCCGCTGAGTCGGCCATCGGGAAGCTGTTTGGCTGTGAGGTGGAGAACAGCAGCCTGTGCCGCTGTGGGAAGGAAACGGTGCGAACCTCGCTCACCCTGCTCTTCACCATGCATTACCCAGAGCAGAACTCCCAGGGTGAGTTTCCCACATCCATCAGCATCAGCCAGGGACACAAGTTATCAACGAGTTCATTGACCGTATCTAACAATTAATTGATGAGCGGCCATTTTCTCGTGTATGACCATCTTTCCATAACCATAAATTTCTCATAATACACTGAATTAGACAAAAAATACATTTAAATTTTAGCACTAATTTGTGTGTGCTTTGTTAAATATTGGCTGAATAAACAGAAAATTTAGACATTTATATAAAACATAACAAAACAGCAACCTCTTAAGTTGCTGGATAGAAAAATAAAAGATGAAAAAGAACAAAATATGTGAAACACTAAATTCCGCATAAATAGAGAGATATTCCTAAAGAAATTCGGCTCTTTAAAGAACTCCAAGAAATGCATTTACTCATGACTAACGTTGGGTGGTAACTATTTACACTTATTAATGTTTAGGACGTTGTACTTTTTACTTTCAGTATGAAGTATTACTATTAATACTTGAGTAAAATTTCTGGATTCTCTTCACTCTGAGTAAATTTACTTTGTTCTAACCAACAATTCAGGAGACACACACCTGCGGTTTTTGTTGAAGCTTTATTATATCAAAAGAAATTAATTTGGAGAAATGTTTTTTATTTCACAATTGTTATGTAAATTATTTTAACTTAGATTTTTAAAAGACCAAAATTATCTAATTATATTTTAGTCCTTGTGATGCCATTTTTAATTATTGAATGGCCGTTTTACCCAATACTTTTTTACTCGTACCTCAGTGATTTCTTGCACCGCTTTTCTCACTGGACTGTTTTTGACCACTCTACCCACCTCAGCAAAAAGCAAATGATAAAACTAGTCATCATTTTTCTGCGCTGCGTCATCCGCTTACATTTTATCTCGCCTTCGTAGCGTTAGCACGTCAAAAACGTTTGTTTGAGTTCGGCTGAATGAGCGCCATTAAGTTGATCATTTATGGAGATTGTGTGTTTGCATTTCAAAACAGAATGACATAAAGTGCGTTTTGTGCATCAAACTCCGTTTGGCGCCATCTTTCGTCCTGCCTCTGCTTAAAATGACCAGCGGCGCCCTCTGGTGGACTTAAAGAAGGTCTAATCGGACGTCATTAGTTAATACATTGGAACTCGTTTCGACGTAATAAACTATTTATGGACAGTTAAGCTTAAATTGATTAATTTTTTGCATCCCTAGTGTCAGAATTTTTCTTTATGTAGCGAGAGCAGGCAAGGAGTCTTAATTTCATTGTGATTTTGTAGATAAAACAATAAAGGAGTATGACTTTGCTGAGATTCTGAAGAGAAGCATCTGTTTGGAGCAAAACACTCAAGCATGGTGTGAGAACTGTGAGAAGTACCAGCCCACAGTGAGTCAAATCTCAGTACATTAAATGAACTTGCGTTTATAGTCGACTCTGTGGCGTTACGATGTTTTTGTTCTGCTTTGCAGGTTCAAACACGCAACATAAGGTGTCTGCCGGATGTCCTGGTCATAAACTGTGAAGTAAACAGTGCTAAAGAGGCCGAGTTCTGGAAAGTTCAGGCAGAGGTGAACAAATCTTAGCTTGTTTTTCTTTGTGATTCATCAGGGAGTTTTATTTAAACTTACATAATGGGGATTTTTTTTGTTTACAGTGTGCGTACAATAAGGCCATGCAGAAACAGCCTGCAAAGCGGACTGAGCCGCCACCCATGCCTACAGAGTGGTGCTTAGAGTATGACACCTTTGGTTGCTCTTTTTGTTTTTCTCTTACAATAACTTACTGGAGGGAATGTTCAGACTTTATAACAGCAAAAACAAACCAAAAAGATAAATAAAATCATTTTTTAGCAAGTCTAATTGTAAACCTAGTTGAGCTGTTGCACCTGAAAACAAGATCCCAATTTAATTTAATTTCCCTTTGGGATCAATAAAGTATTTTTGACTTTGAATTGAATTGCAATAAAAGAGCTGTTAGCTGAAACAAGGTGAGTTATAGTAATGGTACATGAAGTGTATTGAAAAGAAAGTTTTAAAATGAAAACATCAACGTATCAGTTTGGTTTTAAAAATCTAAAAAAACAGCAAAAGAAATGGACTGAAACAGCCAAACTGCAAGAAATCAAATGCGATTCAGATCAAAAATACTAGAACTGGAACCAGCATTAACACCAAAACCAGAGGTTTGTAATCCACATTTACCGTTAGTCCAGCTTAGCCGCGAATATTAGATTAACTTTAAAAAACTTTAAATGTTTGATAAATTTGTTGTCATTTTTACAGAACCCCAATTTATTTTTATTTTTAGGTTTTTAAATTACAGGTAAACACAAAACCTTTGCAGAAAAGAAGAAGGGATGATGAAATTTATGGAACATGAACATTTTGTTGAACTTTATTAAAACATATTGTAATAAAAAACAAACAAAAAAAAAAGAGCAGTTGCAAAGTATATTTACCTGTTGAAAAGAGTAAATGACATAATTCCAACAAAAGTACATCTACAACAATATCTTTATTTTTATTGCCATTTGTCATAAAAATTCATTCATTGCTTAAATCAGCGTTTGTTTTATAGTTACCAGTTACTGCCTGGCTGCTAGCAAGGAGACTCAACTCTGTTTGGATCAGTTTGGATCAGTGTTTCACTCATTCTGGGTTCCCGTGTTTGCGCAGCGGGGAGGAGATCTGCAACACGGAGGGTTTCACCTTTGACACCTGGGCCGAGGATCTGCGGCACGTCTGGATCCCCGCCACCCTCAAGATGTCCATCAGCAAGAGCCAAGGGCTGGAGATCGTCAGCTGGTCCGAAGGAGACGAAGTGAGGGTAGAAACGATTTCTGGTGCGGCGTTCAGTTTTCTGTGGCGGCTCAAAGTCTTTATGACGTCTGTGGGCAGATCAGCGCTGCTGAGGAGGCGGACGGGGTTTCCCTGTACGACCTTGTGGTCACCGTGCCGCACATCCAGGACGCTCGCACCGGCGGAAACCTGGTCGCACACATCAAAGTGGGCGAGACGTACCATCAAAGAAAAGAGGTAAACTAAAACATAAAAAAAAGAAGTTACACAGTGCCTTTTAAAGATAAGCACACATATTTTAACAGAATATAATCAAAAACAGATGAGTTTTATTTGATTATGTGACAACTAACAATTATTTTAGTGACCAGTTATTCTGACAATTAATCAATGAGTCAAATAAGAAAATTAGCATAGTCTGCTATGCCACTTAACCACTTAAGCTTTTTTTATACAATATTAGGAATGCATTTAAACAATTTAATCAAGAATTTAAGACTTTTTAATACCATTATGAATGGCATTTAAGACCTTCATCATGAGAAAAAAGTACATACAAAATTAGACACACCAAAGCAAATTTAAGGCCAACTTACATATTTTGAAATGTATTTAAGGCATTTTAAGGCCTTAATTTTAGATATGTGCAATTAAAACTTTTTAAGGATGTCTTAATTTCTTTTTTAAATATTGCAAATTGTATTGCCTAAAATAAAAAAGACCAAATAAAAAAAAATTATGGAGTCCAATGAACAAAGAAAGAAACTAAAAAAAGAAAACGTTCTGGTTTTAAATGATGTTTGTATTTCAGGGAGTCACACACCAGCAGTGGTACCTCTTTAATGATTTTCTTATCGAACCCATTGATAAGGTAGGAACTTTACCACTTGTTTAGTTTGTTATGCATCTTGTTTGCTGTCACAGTAAATGTTCTGTGTTTTTGTCGACTAAAGACTGAAGCTGCTCAGTTTGACGTCAGCTGGAAAGTTCCAGCCATCCTCTACTACGCCAAGAGGAACTACCACTCCAGATACGACCTCCGCAGTAAGTCGACCGTCTGATCTGAGCAGTTATGTCGACCTTACAGTGGTTCAGATCCGATCACCGTTTGGTTTCCAGTCAAAAATCCCATCGATGCCAGCGTCCTGCTGACGGAGGCGTCGCTGGCTCGGAAACAGAGGAAGAGTCACGCCACCTTCATCCCCCTCATGGTCAGCGAGATGCCGCAGGCGGGAGACCTGGTGGGGCTGGACGCCGAGTTCGTTACGCTCAACCAGGTGGGATGGATGGACGGATGAACTTTTTAATCCTTTCGGCATAAAACTAAACATTATCCACTAATATTTTCTTCTTTAGAGAGAAATGCTAGAATATACCTTCATAAATGAACTGAAGGATCTGACTTTGTCTGCAGGAAGAGGCAGAGCTGCGGAGTGACGGCACCAAGTCCACCATCAAACCCAGTCAGATGTCTGTAGCCAGGATCACCTGTGTGAGGGGCCAGGGGCCCAATGAGGGGGTCCCTTTCATCGACGATTACATCTCCACTCAGGAGCAGGTGGACAACACCCTCATTCCTCCGTCTGCATGTATATGTTTCCTATTAGTGCGGCTGACAACTGAATATTTCAGCAAAATATTTTACAAGGAACTGCTATTTGGAAAAAAGTCAATATCAGCCAATGACAAATTCAAGATGGCCGCCATTCTCTTCAAGGAAAATTTATTCTAAATGGGCCAATATTTATCACTGTGTGGTGATGACATTTTTCAAAATGGCCACCATGGTTGTAATGGAGAATATATGTTAGCACTAAAATCGATAGTAGCTAATTTGGGCACAGCTAACCAAAAGAATTAGGTTCACCAACCACTAATCAGCTGATCATGAATCTTAGCTTTGCTAATGATAAGCTGATAAATTCAAAAACATTAGTGAAACCTAAAGCCAAATATTAGCAGATGCTAATGCTAACCCACTGAAGACATAATAATATGAGCGAAAGCTAATGCCACACTGCTAAACACATAAAAAATTAGCAGAAGCTAAAGCTAACTATTTAGGCGACTGTCTCACACATCTTAATCTACTTCCAGTTGATGACTAGTCTAAAACTTGCAACGTCCTCAGTTTTGGCGGCCATCTTGAGAAATGGCCTTCATCCTGAAATTCAAGTGGCTGATGGGGAAATATAAAAAAACAAATTTATGATCTGAGGAGTGAATATTTTTACTTTCATGCTTGTGTCTGCACTTTAAATATTTTTCCAGTAATGTGCAGGACTATGTTGCTTTGGTCTGGTCCATCACTGAAATAAAATATTAATATTTCTTGTCAATTACATGCATTGAAACTGAAAATTCCCATATTATTTGGTCTGTAAATGCATCAAATAAGCTGCTGAATTCAAAACTACTTCCTGCGTTAAGTGAACTGCAGCACATTTTGTTTTCTATGCTTGTTGCATTCAGTCGTAGAACAGAAAACACGGAGAAGCTAGTTTTAAGGTGTCGTCTTTTTCTTTAGGTGGTCGACTATTTGACGCAGTACTCCGGCATCAAACCAGGAGATCTGGATGCTAAAATTTCCTCCAAACATTTGACCACACTGAAGTCCACATACCTGAAGCTTCGCTTCCTCATCGACACCGGCGTCCGCTTCGTCGGCCATGGTTTGCAGAAAGACTTTCGGGTCATTAATCTCCTGGTAGGTTGAGGAATTTAATTATATCAAGATTCAGTAATGTAGTGTTAAAACCTTTTATTATGTAAACTCTGAATATTTGGTTGTCTTTCAGGTCCCCAAGGATCAAGTCATCGACACAGTCTATCTTTTCCATTTGCCCCGGAAGAGAATGATTTCTTTAAGATTCCTCGCTTGGTATTATTTAGGTGAGACGATGCAGCATTTACAAACGCCACAGAGCCGATGTGACAGACATAAACATTTAATCTGATACTAAATTATCCGACTGCCATGTTGAAAACTGCCTGAAGAAAATGGTTTCATGTTGGAGGGAAACAAAGATCTGTACTAAATTTAGTACTGTGATTATTTTCATATACTAACAACATTGTTGAATGTTTGGATTTCGATTTACACAGAGGTTGACACAGAATTAAAATTCAGCTTAAAGTCAAAATCTGAGGGAAAATAAAGTCGGAATTCTGAGATCAAAGTCTCTGAGAAAAAAGTGGAAAAAATCTGAATTCTAAGATTAAAATCAGAAACGTGAAATTAAATTCAAAATTCTTAGATCAAAAGATCAAAATCTGAAAAGTGGAAACTGATACATAAGTAAAACCTCTGAGATTAAAGTAAAAATTTTGAGATTAAATAGTCGAAATTTTGAGATTAAAAAGTCAAAATTTTGAGATTATGTCAGAATTGTGTGAAGAAAAACTGAATTATTTTCTTCAGAGTGGTTTATCCTCTTCTGCAGATAAGTGTGCTATATAACAGACCAAAAAATATTTTATTTTTCCAGTGAATTGCACCTGCTCCTCCATCTCAGCCACCGTCTATTCATTTCTGGAATATCCAAACTGGAAATGAATGATGGGAAAAATCTGGAATGCTGGAGTGGGAATTGTGAAAACCGGTCGTTCCAGATTGTTGTCTTTGTTGTGCCGCCAGATCTCAACATCCAGGGGGAAACCCACGACAGCATAGAGGACGCACGCACCGCCCTGCAGCTCTACAGGAAGTACCTGGAGCTCAGCCGCGGAGGTGGGAGCGACGAAGTAAGGAAGGTCCTGAAGGGACTCTACGAAAAAGGCCGCCAGCTGGACTGGAAAGTCCCGGATTCGGATACTGGAGACGGTAAAGGTAGAACAAAATGGTACCAGAGAGAGATGAGCAGCTTATAAAGAAAATTCTCTGAACTCAGTGTCTGCTACCTTCAAAAGGCGCTGCTGTGTTTCCCTCAGTGATGGGGCTGTGATCTGACCTCTGACCTTACTGCCACACTGGATCCGCTGCCACCAATCCACCAATCCTCGTTTTATACTTTTCTTTTTGCATTATGTTGAGCAATATTGAATGTTTGTACAGTTCATTTCAACTGGAGAAGCTTCATTATTGAATCAGTGACCAAACCGTTTCACTTGTTTTGTTTTGTACTTCAAAATAAAAGTGCTAAGTTAAATAATTGAATTCCTAGTAGTATTTTTTTCCATGTTTTTGTTTAGATTTTAGTGCAAATATCACTAGAAATAAGACAAAACTAACAACTCTTCAGCAAGATATATACGCTGAAGTCAATAATTCCTTAATATTGATTTTAAAAAGCACTAGATTATTTCACCTGTAGCAAGGTAAACATTTCTCCCAATAGTTAATTTTTTTCACATTTCCTAAAACTAATTTCATGACATTTAGTTTTAACAAATATGTAAAATAAAAACCAACAACTTTAAAGACCAAATTGTCAAAGAAAAAGAGGCAAAAATAAACTTTTAATAAATATTGTTTAAGCTTATAAACTAGAATTAGAAAGTATTTTTCCCAGCCAACTTCATTTACTCAGTGGAGACGCCTGACAGTTTGGTTGGGAAATCCTGATAAGGCAGGAAGTTGGCAGACTTGCTGCTCCACTTTCTAGTTCTGTACAACACCGCCATCTGCTGGCTGGATGTGGGATTGCTCGTCTTTCAGAACTTGAGCTTCTCCACTTTCTTTAGAGCAAACAAACTTATTTTGGGCCAGAAACACTTAATTTTTCTAGGCATTACAAAAAAGCTAATTTAAGATTCTGATGGCCCAGTTTTATGATGCCTTATTAGGGCTACGCTAAGAAAATGAGAATAAACTCAAACAGTATGAAAACAATAGGCCTAATAATGAGTTGAGAATAAATGAAGTCGTAATTATGACTCCTCTGGTACTGACTTTATTCTTGTATTATTTTGACCTGTAATATAAATATTCTCATAATGCTTTGACTATTTAATGAATCGTCTTTCTTTCTTTTTTTTAAGCTTTGCTCTCGTGAGATTTAAATTTACTAGTAGATTTGCGATGTAATCTAACAAATTGTAAGGTTACAAAAAAATGGCCTTTAAAAACAAGAACTGACTGATTTGAACTTTGACTTTATTCTGCATCTTTATTCACATGGTAAAAAAAAAAAAACAGTACAATCCCCCCCTTATATTCGATTTAATGTGTGCATTTTTACCTCTTAATAAATTAATCATTTGAGGTTTTTTTCCATACTTACAAAGGTCACCCTTGCTTGTTTTGTTTTGCCATTGTGTCAAATACAAAACTCCAGGATACACATTTGGTATTGCAAACAGTTTTATTTGTAGTAAATGAAAAATGTGCCATTCAGTGAGAGGGAGAGAGACGGGGCTGGACTGTCGGGGACGGTCGATGTCTTTGGTCCGTACTGTGGTGAAGGAGAAAATATCGGAGGGAGAGGAAGGGACAAGAAAAGGCACTTGAGTTTACAGTTGGAAGAATGAGCAAACCGGATGTTTCTGACTTCAAATATGCCTAGTATGAATATCACATACAAAATGCCCGGTGTGAGCACAGAATCATATAGCTACATACATGTATGTACAGGAAAGAATCAGAACGAAAGCAGGGTCGGAGGACGAAGCAAAAAAAAAAAGAAAATTAATTAAACTCATCCGCTGTAGATGTTTTTTCTTTTTTTGTCATATCTGTAGCAAAAACCCCAAATGTTTCTGCAGCCTGGAATGTAAAAACGCAACATGTGGAGGAGGGAGAGAATCCAGCGTTTCTCACATCAGAGGATTTGTGTTCGATGTGTCCTGCAGTTTGGGTCGGTACACAGTGCGGCCCGTTCTCAGGCAAAGAGCTGAGGAGGAGCGGGTGAGGAAGGTTGTAGCACTTGGTACAACTTCAGTAAATATGCATCTTATGTGATAAAAAAAAAAAAAAAGAAACCTGGATGAGTTTTTTTTTTTACTCCATGCAAAAAACAAAACTAAACAAAAAGTAGTACCTCCCTACTTTTGTGATAATTTTCATGATTTTTTTAGTCTGCTCAGAGTTGCAGGTAAAGCTGCATCAGCTCCGGCGGACAAATACAGTGAGTTTTAAGCTCTAAATCGAAACAATTTGAGCACAAACTGCAACATCTGAGCGTCAGAGGATCACATCCAGAACCCTCCAGTTAGCTACACTATCATAAGCTAACTGGCTGCTCACAATACCATCATATATGCTCTAAAATCTTATGAGAAAGCCAACAATCATTCTCCCCAAAATAACAAAAAAACTACTTTCAGTCAAGCCTAATCACCATTTATTCATCCCCATTTCTATTTTCTCCACAATAATCACTAATTCAACTCGTAAAGTACATAAGTTTTACCTTAAACTCCAAAAAACTAAAAAGTAAAATTAAGCTTAAAGATGAATTTTTCCCTTCCAGCTTGAAGGAAGACGACATGATAACAAGATGAAGCAATAAAGTAACACGACTGGTTTCCCACTACGGCTCTGCAGCTCGCTCTCTGTACATAACTACATCAACATAGATGGTGAGGAATCACCGTCTCTTAAGAAAACAGGTCGCGACAGGGAACGGCTATGAGGTATTCACCAGCGTTTTGTTCTCAAACTGGACACAAAGAGGGAAATTTAACCCTAAAAAGCTGCTTGAAGCAACTTCTTGGCAGATGCGGAAAGATGAAATCAAGACCCGCCCGATGCATTTAATCATCCAAGAACTTTACTTCTGCAGTCGGACGATAAGCAAATAAACAAAAATATGGATTCTGACGGAGACATCTGTGTTTGCAGAAAGGCAAATGTGAAGTCTGCGACTAAAGGCAAGCAGGACATTATTATGCCACTCATGTGGATAAAGAGAAAAACAGAATAAAGCAAGGAACTGGGCGTGCAGGAGAACATCCAGCTGAATAAATGCTCTGGTTTATGAAACAGCATGTGTACACCAAAGCCTCCTTCATTAATAGTTTACAAAAAGAAAGAAAGAAAAACCAAAAAAAGCTAATGAGCCCTCTCAGTCAGAAAACAATGCTTCAGGCGAAATTAACAGGAATAGTCTCAACTCCCTACAGACCTGGAGAGCAAACAGCCGTCCAGCAGAGAGAAAATGAGCGAGAACCTTTTTAATTTTTTTTTTTATATAAAAGTTAAACTTCTCCTTTTGTTTCCAAACATTGTTTCCCCTACAGTTCGTAGCAGCCGAACATGAAGCTCTGATTTACAGTTTGATATGTCTCGTTTCCACCCAGCGAAGACAGACGGCCGTCTGTAGTGTTGATTGCGTGTCGGAAAGCCCCGTCGAAGCTACAACCACTTCTTCACTTCCACAACACTTTGTTAACCCCCAAACAATGAAGGCATTGAAATGGTTCTTGGAGACGAAAAAACAAAGACAAAAAAAAAAAGAAACTTCAAATCAGAGAGCTGATGGCGTAAAAAAAAAAATAATTAGAGAAAAGTACTAAGAGTTCAACTTCAATAGTGCACGGATTGTTGCAGGTAAATCGCGAGTCTTGGTAACGAGAAACGACGGCGAGCCACAGCAGCAGAGGCGAAAGATAGAAAGTGTCACGAAAACCGAGAGAAATGAAACGAGGAAAGAGACAGTCGGAGCTTTTCAAGTTCAAAGACCGAACAGAGTGATGCAGAGCAGCGGCACTACAGCTCAACTGACTGAAGTATGTAAACTTGTATACTATTCTTCATTGAAGGGCGTCGGGGTGGAGGGGTAATGGGGCGGGTAGTGGATGGGTTTGATTGAGTGAGACGGTTTCCGGTGTCAAGGGCAGTGCGTTCGAGGGAGCCGCTGGGGCAGCCCGTTGTGGGCGGGCCGGTCCGGGTTGTGGGCGGGCCGGTCCGGGTTGTGGGGGGGGTGGAAGGGGCCCCTGGAGCTGTGGGGCTGCTGCGAGGACGGGCCGGAGGAGCCGGCGTCGCCCTGGTAACGGTGGCTCCCGCGCCCGGCGCTCCTGTCGTGGTGGGAGCTGCCGTTGAACCGGTGGCCGCCCGAGTGGTAGCCGGGTCCCTGGAAGGTTCGCCTGTTTCCCTGGAAAATCTGAGGACGAAATTAAAAACGGAAAAGTGAATAAATTGAGTTTTTAAAACTCTTTTAAAGTTTGTGCCTGTAGCATGATGAGACGTGAAAGTCAACATTTACACTCGCATAAAAAAAAAAGGCTTCAAACAGATGCGCTATTATACAACCATACATCTTTGAAAAGCATTAGTAGAGGCTCCTGCACAACCATCCAGAATGCAGCAAGTGGTTTCTGAATATTAAATCAACAACAAAACACTTTTCTTTTTCAGCAGCCATTGTACAGCACGTACAGTGGTAAAACCAGCTGACCAAACATGCTGGAGCTCCGTTCAGTTTGCTAAGTAACAACACAGTGGCCATTGATTGTGACTAACCAGGACGTTTGTGATGCAACTCCAAAAACACCAAAAAACATGAACTGATTGTTAAAAACAGCCGAGTGGTTTTTGTTTTTCTCTCTCAAGTTGTTTTTAGAAGCAGTTGAGACCCAAAGGGAAGCACAAAAACATCCAAAATGTTTAGAGTTTTGTTGGGATTTTTTGTGATGGAATAAAGTGGAAAACAGACATAAATTTATTAGTAGGGCTTTCCACATTAACCAATAAATCTAAATTGTTTAACGCGTTAATATTATATAATACAGATTAATTACACTTCCTAGTTTCACCTAAACTCCTTTTGCACGAAGAGGGTCATTTGGTTCAAAGCAGCACATTGGCACTGCAGTCAACAATGCAGAGTCACAAATGTGAGTGAAAAGATGAGCGAGGAGAGACAAAGTGCCAAGAGGCAAATTTCACAACACAAAACAACCTGAGTTTGGATAAAAGTTCAGTTTTACCAAAACAAAAGTTTATGCTAAATCAAGGCAGGAAATATTGCAATGATAACTTATCCTTCTATAATTAACATTAAACAAAATAACTTTTAAAAAATATCCTGAATAATAAAACCTGGAACACTGAGATGTTTGGTTTGAGACAATAAAATATTTTTAAAATGTGATATTTGCATTTCAAGTTTATAAAAATGGAGTGAATAAAACCAACGCCAGAGATTGAATAATGGATGACATGTTTCAATCGACTGCACTATTTGTTACAAACATATGAAAATAGTTACGTTCATCTGCATTCAACACTCAAATCAAATGACTCTTTTGCTGCAGTTAGTCAATTTTTCAAATTTTTACACATTTGTAATCGGATTGAAGGCTGACAGTTACAAAATCGGCCTTCTATCACCTGCAGAACATCTCCAGGATTAGAGGACTAATGTTTCAGCAAGATCCAGAGAAACTCATCCATGCGTTTATCTTTAGTCGCATTGATTATTGCAACAGCGTCTTCACAGGCCTGTCCAACAAATCAATCAAACAGCTGCAGCTGATCCAGAACGCTGCTGCTGCGTTCTCACTAAAACCAGGAAGATAGAGACATAGCACCCGTTTTAAAGTCCCTCCACTGGCTCCCTGTAGCTCAAAGAATAGACTTTAAAATACTGTTGTTAGTTTACAAATCACTGAACGGTTTAGCACCACAATACATTAAAGATCTGCTGCATCAACCTTCCAGACTCCACGAGTTCTGGTTCTGCTCTGTGTCCCCAGAACCAGAACCAAACGATGAGAAGCAGCGTTCAGCTTCTATCACCACAAATCTGGAACAAACTTCCAGAAAACTGTACATGAGCTGAAACACTGACTTCCTTTAAATCTCGACTAAAAACTCAGCACTTTAGAGTTGATTTCGAAGCCTAAGAATGAATCAATAATCTGAAGTGCAAATGTGATAAAGGTGATAAATAAAGTTTCTCCCTTTCTCACCTGTTTGACCGGAGGCGGGCGGTTTTCAGCAGGGGTGGTTTGGGTCTGGGTGGGCGGAGGAGTCTCCGTTTGGACCGGGCTGGCGACAGAGGAGGACGTGGAGCTGCAGCGGGACCGGTCCGAGTAGCCCGTACGCGGATGGTACACTAGAAGAAACGCAGCGAGTCAGAAAACACGATTCCTGCCTCATTAACAAAACTGACTCTTGGAGATTTAAAGAATCTCAATTTAACCACAAACAGTTATTCTTTGAGGATTAAGGGTTTCAAGAGCCAGTAAAGTCTTTGTAGGTTAAGAATAAATTAACGTTTTGCTCAAGATGAAGCTGAGTGTTTGTCAGCCGACGTGTGTGAAGAAGCAGTAAGACGATAAGAAATCACTTGATTTTGAAGGTTGTACTTGAACATTTCCTCATTATCAGTTGCTATAAACACATTTTCCACCACATTGAAGTTTAGCACCATGATCGGACAGGTGTGAGCGTCTACTGCGACTTTAGTTGCCTTAACTGAACAGTAAAACGACAGAAAACAGGGCAAAGAAAGAGAGGAAAATATGCAGCAAATGGCATAATTACAATGTCTTCACCCAAAACCGCCCAAAAATAAGATCAATCCGATTTATGCCATGTTCATGTGTCGTTCTAATTCCGATAAATATCTGATCGTTTTCTAAACGCCTGCTGTCTCAACTATTGCATTTTTGGTTAACCTAAGAGTTGAAAGTGTCTGCATGGGGATAAGAGAGATAAAACTGGACTTTCGTTCATATTTTGATATAAACAAAGAGAAAAATAAACTAAAGTTCTGTACCTGATCCAAACCTAGAGATGCTCGTCTTCAGCGGCTCAAGGTCAAATGTAAATCTTAAAGCTTTCCCAAGGTCCTCGTCGTATTTACGTTCGCTCACAAAATGCTGAAAAAACAAAAAATAAATAAAACTCTGCTTATTTCAACCCAGAATGATAAAGTATTTTGTTCATCTTGCGTCATCCCATAAATAAAAGTTAATTTAAATGAAGCAGAGTGAAAATCTCGCAGCACCTTGATGTCGGCGCGCAGCTCAGTCAGCTGCTCCTCAGACATGGAACCGGACCGGTCCGTCAGCCGCTTCAGCTCCTCCGCTCGCTTCTGCCGAGCGTCCAGAATCATCACTGCAACACAGAAACAGAAACTCAGACAGAGAAAACAGGTTTAATTATAGAACTGCATCAGTTTAGATATCAGATAAATGGTTTCACAGATTTCACCGGAAACAAAAAAACTAACTACAGGCTACAAATATTTGCATCTAAGCAAATTTCAAATAGAAATGTTGGAGTAAAGTCTGCAGAAAACAAGAAAATATCATTGAAGAATAAATTAAACTGAACCTTTGAGGCCTGTGAGGTTTCTTACACAAAGCAATAAGGAAGAAATGCTCCCTTCACTGCAAAAACACAAAACCTTACCAAGTATTTTTGGTCCATTTTCACTAAAAATATCTTAGTTTTTGTCTTAAAGCTGATACTAACTTACTGGTATCTTTTCAGCAGCAAATATGAGCTCGTTTCAAGTCAATAAAACCTTCTTTCTGATAAATAGAGCTAGTTTCACTGGCAAATTATTTCACTTAACATGTGAAACATGTCTTGTTAAAGGTGAAATAATCTTTCAGTGGAACTAGTACCTTCTTTTATTAACATAAAGGAATTATTGACTTATTTCAAGCTGCTATATTTTGCTGAAAAGCTGCTTGTAAAATAGTTTTGTCTTATTTCAAGTGGACAAAGATATTTGCATTAAAATTAGACAGAAATACTTGGTAAGATTTTGTGTTTTTGAAGTGATTTCTTCTCTTGGTGAGAGACGGAGCCAGGTATTCATATAAATATATAAAAGTTTTATTAACTCTGGTTTCCTGCTGCTTGTAAAAAGACGGAGGTCAGCCAGTGACCTGACCGGACTTCAGCTCTGCTTCAAACTGATGCCTTTTCTCAGAAATGGAAGCTGCAGAAGGTTTTCTACAGTCTTCGTACCCATGTGAATTAATTCAACCCCGGCTGGCATTCACCTCTTTTGCCCTCTGTGGCCCCCTAATGGCAGGTTCTGACCACTGCAGAACAGCAACAACCTCCAAAAGCAGCAGCAGTTATGGATCGTGATTGGTTAAAAGTTGCTCAAATCTTAACATTTCTTCAAGCACAGCAACTTCAAACAAATTTCCTCTTGTATTTTAATGTTACAGCCACTATTTGGTGTTAGTTAAGAAACAGGACGTGTTTTAATCACTCTTCACAGAAGGATTTGTATAAAAACAGCAAAAGCTTATTTCCATGTCAAAATAGTCACGACATCTTTAGAGTTCCCAGTTTTTTTCTAGATATTTCCTAATTTTCTATCAATACAAAAATGCAAGCTGAATGTCGGGCAAGAAGAGAAAAAGATGGAGGAATGACTCTTTTTGTATGCATCTTTTTCCTGCATAAAAAAAGATGTATGCAGGAATAAATGTGTGCATAACAAGGCAGCTGCATAAACGGAATGAAGCATTTCTTTTTGTCCCAATTTGGGAAAAATATCTGTTTTCCCAGAAAGCTTGTAGGATATCATTAATTTGAGCAAAATACAGATTATAGATGTTTTTAAAGTATGAACTTCACCTTTTCTGCTGCTTTCTGAAACCAGATAGTGAGGCATTGTTTAAAAATGTTAAAAGTAATAATTTCCCATCAGAATAAACATTTCTCAAACAACACAAACATAGCGCAACATTAAGGGCTAAATTTTCAAGAAACCTCTCTGGCTCTGTTGAGGAGGAACTCAAGTTTCCACTCAATTCACTGCACACCTTGCACAAAGGCAGCATTGAGTCTCCCTCGACACCTGACACTATTCAGCGTTTCCAGGCCTCAAACACACAACACTCCACTCTGAGAGGACAGCGGAAGAGAAATTGGCCTACTTATACAAATATGAAGTCCTGCTCTGTCATGTTACACACACACACACACACTGCAGGTAGATCAGCAGCCTCAGGGCGCCCTGCACTTCAGGAAACTGGGACTTGCTGTTCCACAACAATCTCCGTTTCTCCTTCTGGGAATGATTTGGGTCAAATTCTTCTGGGCTTTCAGTCAGGTGATCATATGATGGAAGAATACCAGCAGCTCTGGTCATCAGTGACGAGCCGAGCGCAGCGTAAAAACACTTAAAAACGCAGCACTTACTGGCCTCAGCTTTCACTTTGTCCATCTCTCCCAAAAGAGTCACTTCTCTGTCCATCAAGCTGGAAAGAAAACAAGACGACAACGAGTAACTCACTGGACAAAAACACAACTTTTCTATATTATAATAGCACAACAGTGTGGAGCAGAAATGCTGCCACTATTTAAAAACTGTCTACATCTAATTAAGGGGGGAAATAAATCACTGCACCTTTAAAATTTTAGATCACTTAGGTTTGTTTCAGAAAACATTTATGCATCCATTAAGGCCAGGTCTGTCACAATAATATTGTCTGGATGACAAATTGCCCCAATAAATGATAATATTGTTGTTTTGAGACCAGTTTTATTTATTTATTATTTTTTAGCTGTATAAAAATTAGCCACAAAAATCAGCGAAGTGGGAAAACAAAACAAAAACCAAATGTATTTTACTGCGTTGGAAAACGCTGCAGGTCTTGATAACAATAGTTACAAGTCATGTTCAGGCTGATAGGATTGTTTTCTAGTCTGAAATCTGGGATCAGATTACTCCTCAACTGTTTGTTGTTCTAATCAGTTTGCTGACATCATCACAGATACCAACTCAGGCAGGAACAAAGACAAACAAACAAAAAGAAGACAGAAGATGTTTTGTTGACTTAATGGAATAAAAGTGAAACTTTGAGTGTAATAACATAAAAAAGAGATGTACTCAAATTTACTACAAACTATAATTAGGCCTGGTAAGATACGTTTTGTTGGATGGTAAACTGCACCAGTAATTACGATAAAATTATTGTTTTGAGATCATTTTTTTAGTTAATCTATTGATAATGGCATAATGATACACAAATGAACTTTAACTTTTTGTAAAGACTTAAAACTGGAAATATCCAAAATAAAAAGGACACAGAAAAACGTAAAAGGAAGTAAAAACCACTTGCAGCCAATAGGGCTGAAACGATTAATCAGATTGATCGATTATAGAAAGAACTCATCTAATTTAGTAATTAATCATTAACTGCACTATACAAACTCAAAAAAGGCCATTGCAGAAACATAACAGCAATTAAGTCAAAACTATACTGAAATATGTACATTATTTACTTATTTTAAAAAGAATTGATTTCTTTTAAATTGTACAAAAAGGCTTAATTGTTAAATTTAAAAAAAATCAACAGAATGTGACCATTTTTGACAGAATGATTGATATAATAATAAATTTACAATCATTAGTTGCAGCCCTACTTACAACCAAAACAATAAAAATACATTTTCAGTCGCTGTAAACAAAATTGCTCTTTGAAATAAGTCAGAATGAAATTTATTGTTCTCCTCTTAACTATCCCAATTCAATCCTCCCTTCTATGCTCTGAGGAAATAAACTCGTTTCCAGCTAAGAAATTTTGACATATTTAGTCATTGAGCACCAGCGGAATAAATCCAAATGATTAAACTTTGCAGGAGCTCAATCTTGATGTGTTTTTCAGTCGGCTGTAATTGCAACGCAGGTTCAGAGCCAGCTGGGCTCTTCTGAATCACTTCCATCTCAGACGCCATTAAAACCCTCAGTAAGACGACGTTCTTTTCCAGCAGAGTCAGAAAGCAGACGTGAAGGTTTCACAGGAAGCCGACGTACCAGCTCTGGAGTTCAGCAAACGTCTGTTTCATCCTCTTGATGGAGGAGTCCATCTCCTCGTTCACCACCATCCTGTAGCGCGTCAGGGAGACGCTGCATCTCTGCAGGTCTTTCACCGAGCGGTCGATGTTGGGAGCTGAGGAGGAGAAACAGATTATTTTTAAACATCTGAGGAACCTCTGATGTTCTCCGACTTAGGTTCACTTCAACTAGAAGGTTGATTAATTTCATTTAGATTTAAGTCAAGAAATCTAAATGTTACTGATATCTGAGGTTTAGTTATCGGATGAAACCGATCCAATTACTCTTTTTTTAATTAAACAAACATAAACGTGCTGAATTAGAATAGAATAAAAACAACCTTTATTGTCCTTCAAATGGAAATATTAATTTATTTGAAAACTCTGCACCTTAAATACAGCAATAGCTTCACAAGTTTGGTCAAAACCACACAGCTTTAATCTGTTCAGTCAGTGTAATTAGGAGTTTAATGGCCAATATTGAATAAAAAAATAAAATAATTCCACCTGACTAAAACAACATGTCGACTATCTTAGTCAAACGTAAAAGTAAATTGCAAGAAACCTTTGAAAAGGTTCAGAAACTGCATTTATGAACTCAAAGCATGAGGTTTCTCAGAGCACAAAGGTTTCCCTCTGGGTACTGTAAGCCTGGCGGGCCTCCAGGCTTTACTTGTGCCTCCACCAGGCTTCGTCTTGTTAATTTATTAGTGGATGACGGCTGTAGCGCCCTGAACACCGGGCTTAGAAAGGTTTCTGGGGGAAATCCTGACAGACTGAATAGAGCTGCCATCATCATGATACCCAATATAGAATTTATTTCAATATTGGGACCGATACAGATATCAATATCGGATCGATGCATCTCTAGTTTAAGTTACTCACCCATCTTTTTCCCTCCTGATGATCCCTGCTCATCAAAGGCGGCTGCTAACGAGGATGAGGAGGGATGAAGGTTTGAGCCTGTCCTGTGCCGAGCCTTGTTGCCTCTGGAAACCTGGTGGTGATTCCTTCCCCCCTGCTGGGGGGCAGGACTTGGAGCGCTAACGTTACTTTCTGCCTCGACACCTGTGAAAGGACACACCGATTGTTAAACCCTTTAGACGCTTGTTGTGGTTTCTGCCGCGTTTTGTGTCTTTCAAAACCAGTTTTCTGCTGAAATGTGGGTGAAGTCTGATTCTGCGATGTGTGGGTGAGCAGCCAGATACAGAAGTTCAACACGTCTTCAGAGTGAGAAAATCACACCGTGATACAAACTAAGCTTTTAGTTCACAGATAAAAAGAAAAAATTGAAAGCAAGTGTCTCAATTACAAAGTGTGATTTAAGCACAATTGAGGAAATGAATCCTTAGCATTAAGATTTTGCTTTAAGTAAGCTTAAAAATAACCCAATTGTCAAAATTAACATATATAAACAATTTGTTTCAAGTACAGTAAGTTGAAAGTACTTGATGTTGCAACACAAAATGCTAAATTTTATTGTCAGTTTCTATCTTGTGACCTAATCAGAATTAAATAGAAACATGCAATATTTGAATGAAGCAAAAAACATAGAATTTAAAAACAACTTCTGATTTTAGTCCAGTTTAATTACTGGACTAAATTAATGTCTGGTGAACACTGTGTGGTCACTTTAAATATTTTACACTATTAATTTAAGAAAATAAACACTTAAAAACTATCGTTAGGAATGAGCGATATAGTTTAAAAATAATAATAATAATAATTCCGATTTTAATTGATTTTTCCTCTTACTTTTTTTCCTTAAAAAAATATAAACGACAGAAAATATGTAAAAAAAAAAAAAAGAAAGAAAAAAGGTTTTTATTAGTCATTCCTTCTGACAGTTGAAATAAATAGAAGCTGTAAAACAAAAAGACATTGTGGTTCTCTGAACTATGGAAACCATCAAGTGGCCTTTGTTCAATAAAGTTAAAATTTTCCCTTCACATCAACAAATCCTTTGATTTCCTTTCCCCCCCCCCATCGGATCTCAGAGGAAAACAACAAGCCGTGCTTACCCGGCGTTTCTGGTGTAGGGGGTTCAGAGTCCAGCTCGGCTGCATCCAGGGAGGCAGAGTCCAGCTGCTCGCTCAGCGAATCCAGAGACTCTCCGTCCATTACCGACCCGTTGGCGTGGAAGCCGTTCATCTCATCATCCTTGCTCTCGTCGGGCGACGCCGCCTCCGGCTGAGGCGCCTCTGTGGAAACCTCCTGCTGAGGCTTGGGCTTCTTTTTCTTCTTGGGCTGGAAATGAGAATATTCACGTCACACACGTTTAATCCAACTCTAAATGTTGGGTTTGTGCAGTTTTCCCCAACAGTAACATTTTAGGGTAAATTTTAAAACTTTTCCAGTACCACATTGGAGATTAAAACAATACAAATTCACCATTACACAATAAGTTAATATTGTGATAACATTCTACAGCAGGGACAAAGTAAGTTTTATCTCTCACATAAAATATGTTTGGTATTTCCAACTGATCCAGATCAAGAGAAGTTCAGTCTCTCAACTTCAGATGTCAGCTGTGCAAAACTTTGTCAATATTCTTCTAATGTCGTGAAAACTATTTCACAATTGCTGTTATTATTAAATACAAAATGCAGTTTAAAATTAAAAATGAAAAAAATTACTAATATGGTCAATAGAAATGTGTCTTTTTATTAGGTGTATGAAAATATTTGGTTTCGGCTGTAAATAATGGTTTTCAAATTTGGGCTTTTAATCAAATGTTAAATTCAGAGTTTCTGCATATTTTACCACCTCAAATTTAAGACTTTTAAACACCATTATGAATGACAATGAAGACTTGCGTCTCCACAGAAATGTACGAACTGCCGATAAATTTGCACGTTAGATGCAAAAAAAGCTAGCTAAGGTACATTAGCAGTGATTTACGGTCTCAAAAACGCAATAAAGATGTTTGAAGGTAACTTAAACTTTTGTCAGACAGAAAAATCCCACAAGACAAAAATAAAAAGAGTAAATATAAGACCAATTAAGGCATAAATTTAAGCCTTAATTTGAACTTTTTAAGGAAGCGCGAACCCTCTGTAGATTGCATTTTATCAAAACGCTGCAGTTTGAATATCAGACACTTTCAAGAAATTCATATGAAGCTTGTGATCAAATCGGAGCATCAAGTAGAGGCAGAACTCTGCAGTTAAGTGCATTTTACAAGTTGGGATGCAACCTTAGAAATGTAAACCAGCATCTGTGAGGTAGATGAACATGCTGACTCAGAGGAATTTTAATTGCATGCTTTAGAACTCTCACCTTCTTTTTGCTCGTCACATTCCACTCTTTCAGGATTTCGGCTGCACTCCCTACGGAGATTAAAAAAAAAAGCAGAACATCAAGGTCACAACTAGTTCATTCAGTTCCACGTCAGAGCTTCAAAGTCTTACAATACCGCCTTAAAATACAAACACCCTGAGAATTTTACTGGATGCCAGTGAGGAACAAAGCAGTGACGTTCAGGACAGCCCTGTTTCTAAATTTAACCCTGTGAAACTGAAGGCATGCAAATGACGCTCAACAGCTGAATTCAAAGCATGTTACGCCTGATGAAAGCAGAGAAATTAGCTGCTGCAGCTCACAGGCATTAGGGCGACATGTCAGCACAAGCTGGCAACAGACGTCTGTCCGTAAGAGAGAGGGGGAAAAAAAGGAGAAGAAAACATGCAGGCGGGTTTGCTTGATGTTTGGAAACGAAGTAAAGCCACTTATGTGACGATCCTTTAGTCATGTGAACTCTGAGATCAGCAGCAACATCCTCATACCTTCCAGGAACGCCTGCACAGCCTTGTCGACGCAGTTCTCAAAGTGCTGCAGCACCAGCACTATCTCATTGTTGCTTTTGTTGGGGACAACTGCCCTCACCGCACTGATCTGTGAAGAAAGAAAAACACAACTCCAGTCCCGCTGCTCAGATTTTACAGCAAAATTAATAAATATTTCATTCAACTTGCACGACATGCAGGCAGCGAAGGCCAAACTTTAAAGAACGGACATTTTTGTGTCATTTGCGTCGACTATATTTGTCCAACTTCCTGAAAAGCTTCACATTGAGGAAATAAAAACACTAGCAGAGCAAACCAAAAGTTTTCTTTCTGTCCATAGCAGAAGCCCAACACCAGTGAATGCATTAGCTGTAGCGCCAACAGGCAAACTTTTATATCTCACGCTGAATATCCAGAATATCTGGATGTTGAATAACTCAAAAATATTCCCAGATGACGGGTGCGGCAGCTCTTATTTAAGAAGATCATGCTGCTTCCTTTTTTTTTTTTGCAACATTTATAGCTAAACTGTAGCAGCTCTGCTGCTTGGAAAAAACGTACGGAGCGAAACTAAATGCAAACATGACTCGACATGTGCAGATCTGAGAACTTTCAAGAGTATTTAACTACAAATACAGGTGCATCTCGATACAGAGGTCAATTCATATGAGTAAAAAAAATAAAACTTCACATGCAAAATTCATGTCAATGAATTCTTATTTTCTAGAAATTGTAGACAAAACTTTACAGATTCACTAAAATGTTGAGATCAGACGAGTTTTCTGATCAGTTACCAACATTTATAAATAAATTACTGATATTTTTATAGAGTACAACACTTTTGTTTCTATGTTTATTCTGATTGATTTACCAAATTTTGTTTTGTTGGTTTATTTACGTTGGATGGACTTCGCTTCACAATCCTAACTCTCAAGGCAGCATGAGGCAACCATACTTTTTCCTTCCACTCAACTTTCTATTAATATATCAAGATGCACCATTAATTCCTTTATAGTTTAGTCTCCTAGTACACAGACTTCTATTATTGTGGAGAACATACTTTCTGTATTTAAAAACCCTTTTGGTCAAACTTATGCAATACTTTTTTACTTTTTTTGTTAAATGTGCTTTGGGTTGACATTTTCTTAATGTACTTGGTGTTCTGTTTGTAATTTTCTTGATTACTGTAACGTGTCTGAGTGTTCAGACATAAATAAATGAAATGATTCTTATTTAAATTGTCTCATAAATCAGCCGTAAGCCCTAGATTTACGAACACTTAAGGTTTCACATATTGAATAGATTTCCTGGATTAACTTATTGAGATTTGCGTCTTACCTTGTCCTTCATCCTCTCCGTCATTCCTCCCTGGGACATGACCATTTTTGAGCGAGTATCAAACACCACACCAGATGTATCTATAAAGAAGAAAAGAAAAACAACGCAATCAGTCCAGGCCTTGACCCACATTTGCAAACCACTGAAGAACATAATTTGCAAAACAAAAGAAGCCCCAGATATCTTTGCAGAGACATCCTGAAAAAATTATATTACACATGAATCCTAATCACATCCCAGCTGCAGATTATTTTGAAAATCTGTTTGTTTTTATGTGGACACATATGTGCATACAATTTCTGTAAAATAAGTATGCAAAGCTCTTTGAACTGCGGAGGTGGAAGGACTTTTTGTTGAGGCATTTAAGCACAAACACTTGAGCTAGCAGCACAAGCAGCAAGCACTTCAGCGCTTTTGTGCGTGATTGGTTTGGAATCAGAGTCTGATTCAAATGACTCAAAGAAATACATAAATGGAGCTAGAGAAGACCAACTTCGAGGTCTGCAGTATCAGCTTATAAAACCCACAAAGCGGTGAGTCGAAGAAAAGAAATCCTACAAAGATGCGAGCAGAGAATTAAGACTGACTAGCAAAGTCCAAAGTTAATCTGCGACCATTAAAAGATGGAAACTGCTGAGTCGCAGTCAAGCAGTCTTCCTCGTGTGATGAAAACACGTTGATGTCGGTGTAAAAACACAAAGCTCAGATTCTCCAAAAGGAGCGGGGCTGCATCATTTGACTCCAAGGAAATTCACAAACACAACCGAACTGCTGAGCTCGAAAGTTAAAGTTTCACCAGAAAGACATTTATGAGACAAACGCCGGTACATACCCTTCAGACTGTTTTTCTTCGCCATCGTCGTCATGCAGAAGAATCAGAGTAAAACCGAAATTTAACCCTCGTAGTAGAGTATTTATCCTAGTGTTCAGACTGAGGGTAGCTCTTGATAAAAGGAGATCCCAAATAAGGTTTTTAACTGGCAGGCAAAGTGGAAGAACAAGGTTCACATCCAGACCATCTCCACTTGGGCAAAGACAGATTTTCCCTTCCAGCAGTTGACTTGATCCAACCTGTTGGAAAGAAAAAAATCCAAGAAAAGAAGGTTAATCTGATTAATGCATAAATATAAATGCAGCAGGAATAACCATATCTATAGGATCTGCAAACTGAATGCAACTTAAAAAAATAAATAGAAATCCATTTCCTCTGGCAATGATGCATAAATGAAAACCAGATTTCAATGAATTATTGTCTGTCTTGAGAAAGTCTGTCCTTAATAATGTCCTTGGCAGAATCGCTGCATTTCATTTCAGGAGAAGAGTCAGTAGAATCAAATCTTTTAAGGATTTCCCCCCCCCCTGTTCACTGCAGGATTCATGATAACAAAGACGACCCATCGGGTCAGAACCCTCACCTTTAAAGTCCCGGATGTTTGATCCGTTTAACACATCTAGGAAATTAGCAGCTGATCAAAAAATGTAATAAACCAGCTCCAGGAGTTCAGAAATGTCGAATCAAGAGGACTGCTATCTAAACGAAAAAAGAAAAATGCTTTTTGACCTTTGGACCTTTTTACAACTGTTTCACAGCAGGTGAAACAGCTGGTTAGATTAGGAGAGACCAGAAACTCATAAAGAGTTATTTAATTTCGAAGGGATAAAAAAAGAAAAGGAAGAAGAATATTTTCCACTTTTTAACTTAATGTCCATCCTGGCCTTTCCGACGCTCTCACCAGACATCTGGAACCAGATTGCAGGCCAGCCCGTTTCCCCTCTTTAGGTTTCTTTTCTCTTGAAAGGGAAACTTTTCAAAAGGTCGGAGCAAACCAACACCTTCTTCACGAGGACCTGGCATGTCACGGCCCCGGTTCCACCACACCCTCAGACGTCAGACCCACGTAAGCACAAACAACAAATGACACAGCAGCTCATGCCAGCACTAGGATGCATCCTGTTTATCAAGAGGGATGGTGTTTGAATATTCAAGCAAACCAGGTGCACTTGTGTGTGTTTAAAAACAAAAACAATAAAAGGAAACGTTCAAATTAAACAAAAACAAAATAAACATAAGGCTTTAAGAGTGAGTGATATGCAGATGTGAGGAAATAAAAACTAATGAGATCATTTGCATGAAAATGTTTATATGTTGCAGCGACACAAAGCAATCTGTTGCAGTTTGAGCAAGGTCTGGATGTAACGTTGACATTTTTAAATATGTTTTTTTATGAGTTATTTAACTGGCAGGTATCATCTGCGTGGAGGAAACTGCAAAACTTTATAAATGAAACTTAACTACACCCTCACATAAATCAGACTTCAGTTTGTTGGCTGATTTACTTGACGATAAAATGCTACTTACATTTATCCACCAACAAGTCTATAGATTATTATATTGAAACAACCCAATGATGTTATTACATTTATTTTAAATATATATTAACATTGCAAATTTATATTAAATTCTCAAAATGAAAAATAATTTACATTTACTATATTTCTTTTCCATTTTAATTTAAAAAAATAAAATAAATCTATATTGGCTGACTTTATTCGGCCCGTTTTAAACGAGCACCTCTGACCTTTATAATAGGAGGAATTTTGTCTTTATTGGCAACTCTAATTTGTAATTTTAAAGCATATTTTTAAGCATATGAAGTTATACATTTAAATCTTTTAAATTCTGGTTATGAGTGTCCAATTTAAAGGGACATGAGCTGCTGTGTCATTTGTTGTTCGTGCTTACGTGGGTCTGACGTCTGAGGGTGTGGTGGAACCGGGGCCGTGACATGCCAGGTCCTCGTGAAGAAGGTGTTGGTTTGCTCCGACCTTTTGAAAAGTTTCCCTTTCAAGAGAAAAAGAAACCTAAAGAGGGGAAACGGCTGGCCTGCAATCTGGTTCCAGATGTCTGGTGAGAGCGTCGGAAAGGCCAGGATGGACATTAAGTTAAAAAGTGGAAAATATTCTTCTTCCTTTTCGTTCTTTTTATCCCTTCGAAATTAAATAACTCTTTATGAGTTTCTGGTCTCTCCTAATCTAACCAGCTGTTTCACCTGCTGTGAAACAGTTGTAAAAAGGTCCAAAGGTCAAAAAGCATTTTTCTTTTTTCGTTTAGATAGCAGTCCTCTTGATTCGACATTTCTGAACTCCTGGAGCTGGTTTATTACATTTTTTGATCAGCTGCTAATTTCCTAGATGAGTGTCCTAGATGAGTGTCCAATTTAAAGGGACACTCATAAGCTTTCAAAATTGGTTACAAGTAATATACATTTTAAAAATATGAATATTTAGATTGAATAAACTCAAAAAAAAAAAAATACACTAAGCTGGAAATAAGAATATTTTCCCTTTATATGATTTGGGAAAATTCAAACTGTTTTTTTCCTAATTTATCAGTTGCATTAAATCTATAAACACCTAATAAAAAAAAACCCAGAATGCACATTTTAATAATGACCAGATAACTGTTGAGAGTATTACTTATTTAAATTTCCTATAGTATTCAGAACTACAGTACATTTTCCTTTTAATTTGTTACAGATTTTAGAAAGAAAAATCTGGCTAATATAAGAATCAGCTGTTCAGATCTCAGAAAAATCAAAAAGAGGTTGCAACGCCTGATCAGTGCATCTCAAAAGAATGAAAGGAAATTACTTTTTCAGTTAAGTCTGAGAGATTACACAACAGAAACCAGAACTACCCCACATTGCAGAGTCATTAACTATTCAAATTAATGCATCTGATGGGTCCAGTCCAGGTAGGTAATCAAGTTAAAAAAAATATTCTGCAGCTCCAAACATGCAAAGCAATGCTTTTATTAAGGCTCTTCCCCCTGATGTTTTCTAGCCTCTCTGCACTGAAACGCAGAAACGCAGAAATCATCTTTTGTGGCGACAAAGCCTGACCACCTCCAACCCCACAGCCTGTCTGCTGGGAGGCGTGAAATCACCCAGTTTACACCAGCCTCTATGATCCTCCCCAACACTGAAGATTTCGTTTCATTTTTACCTGAATTTGACGGATTTAACTTGGACAACTGCAGGGTGCCTTTATTCCAGAGCCTCGGTTACCGTTAGCCTGCAAATATTACCTAACGCTTTATGACGAGCTGGGTGAAACCCAATATCACCCGACTGGTAATTTATACCACTGTAAGCTCTCCAGGACAAACAACCACTGACTGCAACTCGCAGCACTCAACAGAAATGATTTATTTCGCCTTTCCACGGAGCATTAGCTAATATTAGCTCGCAGCTAGCAGTCTGTGCTGAAAGGCTAACGATCAATTCTGCCGTTACAAAAAAAGAGACAGAGACGCGGCTGCTAAGCTAAGTATTTGTCTGCTTTAGTTTAAATAAATAATAATAAAAAAGCAAACTATGTTAAGAGCTCAAAGATACTAAATACGTACCTAGTATTGGCAGCGAAGAGGACGGTAGGTTCTGGAAAGAGCTTACTGCGGTTCCCACAGCAGCCAGCCGTCTGTAAAGCCAAGCAGTCTGCTGCTGTGGCCAATATTTTCCTCCAGCGAGGCTTCGCGGTTGCCAGGTTGGAAGCAGACAACCCCCTTTTAATACTGTGAGGAGTGGCGGAGGTGTGTCTGGTATTAGGTAAAAGTAGCACAACCTGAACATATTTTTACTCAAACAAAAGTAAAAAGTAAAACGAAATGACTGGAAGAAGAGTAAAACAATTAATTGGAAAAAGTACTGGCTAAATGGTCAAAACATTAATCATTTAATATTTAGAAATTATACTGGACTGGAAATATCAAGCTACGTGGAAATTTTGGTATTTTAAAGATCAGAATGAAAAGAATTAATATAAATAACAAAATAAAAAAAACGTTATTCCCAAACGACTTCTTTCAATATAAAGCTTATGAAACTCACAAAAACTGCAGGTGTGTGTCTGTTTCTGGTGAATTTTTGGTCAAAACAAGTTTGTTTTGCTTGTTATTCATAGTGGGAAGAGAATCTGGAAATTTTACTCAGAGTACCTGTACTTCATAATAAAATTACGAAAGTTATGGAAATTAGTAAATGTAATAAATAAATTCTACTAAGTAATTAAGTTTGTCTATAATATAATATGCCTTTCAAAGAAAAAAATACAAATAAATACATTTTAAAATTGCAAATTTATAAAGCAAGCAGGTCCAATTCATATACGGAAATATAAAATAACATTTATCCAATTATGGAAAATCCAAATTATCCCAATGGGGGAATTAAATGTTGCAACAAATCATCTAATTGTCTTCAAAGATTTTTTTATGGCGACACTGTGGGTAGCAGTCAGTCTTGCATTGAATATGAAGAGGCCTCTGACCGAAGAATGTCGTATGATAGTTTCATGACAGACATTACAAACCAACAGTTCAAATTCTGGTCTGCAGAGATATTTTGCAATAGCATGACCTGGATCTCTATGTAAAGAAGTTGTTTTCATTTCCTTCTTCCTCTGTTCTTTGGTGATGCTAGGCATCAATGAAACTTCCTTTTCAACTGCTCTGGAATTTGCTGCTGCAGCTCAGGTATTATTTGAGCTTTTAATATGCTAATTAGCCGCTCCCAGCCGGTGAAAACAATATGCTGTTGCCACAGTTAAGCATCATAACAGCAATCTGAAAGTAAAAAAGTAGGGGCAATAATCCTTTCAGCTGTACTGCATCCAACACCGGAAGGAACAGCATGATTTGTCTGAACGCACAAAACAAAGAACTTTGAAATGCAGCCAAATTTATTTTGCAAAGAGAAAAAAAAGTACATTAAAATGATTAGAAAGCTAGTAAGAATGATTTTAATAATACTACTTACTATGAAAACGTTCATCAGTAACATTTTTGGTTGCTAAATTTTGCAACAACCTAAAAGCCCAATAATTATACCAATGTGTAAATAATATACTTTAATAAATGCAAGTTCTCTTGTAAGTTGTCATATTTTCTTTTATATTTCATATTTGTTTTTGTTTTTTTCTTTAACAACGGCTTCGAGAGTCCAAATCTGGCAACCACACCGTCCATGTCGTCATTTCCGAAGCCGAAGAATAGGGTTCGCTTGGTTCGTGACCTTGCACCGCCTGTCTGAGCTTGTAGTACATGTCTGCTGCAGTTGCCATGACCGCTCTCACATCGACTGAAATAACAAATTTTAGGCAAATGTTAAAACGGCGGTAGTCGAGCTGCTGTGGCGTGGGATCGAGCCGAGCGAAGGGAAGTTCAGGGGATAAAATAAAAGGTTCTGAAAGCCAGACTGAGGAAAGCCAGACTAATTCCATCAAAATGGCAACCCCCTATGTGACAGATGAATCTGGTAAGGCTGTGCATGAGGTGGACATTTGTCCAACTGAAATCATATAGCACACCCACAGTCTCTTACGGAGTTGTATTTTCTATCTGCAGTGCTCGGTCTTCGATTTCAGTCAAAGCATTTAACTCGGAATATTGGGTTTTGATGTTAGCTTAGCCTGCTAGCTTACACCGTAGCTGCAGAGCGAGTTAGCTTTTTGCTATCGCTCTGTGTAATTTACACACGTAAACATTACAATGAATAGTAACCTCCTCTTACGAGAAAAACAGACCCGCTCACAGTGAAACTTTATGTAATGATGAGTTTATAACGTACATGAAAGCCGATTTAGCAACCTGCTAGCGTAAGTTAGCATCCGGTGTAGTACACCTCCGCTATCGTAAAGGATTATATTTCAATTGAAACGATATTTTCTGTCTTTATTACATTTTATTTAACTTCAATTCTAGTAACCCATTATTGGCCAATGAAGCTAGTTAGCTTTATACCTGTTTCATTGTGAAAACAGCCAAGTGGGTGTATGAATAGCTCGTTGGTTAATATTCTTGCTCTCAGAATACTATCAGAATTACTTCGGTTCCACCTAGTGGTCAAAGTGTGAACTACAAGTGGTTTATGGAAACCGTTTAATAATCGCTGCTCTACTGTGTTGTTTTTTCACCAAACGTGCATTTTTAAAGTCTGTATCCTCAATGAAGCGATAACTTGAGTTTTAAATTAGTAGAGGGTTATTTCAATAATGGATTTATCACGCTTAATCCAGAAGGAATCAGAACAAGTATTTCCAAAAAGTGTCTTTACTCACTTAATACATGATTTTATAAGTAGAAGAGGTTTGGATAGGCTTTTTCTTTTATAAATACAATAATAATTAATAGGATAAATTAGTAAAAGATCAAGATTTTTTTCTATTTTGGACAAAATGATGGAACAGGTTCAAAAACCTTAAAACAAGACAAAATGTCCAAAGTATATATTTAATTTCACATTAACTTGGGATATTAAATAGAATTTGATCTGAACAAATACTTTTTCACAGACCAATAAAAATAATGAGTCGATCGTTTTACAGCACCACTAGAGGGCCAACCAAAGCCTGCTTCAAATCCTTTTTTTCCCCTCAGGGAAATACATAGCTGCAACTCAGCGACCCGATGGGACATGGAGGAAGCCGAGACGGGTGAAGGATGGTTATGTCCCCCAGGAGGAGGTCCCTGTGTAAGTGCAAGTCCTCCCTCTCCCTGCTTTACACGCACACAGTAATTATATCTTGGTTTTCTTACACGTGAGTCGATGCCAGACAGCGTCTCAGCGTTTTTGTTATGAATGAGGAATGAGGCAGGATGCGGCTCAGAGACCTCCTATAAACAACCAGCTTTTCCTTGAAGTTTTCTGTAAGTTTGGCCTCATGAAAGGAATTGACCGTTTTATCTTTTCACAATGCCATTTAGCCCTGTTTCCAAAGTGCCTCTTTTATCCAACCTTTTAGAGGAGATATTTTTTGTAGAGTTACGAAACATCAAATCTGATGATTGATCTGATCTTGTTTATAATTTTGAAAATAGTTTGGATTAGCGTGGCAACAACTACAGATTTTTTGTTTACCTACTTTGTCCTTTTTCAAATACATGCATTAAAAGAGGCTAATAAAATGCATTCAGTTCCTTTTTTAAATAGGAAAAGTACAATTTTATTGCCTAAAATTCAATAACAGCTTCTTGATCATTTGTAGCAAATGATGAATCTACAGCTAAAACTAACTTCTAACATAAACATGTGAAAATCTCAGTCCTTTCTGCTTGACTTGATATAAATATAACATATGATTAAGCTGGTGATTATTTATTGGAATAACCTTTTGGTAATTGGACAGCAAAAGGTGGTTACTTCATTAGAACAACCGTCCTTACATAACTTGTGTTTTTTTTTTGTTTGTTTTTCCCAGGTATGAAAACAAATACGTCAAGTTTTTTAAGAGCAAACCCGACCTGCCTCCTGGCATGAGCCCAGCAGAAGCAGCTCCACCGAAACAGCAGCAGCAAAAGATACCCGGCTGTGCGGACAGCGAGACGGCCGGTCTGTCAAAGACGGCGAAACGCAACATGAAGCGCAAGGAAAAACGAAAACAGCAGCAGCTCCAGGATCAGGACGGCGAGGCGGAGGTGGATGCGGTGAGCAGCGGCGTGGAGAACGTGTCCATCTCAGAGAGAGGCGAATCTGCCACCAAGACACAGGGAACCACGTCGGTTTCAACACCAGACGAGTCCTCAGCGGCTGCAGCAGCGGGAGCTGAAAAGGCCAAGAAGATCAAAAACCTGAAAAAGAAGCTGCGGCAGGTGGAGGAGCTGCAGCAGAAGGTGGACTCAGGGGAAATAAAGCAGCTGACGAAGGATCAACTGGAAAAGCTGGGCCGCGCTGAGACCTTACGAGAAGAGCTGGAGCAGCTGGAACGCGACTCCTGAGCCGGAAAAAAAGTGCGAGTCAGACTAATCATGCAAATTGCAAATCGGAAGGGACATTTGCAACTTTCACAAACAATTTCCCTATTTGACATCCATCGTGAATGATGGCAGGAAGCGCAGCTCTAAGGACAGCATGTCTGTGTGGCAGACATCACACCTGTTTTCTTTAGTTCTAGTTTGTGACCCAAATATACTTTTAACTATCTTTTAAACAGATCTTTGTGGCTTGTTTCGTGCTTCTATGTTGTTTCCATTTTTGTATTTTTAATCCCATCTGGAACCACAGGAAATAAAAACACAAAACTTTGTGAAAGAGGGTTTAGTTTGTGTCCCACTTTCTGCTTTAAACAATAGCAACACTGCAAAAACTCTTACCAATATTTTTGATTTAGTTTATTAAAACACTTGAAATAAGACAGAACAAACTTGGAAGTAAATTTTCAGCAATTTATAAGAGTTTGTTTTAGGTCAATAATTCTTTAATATTGATTTCAAAAGGTACTAGTTCCACTAACAGATTATTTCACTTATTCTTCCAGGTAATAAGTGAAATAGTTTGCCAGTGGAAATAGCAATTCTTAACAATATTAATGAAATAGTGACTTAAAACAAGCTCTTATATTTTGCTGAAAAGTTCTTATTTCAGATATTTCCATTACAAACTGGACAAAAGTACTTTTTTCTACTTTTGCAGTGCTTGATGTTGAAATGGTTTATCATTGTCTCACTTTTACCACATCTCCACAGTCAGTACAGTAAATAAATTATGTATTTGTCTTCTTGTATCAGTAAGTTTTACTCTTTAAGTAACATGGATGTTACTGTGGCCAGCAGGACAGAGACCCTGGAAAACTGTATGTGTTTGTTGAGAGGAAGGTGCGGCTGTACTTTTCTTTTTGCTAATAAATCCCATAATTAAGCAAATAAAAGTGAACCTGTCCTACCGAGGAGTATTACATGTGTAGCTAAAGACTTACAGATTTTATTTTTCTGTCTTGGAGCTCAATTGTTGATCAAAACTTATTAAAAACATTCAACAGAATAAAGTTTTGGTTCTTTTTTCTTCCTTAACACAATCAAATATTTTGTGTAAATTAATTTTTTTTAAATGAGAAAAGTAATCTGGTTTCTGTTTTGTATTTTACAAAAACAAATATTTTCAGATGCTTGATAATATTTTCAGATGACATTCTTTACCACCAAAACCTGGAAACTTTTACTCCGTTATCAAAGATTTAATTAATTAAGTTCAATAACTGAGACTGATTTTTATATTTGAAGGTGTTTAATTTTGTTCACTTTGATGGTTGCAATTAAAGCTAATTAATAAACTAATTAGCAGCTTATATTTCTTGAGTCAGCTGTATTGTGGTGACAATTTATTAATCGATTTGAATCTATTTTAATTCAATGAACTATTAAGAAGTTGATTAATAGTTTGCCTCCTGTTCTCAGATATTGTTGGAGTTTATTTACGAAAAGTATTGCAAAAAACATAATTTTCGCATCAATTTAAGCTTGGTTAAATTGTTGCTTCTTTTCTGTTTCTTTTCTAAATAAAATCTAGTCATCATAAATTATTATTATTATATCATATTATATTATTATATTTTTCCTGGCACCAATGCTGCAACAACTAAGTTGAACCAGTTAATTCTTCATCACCAAACCGAATGGGTTTCATGCTAGAATGTAGTACTGTATTTCCCTTCAGCACAAGCTTCTTCCTAAAAATGAAATTTCTGCTTTGGTTTCATATTTTTTAAACAAAGCCTTGATATGTGCATGTCATTATCCAGACAATAAAAGTTATTCCCAGAAGGCTGTGAGCTTTTCATTGCATTGTTGAATTGCTCTCCAAACACTTTTTCTCATTTTTTGCTCTTGTCAGGTCAGCCAGTCGTTTCCCTCATTTTGCTCCAAAAGATTCAATAAAACGTGACTTTTTTAGCTCACATTCTCCATCAAAACTTAACCTAAAGAAACCTTCTAATTCAGCCTTTGGTTGTCTATTTTAATCAGCTTAAACCGAAACGGCTTGCTTTGTCTACATTTAGACCTCGAAGGAAACCTCTGGGAGGACAGAGCTTCAAATTTAACTTTTGACATTTGAGGACATAATAGAGATATCTTTTATTATCTCTCAGTGGGCGAATCAGACGCTGATTCACACAATGGTAAAATATGAAAAAGAAAACAATCACTGCATTGTGAGGTTAAAGTTGCAACATAAGAGACAATACTGTGCAGTTACTGAAAAACGATTCAAAGAAATTTGCAACTGAGTAGAATAATGTTTCTGTTTTTTCTAGTTTTCTATTCAACATTTTAAAAATGTACAAAATATGCTCTATTTTACAAAACCCTATTTACAAAAGAATGTGCAAATGATTGTGCAAAGAACAACAGAGATGTAAAATGAGAATGCAAAATCAACAACAACAACAACAACAACAATGATAATAATAATAATAATAATAATAGTAATAATAAGTTAAAATAAATGTATTGTGTCTTTTTAAAACATTTTTATCTACTCAATTACAATCTAAACAGGCATGATTTTATTAAAACCAAGAAAATTGTCAGAATTTAGGTTGTCAAAAATTAAAAAGAAAAAAAATTATGGTGTAATTAGTTTTCTTTCTGCCGAGCCACCGATTGATACAAGTGCTGTATTAATCAGTAATTTTGAGTAAAATGTCAATCAAAAACACTTTACTCAAAAAAGTGAAACAAAAGAAAATTGTTTCATATCCTCCAGATGCAAAGTCTGCTTACACCTTGCAGTCGTGTCCTGACGTATTTGGTAAATTATTCCAATGTCTTATTATCCTGATTTAAAAATAGGGAGACCCCAATGACACTAGAGGTTACTCAATGGTTTTATATCCTATTGCATGCAGTTATAATTCAATTTAGAAATTAAAAATTAAAGATGCGGCCCAATCTTTCCCGTCTCGACGTTGATTCTTAAACGGCCGCTGAGCGTCGGAACAGAAATGTACACGGTGCATTAAGTAAAAAGCGATGTATTCATATGTGTGCCATTGGGGTTGTGGTTTGTGTTGTAAAGCATCGAGTGGTCAACAAGAATAGAAAGGCATTATATGAATGCAGCCATTTCTTTCTCTCTGATGAATGTGGTTAACTTAAAGGGACAGCTCCAATAACAGCAGTCAGTATCTTACCTGCAGTAGAGACAACCTTCTCAGCATCTTGACTTTGATACAATGAAAGTTAAGTTCATTACCAGAATATAAGCTGCAGACAATCGATAATCATTCTTCGTGGACAACTCGTTATATTTTCCATAACCGTGTTACATATTGCTCATTTTGATCCATATTATATTTCTGTTTGCTTGAAATAAACAGATAAAAAGTTCACAGATCATAATAATGTTGCACATTTTCCACATTTTATAAGTGAAATAATCTAAAAGTGAAAATAGTACTTTATTGATCTATATTCAAGAATTATTTACTTGAAACAAGATTGTTTATCTTAATGAAAAGTTACTTTTGAGTTAGTTTTGTCTCATGTTTAGTGAAATATTTACACTAGAAACAAAGCATCAATACTTGGTAAGACTTTGTGTTTTTGTAGTGTGCATCAAATTAAACTTTCATTAGCCATCTGGAACTTGGCTTAATCTAATGGAGGAGAAAGAAAAATACCTAAGGGACTGGAAAAAAATCTTTTACCTTTCTCAGAATGACTACATTTTGGTTGAGGTTTACAGAAGTAACTTTTTGTCTCCGCTCAGTTTTTATGAGCCATTGTTTCTCAATGAGACTGAAAACGAGACGTTCTCTGTCACTGATTTGTTGCAATGGTTACTTGGAGGCGTCGCTGGTTTCTCTTGAATGTGACCCTACATTAAGAAGCGAAATAACAAGCGGTTCCTCTTGTCCCTCCAGGGAAAATGTGGTCCCTTGTTGTTTCACAAACTGGAAACAATGAAGCAACAGGAAAATAGAATCATCTGGAGAAGCTGCAAGACATGGGACTAATTCCTCGTTCGCACACGTTCGGGATGATTCAAGCTACCTCAGCTTATCAGTACCATGTTTCTTGTTTTATACTTAAATGTTTATCTGATCACAGTCAGCACCTTTCATTACTGGCACGAAACTAGCCCCGTTTTCTCAACAGCCCTGATCCCTGAATTTGCTCCCTTCGAAGCAAACAACATGTCTGAGTTATTTTTGCACACTTCAAGGGGCTCAAAATGATGGTGTGCAAAGACTCGATCATGCAGTTTGTGCCTGAAATTAGCATGTTTTTTTTCTATACTCCACACTTCACATTCCTTGTCAAGGTTTTATTGTGTGGTTAGGAGGCATGTCTGGGCAAATACTCGCTATAAAAACGAACCAGATTCAGCACAGATGTAAACGGGCAAATTTACAGAGGATGACTGTGGCCACAGCCAGGAAGACAGAGCATTAATACATGCATTAAGTTATAAACAAAATCAACAGACTTTATTCTAACCAGGTTTTCTTTTCATCTGAGATGAGAAAGGAGCCAAAGCAGAAAATGTTCTGCAGACTGGAGCTAATGGTGCTTCTTGTTTTGCTGACAGCAGCTTCATCTATTGCTCTGAGCAGAGAGGATCTCACAGAAGCTGTGGTAAGAACAAACCGAACCGGGCTGCTGCTGGAGTTTTACTGCAGACACAGGGAATTTAATAGCTATAAATGAAAACTCAGTGTAATACTCAATTATTTAAATGTTTATTAGAATTTTATTATCATCATTAATTGAATAAATACTTTTTAAAAGTTTGTAGAGTATATTCTGTGTATTACACAGTATTCATACCCCTTGAAGTTGTAAACATTTAGTCAATTTAATGACATAAATTCAACATGAACTGAATTTTTTTTCATAATGCTTAAGTTTTAAGCTCCAAATAGAAACAGATCAAAAATAAATTTGTGAAAAATTTAAAATGGAATAAGTTTATATTTTGAAGACCTTATAGAGGGTTTTTCAATCTGACATTCACTGGCAGGGAAAGGAAATTCAATGCACTTCAGTTTATTTACTTATTTAGCACTAATTCATAATAAATCTCAAGGCAATTTGAACTAAAATTACTTTACATACTTATCAAATGATACACCGATCATAAGATAATAAGCTAATTATTTCAAAAATTTTACATTTTTGTCTACTTAATGAAATCACATCAAGTCATTATCTCAGCAAAATCCCGACATTGCTCCTGGGTAATTTGATTTTGATAATTTTATACTGATTACTAAAATATCTGCCTTACATTCAACTTCTGAAGTTTCAGTGAAGTTCTCAGGTCTTTGATATGCAATAGAGTTTGATTATTAACTAACCTTAAATTATATTCTGGATTTAACAAGGAGCCAACGGAGGGAAGCTGAAAGAGGAGATCTTTCTCTTTCAACTCCTGCTGCAGCATTTTGGATCAGATGAAGCTTTTAACTCCATTTTGTGAAAGGAAAGAAAACTTCAGCTTTGAAGTAGAAAATGCATGAACCAGTTTTTCAGCGTCACCCCTGGACAAGATATTTCTAAATTAGGCAATATCCCAGAGATTACAATAGAAAATGATAGAAACTTGTATAATATTGGACTTCAATTACAAAATCTGGTTTTAAAATAGCACAGAGATGCTTTACTTCACTCTTGGAGGCCAATGCAAAACTATCCAGATCAGGAGATTGACTAATCAGTTTCTGTTTCTATGTCTTTAGTCTGCCCAACTAACACATCAACATTTATTGATAAATATAGTTGAGTATCATCAGCATAACAGCAAACATTTATCCCACGTTTTCTGATGATTTTACCAATTTGAAATATGGAAAAATTAACTTACATTGTTTTTTCAGCAACATAGAAACTTGTTTTAAATGAATAACATTGATTTTGAAAATACTATTTTAAATATTTAAAAATATAAGTTCCACTGGCTGATTATTTTGCTCATAACATTGGGGAAAATGTCTCTGTAAGATATTTGCTCTAGAAACTAGACCAAAAATACTTGACAAGGTTTTGTGTTTTTGCAGTGTGTTAGCATGACCTCATCAATTGAGATTAATTGGACAATTACAAATTTGCCCTCAAAGATGTGAAACAGGGAATTAATATTCATATTAAATGAGTATTTAAATAAAATACTGGTATTTCATTTCAAGTTTACACATAAAAAATGTGTTTGTTGTGTCAAATTAATCGGTTCTAGTAAAGATAACATACGAAATACTTTAGTTTTGTGTGAACAAAATGTAGTGAATTAACACAGCGATACCTCTCTTGGCCATAAGAGGGCAGTAATAAATAGAAAAACCAGTTTAAACTGGTTTAGTCATGCGAGTGAAATTGAACGTTGCTGTTCATGAATCTTGTCTATTTGACTGAGCTTTTTGTAATTTTGTAAACAAAAACAAGCAGGAATTTCAGTGTCTACATCTGAAAAGCTGGTAGAAACTCCTCATTCCAGGTTTACGGCTGTAATTTCAGAAAAAAACGTGGTTCAGTTTTGTTACTTGCCAGTCTTTCTGATTTGTAAAACATCATTTACTTCACTGGAATCACATGCACAATCAAATACAGTGAAGATTATGATCGTAACGTGGCAGTAGCCCTTCCCTCCAGGGTCCAATAAATTGATTTGGCGTCCAGCTGTTAAACTAATTGCATTTTCTTTTAGGCATATTTAAGGAAGTATGGCTACCTGCACATCCCACTGGACAACACACATCTCAACCCTCCACCTGAAAAAATAGAGGAGGCCCTGAGGTGACGCTTAATGAGGTTCACATCCTCATTTGTTATTAGTTATTCATTGGGATCAATGAGAGTTAAGTTTAATGTTCATGTCAGAATCTTTCAGAAAGTATCCAACCTTCAAGTATCTGGAAACCTGGATTCATCCACACTGGAAATGATGAGGCAGCCCCGCTGCGGTCTGGAAGACTCTTTCAGTAACAATTCTCTCAAATATCGAATCATGGGTGGGTTTCTTTCCTCCGTGAAACACATTCACAGACCGGTGAAGAGCATTAATCACGGTTATTATTGAACAGGTTACTGGCGCAAGAAGATGCTGACGTATCGCATTTACAATTACACCCCGGACCTGGGCGCAGCAAAGACCCGGCAGGCCATCCAGACCGCATTCAAGTACTGGAGCGACGTGTCGTCTTTAAAGTTCAGGGAGCTGCATCAAGGAAGAGCAGACATAAAAATCTCCTTTCACACAAAAGACAAATCCTGTCCAGTGCCCTTTGATGGACGAGGTGGGAGAAAAATTAGATCGCCTCACAAGTTTGTAGACATTTCTGCTGTTTTAAAGGTGACCTTTTATGCTACACAAACATGTTCTTCACTTGATGTTTTGCACAAAATCATTTTTAGATAAGGAGGGTTTACTCTGCTCAGTTCAGTCTGTTTTGAGCTGTTTTAGGGCATCTTGTCACTTCAAATCCCTAACTCAACATTTATACCTGCACCTGAAAGTGGCTGCTAACAAATGTGCAATTATACAACCATACATCTTTGAAAAGCATTAGTAGAACCTCCTGCACAATGAAACACTTATGTTTTCCAGCAGCCATTGTAGAGTGCATACAGCGGTAAAACCAGTTTGCCAAACGCTCTGCTCCACTTTGGGTTGCTAGGTAACAAATGTGACTTAACATTCGTGAGGTTTTTGAAAAGGCTCATTTTCCAGACACCAAAACACATGAACATTTTGCCAAAAAAAACACCTGGGTGTTTTTTTTAGAGGCAGTTGAGACACAAATAGAAGCGCAATTATCTGCAAAGTGTTTAGCATGATAGGTCGCCTTTAAGGTGAGATTTGAAAAAGAGTGAGATGACACTCTTTCTTCGTCCACAGGTCATGTGTTAGCGCACGCTGATGCTCCCGAGTCAGGCATTGTGCACTTTGATGAAGATGAAGTGTGGACAGAGGGGAAGAGCTCGGGCTCCAACCTGAGGATTGTGGCGGCTCATGAGATCGGTCACGCTCTCGGCCTGGGCCACTCGCAGTACTACACCGCGCTTATGGGACCCATTTATATCGGATACCGCGCTGACTTTAAGCTGCATCCGGATGATATAAAAGGGATCCAAGCTTTGTACGGTAATGCTTGAATCTGACGAACGAGACATTAATTGTCTTTATTAAAGGATGCATAAGTTTCTATATGGTCAGTTCAGACTTTTAGCTTGTGATCCTTTTTCTCTCCCGCTCAGAAAAAAAAAGAAAACACTCTGTACCCCAAAATACAGCAGTCGATTTATCACCATACAGAGATCAGGTTCACACAGCAAGCAAATGTGGTCAAAATCCACTTTTTTTCCCCAAATGTGGCCTATATCCAACTTTTTCACTGCAGTCTACGCCTATGCCAAAAAACTGTGAAGTTTTGAGATTAATCTAAGAAATATTCTAGAAAAACATGGAAATTTTAGACTTTTGGAAACTTTTGTTTGAGCCAATTTTTAACTTTTCAAACTCAAACTAGATTTCCAAATAGACTTCTCTACTGAAAATGCAGTTAAAGCTTCCCAAAAGGCCATCGCTATTAGTTATGCTTTCTTTTTATCAGTTTCCTTTGTGTTATGATCTTAAAACCTGCTAGATATCATACCTCTGGTATGATATCTTAAAAACTTCTGGTTTTGAAGATAATTCTTCTTTTAAAATTACTTTTTAGCTATGAAACATCAACAGCAAAGCTGATAAAAATATGTTTAGATTTATAGTTTAAATACCTCTGAAATATGACTTTCCTCTTTAAACAGCAGTTCACATGACACGCAGTTGTTTCTGTATTTCAGGAAAACCAGAGAACAGTCCTCCATCTGTGATTCCTCACCAGCCGGTGCCGCGAGGCGCCGCCCCAGATCCGTGCAAGGCCAAACTGGACGCAGTTATGTTAGGTACAGAGACTCTGGTGCTTAGTTCGCTCTATATTTCACTAAAACATTCATGTCTTTGCTATCATTTCATCAAAAATTATAGTTTTAAGTTTGAAAAGCCAAAAATTTACAAGAAAAAGCTAAAAAAAAAAAAAATTAATAACAGAAATTTTCCAGAAAAACAAGAAAATTTCTGAATTTGAAAAATTTAAAATTAGCAAGAAAACTCTCAGAAAGAACTAGAATTAAACTCCAAAATTTTCAACAAAAACCACAGACATTTATCAGTTTGGAAAACTTAACATTTGCAAGAAAAAGCTCAAAATAACTCAGAAATTTTCTTGGTAAAACATGAAAAAAATTATATAAAATTTGAAAAGTCTGAAATTTGCAAAAAAAAAACTGAAATTCTGAGATCAATCTCAGTATTTTTCTGGAAGACAATTTTTGAATTTGAAAAGTCACCAATTTGCGAAAAATAAACTTGGGAGCTCTCCCAGGAGATTCTGACTTTTTCTCACAAATGTTTGACTTTTCAAACTCTGAAATTTCAAGAAAATTCATGAAATACATTTCAGAATTTTGGAGGGCTTTTTTCAGGAAATGTTCACCTTTTCAAACTCACAAATTGCTAAATTAAGATTAATCTCAATTCTTTGGGCAACATTTACTCTTCTTTTTTTATATATTTATATACAACTGCCGTAATACGCCGTCGTACTTTGCTTCGTCCAGAGGAAGTGGTCATTTTCCTCCCGTTTTCTCCTCAGCTCCACCCAGTAAGACATATGTGTTCAGTGGACAGTATGTGTGGACGGTGTCCAGCTCTGGCTACAACACTCCCACTGTGATTTCTGCTCTGTGGAAGGAGCTGCCAGGAAGCATCGATGCAGCTGTTTATTCTCAGCGGACTGGAAAATCTTACTTCCTGAAAGGTAGATCCAGTTATTTTTGCAGGCCAAGTTTTAGTCGTAAAAAGAAAACTCTCAGTGTTTTTTTTTTATGTTTTTCTGCCTTTCAGGAGACAAAGTGTGGAGGTATACTGGCTTCAAACTCGACAGAGGCTTCCCTAAACGTCTGACCAGCATTCCCGGAAATATCGACTCAGCCCTTTACTTCCCCAAGAACAAGAAGCTGATCTTTTTGAAAGTAAGAAACAGAAGTAGGGCTGCAACTAATAATTCTTCTAATCAATTATTCTAATCAATTGTGACTATTAATGAGATAAAATCACTGGCACATTCTGCATATTTTTCATTCAGCCACATATTACTAGAAATATGTTGAAGGATGCAGTTCACATGCTCAAATATAAACATTTCATAACCTAAAACACAGTAACACCATTTGTTTAGTGAAGGCGTCATCATTTGGAGCGAAGGATAGATCTGCAGCTAACAAAAAGCTTTTACAATCAACATGAGAAAAGTGCAGGCCTTTCTGCTTGACTTCACACCAATATAGAGCTGATCTGTTGATCAATATTTAGATTTACCAACGTATAACTGGATAGCAAAAGGTGCTTTACATAATTTCTACAAGGTGAAACCAAAACTGGGCAGAACATATTTACAAAACATGTGTATTTTTTAATATTAAATGCAAAATGTATTTATTTTTTTATACATTTTTGTCTTGTTTATTCATCTAAGAAGGTTGGTTTTTAGCAAATGGCATTTTTTTGTGTCTGTATGCTGCAGTTTATGATTGATTATTAAATTAGTTAATTATTTCAATAACAATTAATCCAGTTAATCGCTTCAGGCCTGTTCTCAATGACAGTGGTGTCAAATTCATTATCATTTTGGGCCACAAAAAGATCAAACTGCTAAAATTTCTCTTTGCTCAGTTAGTACTCTTTAATAAAAAATATTTTATTTTACAGTTTTGGTCTAATTGCACTTGCTGCTGTTGTTCTTTCAGCAAATTGACTCTTCTGGAGTCTGCAGATTTCAGTTAGACAATCAATTCAATCAGTACTAAATTAATTGATTATCATTTCAATAATCTATTCCTCACTATTAATCCGCATTTCCATCTACTTACTCTCTTTTAATTACGCTTTTCTCCATTTTAGGGCTCTGGTTACTGGCCGTGGGATGAATTTGGCGCCACGGACCTCCGTGCGTACCCCAGACCCATCGGGAATCTCTTCAATGGGGTCCCCAGCAACACGGATGCTGCCGTGACGTGGACAGACGGCTATGTGTACATGTTTAAAGGTAGCCAGCACTGGCGTGTGAACCAGAAGAATCAAGTAGTGGAGAAGAAGTATCCTCAGGACACAGCATCTACCTGGATGCAATGCGACGACTGAGCCACTAGAGGCCGCCAGCCGTTCAACACAGGCATAATCTGCACAATGTTTCAACAGCAGAGGGAAGATTTGACTCAGATTCTGGAGGTTCAAGAAATATATTGTTACTATAAACAGTTCGCTGACAAATAGAGGACACTGTATTACTGCAATAAAGGAATAACACATGACAGGTATTTATAGTCATATTTTTTTATATTTTTTCTCATTTATTTAGTCTGTATAGTAGTCAGTGAATGTTACCCTGAAACAGTGTCTCCCTAGTGTATTTTACTGTATTCTTGTTTTTATATTTTTTCTGTGATTTATGGAGATTGTATGAAATAGAATTAAAATCTTACAAAATAACATTATTTTCCCTGACTGACGGAGATCAGACAAGACTTAACATTTTCTGTTTTTGGTAATTTAGGATTATTAAAATTACATCTATTTGCCAAATGCAAGATTAGGAGTTTTTAAAATTGTGCTTTCTTTAAAATCAGATATTTATGTACACCGAGATTACCTCTTTAAACAATATAAGAAAGCCCAAATGATGACGTTATGGCTTTGGAAGGTTCTGATACATGCAAGTATAAACAGTATACAAATTGATTGTCTTTATCAACAAGACGCCATATGGACTCAGAATTTTATCGCAATATTTTGTGGTACTATTGAGACAACAATAAAATTATGATAAAAAAAAAAAGTTACTGTTTGTAAGTGACTGCATAGCACAGCATTCATAGTGCCACAAACACAAATATTGTTCCTGAAAAACATTCCCATTTACTTTCTCCTGTGTCAGTGGGTCAGATAAGGTGAAGCCACCTGCATGGTGGATGATGCACAACCTTTACAGGATTTGGATTAGTTGATAGAAAGTTTACCTCTCGTGCAAACAATCCGTGGATGGATTAGCATGTTGATCTAATGAAGGCGGTTCGGGTCAGAGATCCTCCACCTCATCCTGATGACGTCAGACTAATTTAAAAACAACAAATATTTGAGTTCACTGCTTAAAGTGACATAAACATAAAATCTGTCAAATGCAACAATCTTTGTTGCAAGAACAATCTAAAAATGTATTCTGGTCAAGGTAGCAACTTTTAGATTTAATAAAGATTTTTTCAGTGCATTTAAGAAAATGACTTGGTAATTTATTCTGTTTACTCTGGAGAGAAACTAAATGTTTGCATAATTCTGTCACTATGACAAATACTGTATTTTGTGCGAATACAAATTGCTCAGTTTTTGTTGTTGAGAAAACAGCAACTGTATCTAAAAAAAGTCAATTTTTCTATCAGGATGGATGGATTTTTTATTTCTAGTTTGCATTAATATAAAATAAAATAACAGTGTAATTTAAAAAAATCATTTTAATAATCTTAAAATAAGATAGAAAAAATGCTTTATTGGTCCAACTCAACATTGTAATAGTTTACAGTCCACAGTTAAACAATTTTGTTGACATTTACTTTGAGAAAATTAACTTTTTTCTTAGTTAAGCGAGCGATGAACGTTCTGATCAAGATTTGTTTTGTCCAAGTAATTCAGGCTTCTACAAATGTAATCTTTTAAAATTGGTTTTCACATTAAAAATAAATTAAAACAATGCCATGTAAACTGAATACAATCATACAACAGTTCCTCAATTTCCTAATCCACATATCCCATTATTTATTTTGCATATTTTGTTCCAAAAGGATCTTGGAAGCTTTAATTTGCTGTCAACACAAGTATAACTTGGTTAAAAATTTATATTTTGTTCTCTCAGTACAACTACATCCTTCAACTTGCTACTGCTAAGGATGTTTTTCTGCTCAGCAGTTTCCCAAAGTGCTAAGCTAATGTTAGCATTACTTTCTATTGTGATATGACTTGTTGATAAATCAGAGTGGTTCCAGCTAGTGGAGACCCAACAGTACAGAAGTTTCTGCCTCAAAAACCTAACTTCTAGTTGTGTACCGGGAAGCTGCAGCAGCCAATTTCTTCTTTTTTTTTCTGCAAACATCCATCTAAGTCTCAAAAAACAGTCACTTTGTCAGGAAAATACCCAACAAAATAATATGCAGAGCTTATAATAAAGTATAAAAACTGACACAGTTTGCAAGTCATGCACATAAAAATTGGCTGCCATGTTTAAAAAGTCTGAAGCACAAACCGTGACCACAGAGCTTGTTGGCTAACATCTTGGATACAGCTGACATGAAATCACAGCCAGTCCAAGAACAACAGGTGTTGGGAGTTGAGTTTGACCAACATTGTTCTAAAATGCCTTGATCAGGACACCCATATCATTGCCCAAATAAGATATGGTTTGGATCTGGATGCATCAAGTGGCATGGACTGTTCCAAACATGAAGGAACATTTTCTAAAGGAGACCTATAATGTAAATTCACATTTTGCATGTTTTTATTTGGGCCTGAGCACTTAAAAATGTTTTTTAGTATCTGGAAAATGAGCCGTTTAAAAAACCTCCTAAATCTAAACGTGACACAATCAGTGGGCACTGTGCTGCTCTTGCTGAGCTCCAGCATGTTTGATCAGCTGGCTTTACTGCTGTATGCACTGTATAATGGCTGCTGGAAAAGTCAAGTGTTTTTTAGTTGACTTACTATCCAGAAAACAGTTGCTGCATTCTTGTTGGTTGTGCAGCAGGCTCTACTAATGCTTTTCAGAGAAGGAACTCAAATAGATAGAACAGACTTGACTAAAATCCCAAAATCTATGAATGATTTTGTACAAAAAAATTGTAATGAATGCATTTTTTTTATAATTCGAAGGCCAATCCTAACCTGGTTGGAAGCATTAAAGGTCACCTTTAAAAAAGAAAGGTTTTCTGATGTTTACATTTAACAGCACACTTTTTTTTTTCAAAGGTGAATACAAATATTTGAGAATAATACTTCTCAAAGAATGTTGGAGTTATGAGGCTGAGGAATAATAAACGTAATTTAACAATCAGGAAAGACGACAATTTTCTAATGAAGCTTGCGAAGAAAACCCAAAGCAGATACTGAAATATCTGAACACGTTTTGTGAAAGTAAACAGTTCAAAGTTACTTTCCCAGAGATTTGCTCTTTCGGTTAGCCGTGCTTGTTCAGACTGTGAAGATGTGGGAGGCGGAGGTAAGAGGCACCATGGAGCCCGTCTCGAAGTTGAAGTCGATCAGGGTGTGTGTGATGGTGCTGACGCTGCTGGTGGAGGAGCCGGTGCCCAGTTGACGCTCTTGGAGTTTGTGGAGATAACTCTGCAAGGCAGGTAGCAGAGAGTTAGTTACACTAACCAGCTACTGGCAAAAACTTGCAGCCAATCAGGTTTTCTGTCATAAAATCAGGATATTTTTGCATTTTATGTTTTCATTTGAGCCACTTACTGGTGCGAGGACGTCGCCAGCGTATCGCTTCAGAGGCGGAGGCCTGCGCTGACGGTACGGCCGGGATCTTCTCCTTCCTTCTCTATTTTTCTGCTTTGTTCCATATTTCTTCTGTTTTTTATTTGCACCTGGAAAAGAGAATTTAAATAAATTAAAAATAGTTCATTCATTTATTCAGTCTGAACTTCTTTGTATTTTATGTCCCAATCAAAAACTACTTTATGTGTAACATAAAGTAGTTTTTATGTAGTAGTGACCACAGGGAACGGAGGTTGAGGTGCCAGAGATACCATCATGGGAGGACAAGCCCCTACATGGGATGTACCACCAGCAATTAATCCAAGTGGCTGATATCAGTAAATCCTACCAATGGCTGGAAAAAGCTGGACTCAAGGACAGCACAGAGGCCCTCATCCTGGCCGTCCAGGAACAGGCCCTAAACACCAGAGCAATAGAGGCCCAGATCTACCACACCAGACAAGACCCAAGGTGTAGGTTGTGCAAGGAGGCCCCTGAGACAGTCCAGCACATCATAGCAGGGTGCAAGATACTGGCAGGGAAAGCGTACATGGAGCGACATAACCAAGTGGCAGGCATAGTGTACAGAAACATCTGTGCAGAATATGGACTGGAAACTCGGATATCAAAGTGAGAAACACCCCAAAGGTGGTGGAGAGAACGCCAGAGCTAAGATCCTGTGGGACTTCCAGATCCAGACAGACAAAATGGTAATGGCGAACCAACCAGACATTGTCGTAGTGGATAAAAATCAGAGGAAAGCCGTTGTGGTAGATGTAGCAATACCAAGTGATTGCAACATCAGGAAAAAGGAGCACGAGAAACTGGAGAAATACCAGGACCTCAGGGAAGAACTGGAGAGGGCCTGGAAGGTGAAGACCACAGTGGTGCCTGTGGTCATCGGGGCCCTCGGGGCAGTAACCCCCAAACTGGAGCAGTGGCTACAACAGATCCCAGGAACAACATCAGACATCTCAGTCCAGAAATGTGCAGTCCTTGGCACAGCCAAGATACTGCGCAGAACCCTCAAGCTCCCAGGCCTCTGGTAGAGGACCCGAGCTCAGAGGATAAGAACCACCCGCGGTGGGTGAGAAGGGAATTATATATATTTCATTCCATAAATTAGAATATGGCTAAGAAGTTCCTTTGTTAGAAATTCCATAACCAAGTGAAAAACATTATATAGATTAAATAGATTACGTCCATTTGAACACATTTATATTTCGTAGTTTGTTTAATACGAGCTAAAAAGTTACTTTTAATCTGACAAGCCTGATCAGGACAGGTATTCTATTAATAAGGCGTTCACATGTAAGTGTTTATTCTTAGCACTAAAAAAGAAAAGGCCTTCCAGTAACTGGGTGCATCATCATTCATCCCCACCAACGTGCAACACAAAGTTACACCCTTGATTACCTCCCACCTGCAGGTGGCAGCATTTCTTCCTTCTACTCCACTGCTAACTCAGCAGTAACTAAAATAAAAAATTATGTATCGTAAAAATCTAAATGTTTCTGGCAAATATTTTCGTTTAGCTCCAGAAAATATGTGATTCTGATCTCTTTTTTTTCTGATTTACTTCTGCAAGCATAATATTTTTGAGGGACGGATCAGTGTGAAAATATACACACAACTATTTATTATAACAGTTTGTTAAAGGCTGTTATCAGTGCATTCTGGAACAACCAGCCCTTCAAGAACATTCAAGATCCAAAAATGCAGATGAGTTTGACACTCCTGTTTTACAGTGTTGAAGTCTGTGGTAATTTAGAAAAATGGAAAAATGTTAAAGATCCACTTTTGTGTCTGCAGGCTGCACCAAACTCACCTTCACAGTGTGAAACTCCTCTCGCAGTGAACCACCACTGCACCAACACGCCCACGGTGCTCAAAACAGGACAGATCCCAGTGATCGCCCAGTTAAACCAGCAGAAGGGTCGCGGAGCCGCTTCACAAAACACGTCATACACTTGACGCGGCAGCACAAACGCGCCCACCATGAAGTCCGCGCACAGCATCACGGTGGCGGCTCCAAACACAGACGTGTAGAAGATGCTGAACATCCTTTGCCACTGCAGCGTGAACACAGCAGAGGCGATGCTGGCCGCCAGTACGGCGCAAAGAGGCGCCCACACCGGAGTGAGGCTGTGGAACTGGCCCACAATCACCAGCATGGACACGGAGAGGAGGCTCCCGAGCTGCAGGCCGCAGAGGAGGAGTCCCAGCGTGGACACCAGCGCGGTAGACAGTCCACACAGCACGCCGACTCCCAGCCCGATGCCCGCCTTGGCGTCCTCTCTCAGCTGACCCGTGAAGTCTGGCTCCTTATGGAAGAACAGGAGCGCAGCAGATGAGGCAAACATGAACCCGGAGAAGAACATGACCATCTTGAAGCAGCGATAGCCTGCAAAAACAAAAACACACCAAAAACAAGAGACTCTCCTTAAACCTGCAGAGTTGCACATTTGAGCTCCAGTTTATTTCCTGTTGGCCTCCCTGCGCCACTCCACTCGATTCTAATCTCTCTTCACACAGTCTGGGTTTTCTCATCATAACTAACATTGCAACCAATGAGGCGCAGTCAGATCAATACATTTCCTCAATTTATTTGAAAAAGAAAATCTTCAATAATTGTGTGTATTTTTCTGTCTCTTTACAGTTTAGTACAACTTTGTGTTACCATTGCAAAAAATAAGTAAATAAAATCCATAAAAATTTGTGGTTGTAACATGAAATGTTCCAAATATTTGAATATTTTTCCTTATGATCAATTTTCAGATCTTTCCATAGAGAAACTATTTAAGTTTTTATGGTTATGATAATATTTACATTTATTTCTTTGCATTTTAGGGAAGTTGTGGCATTTATGGTAAGAAACTTTAAGAATATTTTAGTAATGTTTAGACTAGGCGGTATGATAAAATGCTAAACGTATTGCCATATGTTGTATATATGTAAACACTAATCATCTGGTGAATAAAATAAGCTGAATTGCATCAGTTTAATGTTGAACAGGCCACACCACCAGACTTTGCATAATGTCAGGGTTCATGGTTGCCTGATTTATCTCAACGTTTTCTCCCAGTGAAAGCAGAACGGGAAATGTTTGCATCACGTTACAATGCATGCCCACTAAACACAAAATCCCCGTTAAAAACCGAATGAGCGTTGACACCATGACATCAGTGGGATTTCATTCAATGCAACAGGTGGCGACTCATGAATGCTGTCTGTATAAAATTTAGATTCCCATCTGCCTCCTCCAGCTTTGGACTTATCCACTCTAAACCCCTGGCAACCTGCAGACGCCTCCCTCAGGGGATTTAAGCCGTCAGGTGAGCTAATGAAACATTTAAAACAGCTTCGTGTAAGCTAACACTAACATCTAATACGCACCAAAAAAGCAGTAGATGAGGCCGAATGAAAGGCAGATGGAGCACACAACAGACGGGATGACTTCATATTGCACATTATTGTTTAGGACACATATATCCAGTTCAGTGATTCCAGCTCCAGGCTCCTCTGTAATGTAGAGTGAAGACACAGCCATCATGGAGGATTGTTGCTTTTGTGTTGCCCAGCTGCTTTGGACATGAATGTGCTTTGTTCATTGAAGGAGGGAAGCTGGAAGTCCAAGCAAAGAGGAAGTTCCTGGATCCAGAGCATGCATTAAACCGTTTCCTGGTTTCTACCTGCAAAAAGAAAAGGACATAATTTCAGGGTTTGACAGAAATTGCAGTTTCCCATAGTGAAAAGCAGTATGTTTAAATAAATTTTTAGTTGATATTAAAGAGGTCCTATTATGCAAAAGTCGTGTTTTGAATGTTTCTGGACTTGAGTTTGGGTTTTAAGCAGTTTCTAAAACTGCTCAAGTGCTTAAAACAATCATCCAGATGGTTTTTGGTGTCTAAAAAGTGAGCTATTTCCAAACTTTCTGAATGTAACGTCACAAATCAGCGTAATGCCAGTTACCTAGTTTTACCGCTGTATGCGCTGTACAATGGCTGCTGGAAAAGACAAGAGTTTTTTTCATTGACTTGTTTAGAAACCACTTAATGGGTTCTAGATGGTTGTGCACGAGGCTCTACTAATGCTTTTCAGAGATGTAAGGTTGTATAATTGCACATCTTTTTGCAGCCATTTTCACATGTGAGTGTTGGGGGGCGTGGCCAGCAGGAGATTATTTGAATTTAAAATGACAGCAGCTTGTTTTTAAAAGGAGCTCAAAATAGGCAGAGCTGACCAGATTAAAATGATTGATGAAGAATGATTTTGTGCAAAAAATATAACAAACATGTTTAATATAATCCCTTTAGACCTGTCCTAACCTGTTCAAAGAGGCATAATAGGTCATTTTTAAGGAAGTGCCTTTTCCCATGCCCAAATTTTCTATCCGGGAAGCAGAGAGGGAAACCTAGCGTCCCTTCCAAGTTTTATGTTTTGTTTAAGAACAGGATGCAGCTGAGGAAATGACCTGCTGGCTCCATGCCTCTGTTTTTCACATGCATTGTTCTGAGCATGTGGTTTGCTCCTCCATTTGCTGAACAATAACAGGGAAACAAACATTTAGACACCAATAAAAGCAGCAGGATGGACATTTTCCCAAAATGAACAGTTATGTCAGTCAAAAAACTTGAAGTATCGTGCATTCAAAAGGAGTAAAATTCCACTCATATTTAGTTTATAAGATTAAAATGATCTTGTGAAAATAACCTTCAATTAGGTATTAAAGATACTTTCATTAAGCTCTCATTTCTGCTTTTAAAAATAGTTTTTTTATTGGTTTGATGTAATATTCTAATTTAAAATGTGTTTTTATGAGCTGTTAGCAGAAAATCGTCATGATTAAAAGACATAAAGGTGTTAAAACATTCAACTCTGTCTAATTAATTGGTATAAAGTGGCAGTAACAAAATGACTTCAACAATATTAAAAATTATTGAATAGTTCTATAGTTCTACGGCGTTTATTTGCTGATGTATAACAAAATATAACTAAAGATTAACACTTATAAAGTAAGAGTCATTATTTTGAGCTTATTTATAAACTTTCTGAACATTTTAAACATGTTCACCTGCAGCTGATTGTATGATTCTTTCGATGCAGCATACATTAGCCTCCTGTAAAGACATGCTAAGCTGTTGAGACAGATCCTACGGTCAGCAAATGGAATTAGAGGAGCTTTAGCAGGTGAGCCATTCTCATGTTACTGTGAAGCACAAGAAAACTTTCAGACGTGGACATCTCTCTGGTAAAACTGAAACAAAAACACTTGATTTTTTGTTAATTTTACTCAAAAAAACACTACTACAGTATCAGATAACCCACTGCATTACCACAAACGCAACAAATGAGAATATAAAATGTGTAAAAACATTTTCATGGCCTACCTGCAGTGGTCCACATCCTCGGGTTTTAAATGCACGATTTAAATGTGAGCATCCTGATCGGCTTGTAAACAGGGAGCGTTCAGTCAAGAGTCTGTCCGGAGTTTCTACATCAACTGTTTCCCACTGACAGCGTCCAAACGGTAAGTCCGTCATCTGTGCTTGTAAACAGCTGACGCCTGAGAGGGCGGCCATCTGCCCCCAGCGTTAGACCGACACAGCTGCCAAGTCCAAGGCCAAGTCAGGGAGTTCGACCCATAATCCTCCAGGAACACTAACCTGCATGTCTGCTTTCTTCAATTTACCTAGCATATCTTTTTAATAGGTTCAGCTTTGAATCTACATGTGTCTTTGTATACTTGAGAATTAAAGTAACAGTGTCCAAACTTTTCAACAAATGCAAAAATACAACGTTTTACCAATTATTTCTAGTGCAAATATCTAAGTACACTTGAAAGTAGAGTTTCTACAAGATAAAGGGGCTTATTTTAAGTAAAGTTTTCCTTAAAATTTATCTAGAAAGTTCTGGTTCCACTGGTAGATTATAAGACTTTTTTCCCATGTTATAAGTGAAATGATTTACCAGCGAAACCAGTATGTTTTAATAATTAATAAGAAATTATTTACTTAAAACAAGCTCCAATAACGTCCTGAAAAGTTACTTGGAAGTTAGTTTTGGCGCATTTCAAAAGTGAAAAGAAATACTTGATACAAAAATAAAAATTGGTAAGACTATGTGTTTTTGCAAGATGAAAGTAATCGAGGGCCACAAAATGTAAATATTCTTTTATTGTGGTGAAGAGCTGCAGAAAATCACTTAGATGGGCGTAAATGTGCCATGGACCTTAATCTAAAGAATCTGGATTAATCCTTTCAAAAAGAAATAAGGAAACCTTACAGGTGGGCGTTTCTTGCTGCACCAGTTACCAGATGGACTACACTTTCATCAAATCCAGTACAACTCAAACCAGGAAATGTAAAATTGTCAAAACGCCAGCTGGTCGTTTTCCAGTCTGGATTTTTGACCTGAACGAACCATGACAACATCTGGATGGATTTTATGACACATGTTCATCCCAGCAGGAGTTGTACACCAAACACATGTCGAGGCGTTAATGCAGTTTACTCAAAGTACCATTCTCACTCAACACCATTTCCACCATCTAGATAAAAAGCTAAAAGCAGACTTGATTTTACAGCTGCTAAAAACAGACTTTTTTTGCGCTGCAGCTGCAAGCAGTAAAACAAGCTAAAGATATAACGTAGTTTAAAATACCACAGTGACAAGTATAGCATGGTGCTGCTGTTGGCACTCAGAGACAACCTTAGATGTCCCAAAAAAAAGAAAACAGTCAGGAATTTTGGATTTAAAAAGATCCTTTGTCATAATTCAGAGAAGTAAGTTACAATTTGCATTTTTCATAGTGAATGCAGCCTAGGATAAAAAAAAACTATATATAAATTAGACATGAACAAAAAAAAAAACAGCATAAAGCAACAATAGAAATATGAATTTGTGTAGAAAAGCGTTGAGTTTGAAGGCGACCGACTCAAATGTCTTTCAAGCAGCTCTGAACATCTGAGCCTTTTAGATTTGTGTCTCTTTTTCGCCCCCTGCCGGTCACTCTGCTTATTTATCTATTCCATGACACTTATCTCTTTCATGCATGAATTAAAATCTTTTATGTCAGGATTTATTTTCCAAAGGGATTAAAAAAATATTGGGAAAAAAATTTATTTTTCCAGGATTTTTTTGACGTGATCGGTTGTAATTTTCTCCAAATACAAAATTGTTATTTTGAAAATACATCAGTAGTGCTACTTGATGTCACAATATTTTTTTTTACCTGCAAGAGAAGAAGGAGGAACTGGATATTCTTGAGTTGCTTTAGATTTAGCAAAACTTTCCTTGCACTTGCAGAGGATGGCCAGTAGTTGGCAGTGTATTGTATGATGCACTGGTGTCCACTGCAAACACCGCAATGCTTGAAAGGGTTAAATGGTTCCAATGGCCCAGTCAAAGTCCAGTCCTTAATGTAATTGAAAACCAGTGGTACGACTTGAAAATTGATGTTCAAACTAAACTTGAGCTATTTTGGAAAGAAGAAAGGGCCAAAAATATCACTCTGTGCTGCAAAGTCCTACAGAGCAAAAACATGAACTCTCTCACAATAACACATCTTTGTGTTTATCTGTGGCACAAAATCTCAGTAAAACTCATTAACAGGAACATATTATTGATGTGAGAAGCCACTCCTGCCTCCTGTGGCTCTGTATGATCAGTCCCAGAGCAGAGCATTAAAAAAAAATCTGTGACAGACTTTAAGCACATGAAAAATATCCAGAAAGTGGACATTAATAATGACAGACGCTGAGCTACTGAATATTCACAGCAACTCTGAGCGGCGCTGAGGTTGGCTCAGGTTATGAGCTGCCTGCTTGAATTAGGCTCCACTTGTGAGAAACGTACCAAAGAAAGAACAAACCTTTTGTGCTTCCATCAACCAAATATGCTTTTCCATCTTCAGAATTTGCAGATGAAAGAAAAGCATGCTTTTAACATTTGAGTAGTTGAATAAAAACCAACAAAAGTGCTTTGTGGAAGAGAAGGTGGAGAGCTTGTTTCATTTCATCTTAGCCATGCAACTGCTGCTCTTGATTTTGCCGCATCTTCCTGCAAGTCAAATTTCTAAATTTTCAGCCAAACAGGAGCAGAATGAGCGTTTGTAGGATTTAACATACTGCATACTGCAATATAAATCTAAATAAATGATCATTTTAGTTTGCTAAAAGCTCTGCTGCATCCTGAAATATTAAAAGATAAAGTTAATCAATTCACAGAAAGTCACGTGTGATTGCTGAGTGGGGACTATTGATCAGAACGGACTCTTTCTCATTTCCAAAAGAAATGAACCGTCTGTCACCAGACTGTCTCCAACGCCTGTAATAGTGAAGTCGTATTGATTCTGCACCTTCTGAAAATAAAGAAAGAGAAAGTTAAAGTATTTGACAACACACCACTTTTTAAGAACTGATCCGTAGGTTATGTTTCATAAAATCAGCAGAATACACACATACCGTGTGTGCAAACAAAGAGATTAACCTTAAAAAACTCATCCGAGATCATCAAGGAGAACTGATATAAAGTCTGTTTTTATACATCAGAGGTTTACTGAGCTCAAAGTGCAAATCTGCAACGGCCATTAATCCATACTGAAATGTTTGCTGTTAGAGTGAAGGAACACCAAGCATTTACTCAGATTGGTTTCCTATCTGAGAAGATGTTTGTTTGCAGTGGATCTTTAAAGTTTATTCAAGCCCATAAAACCTGTGATGTAAAACTGTGACGTGAATTTGATGTGATTCAGCTCTAAAACCTTAAGTCTTAATTATAAAACAATAAAATCATAGTATTGCATTAGTAAAGTTATCATTTTATGTCTTTGTTTAGAGAATAAAGTCAGAATATTATGACATAATATGACTTTATTCTCATTATCTCAACTTTATTCTGATATAATTTTGTTCCAGAAATATCATGTCTTTGTTCTCATATTCTGACTTTATTCTTGTAATTTTATCACTTTATTCTCATAAAATGGTGACTTAATTCACTTATTCAAGTCTGTTCTTGTTAAATAATTTTTAATCTGTTTTATTTTCTTATTATGGCTCAATTAGGTTTTTTTTCCTTTTCTTTCTTTTACATATTTGGAACATTTTTTTTACAACGTTTGATTTTCCAGTCATTTGAATGGGATAGCTGCAATTTTAAAGGTGGAAGAAAAATTCAGATTTTATTTTTCTTTACTTTATTTTTCATTTCAAAACTCTGGCCTTTTTCCTGGGTTGTGCACACTAAAGGTTTATTTATTTGCTTGTTGTTCTTTGCTTTGAAACGTGGATCTTCATGGATGAAAGGAAATGCACAGATATTTGATTTCTCAGAAACTTTTTATGTTGCAATAAGATCTGATCTGCATTTTGTCCTTTTGTCCTGACGGAGCTTCCAGGCCTGAAGCTCCTTCGGTTCGCACGCCACAGGATAAATGGATAAAAACAATGATGAGCCTCTTTACCGCTGTGCAGCAATCAGCTCTAGTTGCTCTTTGAACATTTGTGTTAATGACGAGAGCTCTTGACAGACGTGGTGAATAAATTTTTCATTCTGGCGTAGGAACGACTCATTGTGTTTCAAAAGAGATCCAGCCATGAATTACTTTCTGCTGACATCCTGTCTCTGGTAGAGACTCTTCTTCTAATGCTAATTATTTCAGACTCACATGTTCTTCATATAATCATATCAGCAAATATATGTTATTTGTAAATTAGATTTAAAAACTATAAAGAGTTTAAAACCATACATAGGCTTAAAGGGGGCATATGCAAAATCCACTTTTTTGTGTACTTTGACTGTCAAGGAGTTGAATTTTTTTCATTTACTCTCTCCTGCTTAGATATCTTCATATTTATTTTAGGTTTTCTTTTGCCTATAACGACTTGCATTCACTGTGGAACTGCTGATCAAGACCACAACTTCTAGATGATCAGTTTTATCAAGCCGCAATTTTTTTCCACGCAGTGATTTTGTGGTCCAAGTTCAGTTATGTCAAAGTTACAAGTAGACAAGTAAAAATGTTATTTCTGAAAATGCAACAACTCAAGCTATTCTTGACCATTTGTAGAATAAGATGTGTCTGCAGCAAAAGAAAACAAAAAACTTCTAACATCAACATGTGAAAAGTTCAAGCCTTTGTGCTTGACTTACCGGGTCATCAATAAAAAGTAGGGCTGGTCTGCTGATCAATTTCCCATTCATCACTTAGTAATTGAGAGTAAAATGTGTTTAATACAAGATTTTTTTACAGAATTTGAACAAAGTGAAATCAAAATTGACATTTGATGAGTTTTAGATTTTATATAATTCAATCATTTTGACTTTAAATGTAAAATGTGTGTAGTTTTTTTTTTACATGTTTGGCTTATTTACTTATCTAAGAATGTTCTTTCATTTCAACAATCGGCCATGTTTTAAGTCTGCATACTCCAATTAATGATTAATCAATTACTGAATTAGTTGACAATTATTTCATCACAATTAATCAGATTAATTGTTCAGGCCTACGGAAGATGTAACTAAACGATCATCAAGATTTGATGTTGGTTGAATTTGGACACAGATGCAGACGCTTTTTGAGGCGTTGTATATCTTAAGTAAGAATTCAGAAGCAAATACAGAATTTACAAAAATGCGAGAAGGCAAACGATGATCAACAAACCATGAAACAAGGAGTAACATGAACAAACAAGAGAATCCAGGAAGGGAGTTAATTTGATTGCTAGACGATGGGAGGAATGCTAATTAGAAAACAGGGTGCAGCTGTGGGGAGAGCAGAAGGCAGACTGAGGGAGAGAGAGAGAGAAATGGCACACAGGAGCAAAACTGGGTAACAAGCAGAGCTTAAAACTAAAAGGGATGAAGGTAACTAAACACAAGTAATAAACAAACACGGTCTAGCCAGAGAAACAACTACTAACCGACTGATTTAAAGTAAGGCTAAAACAAAGATTGATTTAAATCAAAACAAGGAATAAGTGAGGCCAAACACAGGCAAAATGAGCAAATGAACAGAAAATGCATTTTTTAAATGTCATCAGGAATCAAGACAATCTGAGAGCTTAAAGCCAGCAGAGAAAACATATATTGGAGAAACTAAACCACTTCACCAATGATAAACATTGAAAAGCTCATCCACATAAACTGGCTACATGTTCGATCTGCTAATTAATAAGCCCATCTGGTGCCAAAATCCGATTCCCCTCAGACTGCGGCTCTCGTTGAGGCCTCATTTATCAAAATAAGCCAATTAGAGCACTCACATCCATTTTGCTGTGCATTTATCTTGTAGAGCTGAAGCCGTGGGCGTTATGAATCATAAAGTTGTTAATAAAGAGTTGCTATAATCTCAAAAGTTCTTAAGTTATTCCTAAACTCATTTACAGAGGATTATAATTTGGTGATAGTAAATGGGACTTGATTTGAAATAAACTAAGCCCTTCAACATAGCTGACATTTCTTTTAAAAAACATTAAATAATGTGACAAAAATGTGACTTTATAACTGGTGGGTTGAATATAATAATACTTTTGCCGTTAATTAGCAAGAAAACCACCAGCAGCAACATGATTCTGCAAATTTAACAAGTCAGGGGCTTTTTTAATGATTTATTGTCCAAAGAAGAGATTAAATGATTCAATTAGAGGTTTATGTCAACAATTAAAACTCCAGGATGAAAGTGGTTGTGTTATATTTCCTAAAAAACCCACAGTAATCTCAGACTTAAACATTTGATTCAGAAGTTTAAATATATTTAAATTATATACTTAGAGTCCCAACTAAATATTTAATTTGCAAACTAAGTATTTTAGCTCATGAATTAAAGATTTAGTCTGGAACTCTGCTCTGATATTTATAAATGTATGAATAACATGGTGAAAACATGACTTTGAAAAATTTAAATTCTTTTTCTAAGACAGGCTCAATAAACCTAAATATTGCTGTTAAATTTTTACAGTGCAGCCTTACAAACACTAAAGCTTGGGATGTTTAATATTTACAGTATAAACAGGGATATTAAAATAAATACACTGCTGAGAAATGCAAAGTACACAAATCCACACAGAGTTCACCAAGAATATCCACACATCTTTTTACCGGAAACCTAAACATAAACAGGGAGTATGAGCAGCGTTTTATGCACTGAGCGCGCTGGCGTCATCCTCCGTTACGTTGAACCTGCTGCACGTTTGACGGCTGAGCTCCTCCTGCTCTGTGACCGGTTCGTTGCTCCCATGGGAAGAACTCTTCATCACGCTGTAATAAATCGGCACGTTGTACTCGGCCTCCCTGCCGTGGCGGCTGCACCTGCACAGCTTTTTAAACGCCACGCGAAACTTCTGAGACATGAGGTTGTAGACGACGGGGTTGATGGCGCTGTTGGTATAGATGCACATTCGGCAGAAGAGGAGGAACCAGGTGTCGTGGTACGGAGGGTCGATGAAGGAGTTGACCACCACCAGCGTTCTGTAAGGCATCCACAGCAACGCGAAGAGGATCACCACCACAGCCAGCATCTTCGTTATCTGTTGAGGGGAAATTACGGAAATCGTTTAGTTATGCAGCTGTCATGACTTTGTAAAACCTTAGGGAAGATCAAGCTTTTCTGTAAGGTGATTCCAGAAATCCCAAAGCTAAATTGTTAGATAAGAAACAGCTTTTATTCCCCGGCAAAGGGGAATAAAAATAAGAGCCTTCTGCACTGAAGCCCATTGAAAACCTCCAGGTTATTCCTCCAAATATTGATTCCTGAACTCTTCCTGAGTTCAAACATTAGAACTGTTGTTTCTAAATGAACATAAACTTGTTTTCTTTTGATTATGTGAGGTCTGAAAGCATTGCATCTTTTTTCTTTTCTGCAAATAAACACTAAAATTTATTTGCAAAGAGGGGAAACAGGTTTTTCTGAGGGTTTGGTTCCTTTGACAATGCACTGTGAAAGTTAACCGAAGCAACTGAAAACGTAACAAAAGTTGCAATTTTAGTCCCCAATCAAGTCAAGTCCACCTGACCATCAGGACCATCAGGAGGCGTTTATCTTAAAGGTGACCTAACATGACCTAATATGACCTTAAACAGGTTAGGATGGACTATGGGCTCGAATATTGAGATGTTAGTTTGGTCAGTTCTGCCTATTTTGAGTATCTTTTTACTTTAAATCTAAATAAACTGCTGCTGAAAATTTGCACATAAAAATGCCTGCAAACAGATGCGCAGTTATACTACTATACATCTTTGAAAAGCAACAGTAGAGCCTCCTGCACAACAAACAAGAATGCAGGAAGTTATTTCTGGATGCTAAGTCACAACAGAGCACTCATGTTTTCCAGCAGCCATTGTAAAGCACATACAGTGGTAAAACCAGCTGACCAAAGATGCTGGAGGTCTGCTTGGGTTGCGAGGTGATGGACTGGGCTTCACTGGGGTTGCAAGGTAGCAGCGCAGTGCCCATAGATCATAACTTTATAATTGGGAGGTTTCTGAAATGGCTAATTTTCCAGATAACTTTATTGCCTAAAAATTGCTCGGGCTGTTCTTAGACGCAGTTGAGACCCAACATGCAACATGTGATTTTTTTTTAACTGGTTACAAAATTTTATCAAAAACAAAACAATTGTGGTACCTGCTTTCTTGCAGTAATCGCTCCCTTGTTGGGCTTGTTGGTGCTGTGCGAGTGGCCCTGATGAACCGACCCTCCTCCTGCTCGGTCGCTCAGATGTGACGGCAGAGGACTCATGAACAAAATCCTTGCTATGAGCCCGTACAGCACAGTGGCCACAATTAGAGGGACCACATAGAAAAGAGTGAAGTCCAGGAAGTAGATGGGCATGTAGAAGCTCCTGGACACGCGGTAGGCGCAGGTAACCACCACCCCGTTGGTGTAAACGGTTTCTTTAGTGTCTGCCAAAAAGAACCACATGGTGCAGTAGAGGGAAGTGAAGATCCAGATTGCAGCTATGATCCTTTTGGCTCTGGAGACCGTGCATAAGAACTGGGCCTGTATGGAGTGACAGATTGCAATGTAGCGTTCAATGGTGAACGCCGTGATGGAGCACGAGGACACGTTGATCCCCAGATACTGAAGATACGTTATGCACAGGCACCCTGTGTAGCCATAAATCCAGAAAGCCACCACATCGGAGATGTTGGGCAAGCCTGCAGCCAGGAGCACGATGAGGTCAGCGACGGCCAAGCTGACCAGGTAGCAGTTTGTTGGCGTCACCATGTGTTTGGTGCGCAGGACGACGAGCACGACCATGACGTTCCCCGCGATCCCGACGCCACAAATGAACGTCGTCAACATGATGGTTATCACTTGTTCTTCGACAGAGTTCAGAGGCATCGCAGTCAGATTCACAAGTCGAGCGACGTCCTGGAAAACGGTGGTGTTGTTCTCCATCTTTTTCTCCTTCAGTCCAGCAGGAACAATTCAAAGACGAGAACCCTCAACACAGAAAACCAAGTGGAAGGGTCAGAGATACACTAGAGTTATGATATAATCGTCTTATCCACTATCAATGGAGGAAAAACCAAACAGCAAGTCTCATTACCACTCTTAACATTTCTTGAATTGTCTTGGAAATTTACAAGCTCACATGTTTAAAGGTCAATTTGTGTGTGTAACAATGTCAAAACACTTTCTATAACATAAAATCAGGGTAAATTACAGTAAATTACAGATGCTTGAATATTCTGATGACTAATCTATTAATTGGACAATATTGATTTGTATGTCTTATCATCTAAAATATACAACTATTGTATATTTAATTCTATTAAATTGATTGTGGTATTGTATAAAATGTTAATTTTATCATGTAAAATGATTGATTTTATTGTAGAAAATCCGATCATTTTCTGGTATAAACTGATTATATTTTGGTAAAACTGATAATTTTATTGTGTAAAATCAATTTATCAGTTTGATCAATTTTATGCAGCAAAATTTATTACATTTGTATTTATACAGTAAATACAAAAACAGGTCAGGGGGGAAAAAATGCAGTATTTTAGTTTATGTTTATGAATGAATGAATGTGTGCTTTAAAATTGTGTTTGTCGCTGGGGTGATAGAGACTCCGCTGCTTGTTGACAGCAGATCCTCCCCACAGCCTTTTGTGCCTCTATTGCATTAAAACTGAGCAGAAATGGGGAGGCGAGTGAAGCAGAGCGCTGAATGGGACCCCGATGTGTTTCACACCACAACACCAGGAGGGAGAAGCAGATCTATGCAAAGTTATTGGCATTAATCATCCACCGGATCCTGAATCTCACAATATGATTGGACTAAACTGCAATGAGTTGGATTTTAACTAAATGCAGTAAATATCTGGATGGAAATTGGATTTATCTGAAATAGAAAATCATTCCTGCCTTTAGCTATCAGACTAAACAAAACCCAACTCTGAGTGTCTTCAAATCTACATTTTCTCTGGACTCATTTTAAGATTTGTTTATAGACTAACACGTTTTCATGTGCAAACTTATTATTTTTACTAATTTCATTTACCTCATATTTAGTCATATTTAATACCACACTCATTTACTTTCTTTTAAAGACATTTTCCCTTTGGAATCAATCAGGTCTATTCTATTCTATTCCATTCCATTCTATTCTATTTGTTTGCAGTGTTTTCAGATGATTTTAATGGTAAAATATCACTAACTCTGCATTGAGATCAAGCTTTATCCCTTTTTCTGTCGCTTACATTTCTTTGTCGATGGAAATCTAAACTCAAATTACCACTAAAAAGTGTTAATTATACCAAATACATACAAAATTCAGGTGAAGAAAAGCAATAAAACACAAAACCTACATTAAATCCAGAGAAATTATATCATTACGTAAAACTAGCGTTAAAAATGTATAATTTTAAATATAATATGAAGAAAACCACATGACCAATCTAATCACAGCAGTTAGTAGCATCCAGCTCACCATGAGTTGGACGAAGCAGCGTCCAGGTCCGCTCTGTCCTCCTCCAGTGATGCTTCTGCTCGTCCTCATCTCTCTCTCCTCGCTTCACTTCTCCCTCCCTCTCTCATCCACTCACCATTACATCCGCACTGGTTCAGTCCTTGTTCTAAAAATCAATTGTGCCATGTTAGTGCCGGCAGAGCAGCCGCAAGTTTTACCACTGCAGACGTTGGTTTATCAATTTAAACAAAACTAATTCAAGCTCATTTTATTAAGCTTGTTGCTGTTGTGTCCCTTGCAGACATAAATTAGCTGACATCCATTGGTCTGAAGAGGCTAACTTAAAGGTGACCACAGACAGGTTAAGATAGGCTATGCAAAAATAAAACGTTTTATACATTTTCTTTTTGCTCAAAATCATTTTTAGCCAATGAGATTTGAGTCTGTACCGAGTTTCCTCCAGAATGAGCTGTTTTAGGGTTTCTGTCGCTTTAAATTCAAATAAGCTGCTGCTGGCCACGCCCCCAAAACTCAAGGTTTACACTCTCAAGTGAAAATGGGTTTGCTAGGCAATGGGTAACGGCCTTGAATTTGCTCAAGGTAACGATCTATGCTTTGCTTATTTGTGTTGTTACATTTGGAAGGTTTTTGAAATGTTTCTTTTTCCAGACACTAAAAAACAATTACTGCTTCTTCTTTCTTTTTTTTTTTTTGCGAAAACACAAAAATTACCACGTGTTTTTGGTCTGTCTTCTAGAGTAAATATCTTAGTACACTTGAATTAATACAGAACTAACTTACAAGTAACTTTTCAGCAAGATATAGGTGCTTTTTTAAAGTCAAAGATTCCTTAACAGTGATTTTAGTTCTATTGGCAGATTATGTTGCATGTTTCAAATTATTATTAGTGAAATAATCTGCCAGTGGAACTAGTACTTTTTCATTAATGTGAAGGTTTTATTGACTTTAAACAAGCTCGTATTTCTTACTGTCATGTTACTTGTCAGCTAGTTTTGTTTTATTTAAAGTTCACTGAGATATTTGGATTAGAAACTAGACCAAAACTACTTGGCAAAATTTGTGTTGTATTTCTAGTTACTTAACAATGAGCATCACTTTCTTGTTTTCCTCTTATTTATTATTTTCCCTGGTGTTTATTTGGGCCTCTCCTTTTTATCTCAGACTCAACAACAGTTGGATTTTGTTGTTTAAATGTGGAGTTTTTCTTCTTCATGCTGCCTCTTTCTGTGCATCTATAGCCCTTTATTAAAGGTACCTGTCTGCCTGCTTCCACTATCCATAAAGGTGGACTCTACTTTTGTCCTCATCTATGATATTTTAACATCATGTTAGAAAATAAATTGTTGCAGCTCTTCAACTTGGGAAGAGTTTTTGAGGCTAGATGCCCTCCACTGGTTTATAATGGTGAAAAGTGGAAAACAAATGGTTGCTAATCTTCCAGGAAGTGGACATCCCAGTAAATCCAACACGAAGTCACATTATTTTTTGTTCACAAAAATTGCAAAAACCCAAGAGATGCATCTCAGAATCTGTAGCCCTCAGAAACATCTATAAATATCAGAGTTTATGACAAGGTGATAAGAAAAGACTGAACAAGTATAGCATGCTTTGAAGGGTGGAGAAGCAAAAACCTCCCTCAAAAAATATGGCAACACATTTTAGGTTCATAAAGATTCATAAAGCTGAATTAAAATGAACTGCAGGACTTTTGCAACAACGTTCTTTGTCGAGATGCAACATTGATCTACTTGCTGACAGATCTGAAGGTTGCAGAGAAACCTATCTGTTATTTTCAGAGCTAAAAAGAAGTCATGATGATGTTTACACCTTTAAGCAGCCTGAAAGAGTGATTCATCCTGAGAGTGTAATGCTTCAAAGTGACTGTTTTCAGAATCCAGCCTGAAAGAAAAAGGTCTTAAACCCTGTTTCTGTGCACAGGACCATCATTTTGAATACTAATGGAAGTTTCTCCATTTTCAAATAAAACATGTTCATTCTGCAGACTACCTGGCACAACTTTGGAGAAGAAAACATCAAAACATAATTATTCGATCATCTTTGTTCATGTCTGCTGTGCATCATGCTGGGTATTCAGATAAAGATGTGCTTGAGTTATAGTTTCTTGAGGTTTTCATTGCCATACTTTTGCTGAATCTAATTCAGTACATGCCAAATATACCAAAAATTAATTTGTGAAATTACAGATAATCAAATACAATTATACTACAGCAAAACCTGGTCATTTAGATTAATTAAAACATCTATATAGCTCTGTTTTGTTTTTTATTGTAGAGTTGACTCTCTACCCAATAGAAATTTGAAAAGGATGATTATTTTTGCACAGGCGATTGCATTTTGAGAGAATCACAAAATGGACACAGTGTCAGGAACAAAAATAGATTATAAAGACGTTTTCTATTAATATTCTGGGACGCGTCTTAAAATAAAACCCTCCAGCCTCATGGGAAGCCTTTGATATGCAAAGAACTTCTTGAGAAATTTTAAAATGTATTATCTATTTTTGAATAGCCTGGTGAATTATTTGTTATACGCATGAAACTGGTTGATTTAATCCATTTCATCTATCTAGGCCAACATAAAAATCCAGAAATTACAAGATCTAATCTGTAATTGTTCATTTCCTGAAATTAGATTTTATGCTGAAATACCACAGTGCCACCTAGTGGTTCTGAAACGTCAAAACCATAATAAAGCCACACTGACAACTCACATAACCACAAATGTAAACACTAACAGAGAAAGATGTGAAACAGTTTTGGGGGGCCAATGCAGCTGCTGCTGGAGTTGCTTCCTGTATGACATCTAATCTAGTTTAGGCAGCAAATACGGCTTTAGAAAAACCACAGGTAGGCTCAGACTGAAGGACACCGCATGGAGACGCGGTTGCAGAAACAGAGGTGTTGGTTCAGTCTCTCACAAACAGGATGTTAGATCATCGGTTCACATTCCGCAAAAGCACATCATGAGCTTAGGTGACAAACAGCCATGAGGGCTTCACAGCCAAATGTCAGCAAAACAAGTTATGATCATTTAAGGTCAACAAACCGGCTCATCCACTCGACTGATATTGAGATGTTTTTAGTTTTGTCTGACAGACAAATTTATTTTTATTTTGTCAAATACATTTTTATTTTGCTTCAGAATTTCCAAAAACAGAAAACCACTGCCTTGTATTCCCCTGAGTTTATACTCCAATATGACATTTAAATAAAAAAATTTTTATAAAAAGAAGCACAACATCAGCTTCTTTAGCTACAACAGTTCTTTTTTTTTTTGCTGTCAGGCAAGATGCAATTCAAAGTAAAAGTTGGAGTTTTTTATATTTAGGTTTGCTTTAATTAAAACACATGAAATACTTCATTGCATTTTAGAAATATGGCTAAAGGAGGACATTTCTTCACCAAAAACCCTGAGCTTAAAAACCAAAACTTGTAAACAGGAGTTGAAGTTTCACTACTGGACATGGTAAATATTAAGTTGCCTCTTACCATCAATGTTTTTCCAAGAATTGTACATCTGGAGGGTGAACAAATAATCTGATTTAGTTTACAAACTAAATATTTATTTTAGAGCTAAATATTTAAGTCAAGTGATCATGAAGCAGCTCAACATTGGATGTATAAAATCAACAGTTTTTGACTGAATATTTACCTTCCTACTTAAATGTTTGTTTGAAACTGATTTTCATAAATGAATGAATGACTGATTAACTACAGATGCTTGTTATAAAGAAACAAAATGATTTTTAACCCACAGTGGTCATTAAAATCGAAATTTTGTGGTAAATTTTGAGAAGCTATTAAGAGTTATGTTGAAATATTTAAATTGTTTCTTGTTTGATGTATTGTTCCAAGCAGACGCTAGTTTGTATATTTTTTTTATTAATTTGTATTTGGGGTTAAATAATGTTACTTTCCTCCATGTTACAAAACCTTCTAAAAATAAATTCAAACATGAATAGCTTTAGCTGTCCTTTCCTTCCTCGTCTTCTGTTTTTCCTCCAATTTCTTTGTCAAATACGCTCTCCTTCTTTCTTCCTGCTCTCTAAAAAACGACGCGCAGATTTTCCTGCGAAGCCGCCTGGCGTAAACTTCGAGAAACGCCATGAAGTAGCTCAGGAGCCACAGACATCCCAGCAGGAGAGCGATGCCCAGCTTCGGAGCCGACGTTGTCACGTCACAGAGAGATGGTTCGGGGTTGAAGGTCCACTTGTAGTCCTTGTGGAAGTTTATCAGCTCCTGTGTGACACATGACTGAGGGATAATGCAGAAGGCAGGAGGAAACCAGTTAACCTGCAGTAAAAAGAAGAGCATTAAATATGAGAATATAGGCCACAGAAAACATGTTCATTACATTTTTTGCACAAAATCACCAGATTGTGGTCTGGTCAGTTCTGCATTTTGAACTCCCCCTATGTCAACATTTACGTTCGCACGTCAAAATGGCTTCAAACAGATGCACAATCATACAACCGTACGTAGTTGAAAAGCAAAAGTAGAGCCTCCTCCACGACCAACAAGAATCCAGCAATTGGTACTGCTGATAAGTCAACAACAAAATACTTGTCTTTTCCAGCAGCCATTGTACAGCAGTAAAACCAGCTGACCAAACGTCCTGGAACTCAGCTTGGGTTGCTAGGTAACAGACTGGGGTTGCCAGGTAACAGCATAGTAAAGGATTTTGAAACGGCACATTTTCCAGACACCAAAAAACCTCTTGTCAAAGAACAGACAAGAGGTCTGCTTTTGGCTATTTTTAGTTGAGACTGAAAATGGAAGTACATGAAGCAATGAAAATGTGATTTTTTTTTTTTTGCCATATTATGAACTGGAGAATAAATAGAGCTGGAAAGAAAAAGTTTACCTTATAACTGACAGTTATAGCAGCAGTTGTTGGTGGGAAATCCAAGACCCAGGGCATGATCATCTGGACTATGTGATACACAACATAATCTAAAACTACAATTAAAGTTATTGCAATGAAGTATAACGTCACAATGACCAGAGATATGAAGGAAGAGGTACACTCCTGACTCGTTATTTTGCAAACTGCAACCCTGATTTTATCTTTAGGCCGCTGTTCATCCCCCTCAGAAGACGCGGAGATGAAGCGGTTATCAAACTTAACAGAGGTCAGGTAGGATTTTAAATATCGTGCAGATTCAATAATCAGTAATGCAACAAAAACAGCTGCCAGGATCCGGTTTGACAGCAGCTTGTATTCTCTCAGCAGGTTCTTCGCGTGTGAAAAGTTGACCTCTATCTGACCAATCACTTTAGAAAACATGCTTCTGACTTCTGACACGTCAACATGTGTGAAATGGTCCAACTTCCTCAAATTGGTGACGACGCTCAAGTCCTCCCTCCGTACTCTGATGGCTTCCTCGACCAGGTCTCGCTTTGCTTCGTTGAAGGGTTCAGACGAGTTCAGCAGGGTCCTGGTGAAGCCCTCAGCCGTGCACTTCAGGATCCGCGCCACTGCTCCTACGTTGACCGTGATGTTAGGGATGACATTCAGCACCAGAATCATGACGGAGGCCGAGATGAGGAGTTTGCGTCCCTGTTTGGTGCACACAGTGGGCAGGGTCATAGTGAGAACGCAGCGCAGGGGGTGGAACAGGAAGGAGACCATCAGCATGGTTACGCTGTAGAAGCAGGTGGTCTGGACCGAAGCAACATGGTCGTATTTTAGAGTCTGTGACAGCCAGTGGTGCAGCAGACCACCGGTGAAGACGGCGAAGGTGGAGCAGATAGAGAGCAGAGAAAGGATTTCTCTGCCTGACGGAGATGGTTTGGAGTAAACATCCCAGAGGTAAACCAGCAGAGACTTCAGAGCCTGTATGTGAGATCCTGATTTGTTCCTGTAAATAAGAAAGAAAGTTGTTTAAACTGGTGGTCAGATCTGATCTGAGGGCCTCCAGCTCAAATCAACAGACCAACAGTCCCCCAAGAATAACTAATATCCACATCATGTCAACTTTTCTGCATTCTGCATTTATTATAATCATTTTTACAGTGAACAGCAGTGGTTTGTTGCTATTTTTACGATAGATAACACCTCAGGAAGTACAAGGTTTTTGAAATACCACCATCTAGCTCGAGGCGACCTAAAAATGCTAAATTCTCATTTTTACGTTTTTGTATTTCCATTTGAATTTCAACTGCTTCTAAAAAATATACTACACACTTAAAAATAAGCAATTAAATAAATACTGGCTCACTATTCTTTTATAGCACAACAACCGTTTCTCAGGTTGTTGTGCTGTAAGAACGGTTAATTTATGGAGCTCCATATTAAAGAAAAATCTCTCATCCTCTTCCGTGTGTGAATGAGAGGTAAACTGTTAAGTTTTTACTCAGAGATTGAAACGGTCCTTTTTTAATTCTATAAATTAACAGGAAAATGGCTTGAAACTCAAATTCTGAACAAGACAATTTGACGTTTTCTCAAAATCACGATCCAATGGGCTGCATTGGATATATATAAAAAAAAGAGCATCTGTGGATTTTTTTTTCTGTGAAACATCTGCAGTAAATATTTGCATATGGATGTGTACTTTGTAGAGGAGCGTTATCTTGTTTTTTGTAGTCATTATAAACTAATCAGGTTTGGTTTATCATCTTCCTACCTTAAAAAACCTCTGAATTTTAATCTTCTCCTTTATTTTAGTCAGTAAATAGGCTAAACTCATAGATAAGGCATAAACAGTAACAAAGATGTGTGTGAACTAGATTTTTTACTGAGTCAAATGACATAAAGAAGCTCTGGTTTAATGCAAAGCTATAAATATCTCCATTTAGTAGAATAACAGTAAAGTAGTTCAAATTTATTGCCATAAAAATGGCATACAGGCAAATTCTTTAAAGTAATTATAGCCAGAAATGGTAAAAATAAAAATGCACCACAGGTTACCAAGAAATATTTTTTTTCCTAATTTGATTTTTACTCAACATTATTTTAGCTCTCTTTGAGAATTACCCAAGGAAGTAAAAATTATTTAAAAAATCTAACACATATACTTATCACTCACACTAAAAAAAGAAAACAGGTAATCCAACTTGAAAGCCAAAAATAAATGCATCAGGTTTATTACACCGACATGATAAACAAAGATAAATAAATAAAGTTTGACCTACTTAATTCAATAAATTAATTGATTTTATTCAATTTTGAGCTCTATTCTCTTTTTTTCAGTGAAGAATGGCTGACATTTCTTACCTGAGTGGTAAAGCGGCGCGCTCCATGATCGGCCTTTCAAACAGAACAGGATAAAGCCGCTTTGGGAAGCTGTCGAACCTCGAAGGCTAAAAAAAGGGGAACTGAACTGAACAGTCAGCGTCATGTTGGTGTTTGTGGGTCGCATGAGTTCTCACATGAGGAAACAAATGAGCAATTTTTTGTGAATTAAAGGCCGGCTGTGACAAACACGGGTTATGACACAAGTTTCATGATTTAAACATGTGATGACACCAAAGACTGACCATCGGTTTGTTTACTTTTGACTTCTTGAAGGTCATTTTAAAGTAAACTGATCCACAAACAGAAATAAGGTCATTATGCACAAACATGCATAATGACCTGTTACACTGTAAAACATTTGAGCAGCATTTAGTTGTGTCTAGCATCTTCTATTCTTTAAGTCAAATAAATTGACCTAGTTTTACATTTTGAACCCAAAACGTGAGTTTGTGAAGAATAAACTTACAAAATAGTAAGTTGTGTTAATTTTTTATTCATTTTGTCAAACCTCCAACTAGAGTTTTTAGGTTAGCACTTAAAAAAACTGAAAGACAAGAGTGGAAACTATTTCCCAGAATGCTTAGAAGATTGATTTTCTACCCTGAGATGGAAGGAAAAGGTTTTACATTATATTTCTAGCCTTCACTTAGTCATATAACCCTAAATGGAATATAAAATGTTCCCTTTTTACAAGAAAGAAACATGATTTCCAACAGCAGCTGATAATAAATATATGAATTTTATGGCTTAATATTTAGCTTCATGTACAGAATGCTGCTATCAGTTTCTGAATGTTTTTTCCCTTCATCATTGATTAATGAAAATGTTTAGTCATCTTGCATCGTCAAGTCAAGAGTCTGATAGGTGGAGTAAAGAGAAGAACGTAATTTGTCAAACATTTGTTCAGTTGTCTGCTATTTTAGGTTAAACAGGATGGAAAAATCAGAAACTGACTGAACTCAAATTATTACCTTCCTTAAGAAATGACCATTTTGGTGAGCAGCAGTAAATCTCATCTCATAAACTGTTTCTTCTTGTTGAAAACCACAAAAAGCAAAAGCAAAATTAAACAGTTGCACACAGAAAAGCTACACCCACGATGCACAAACATTACTCTAAAAAACTAATCCATAAAAAATAAGTCTTTATCCAAGGTTGATGTTTCTGCTTGAGCTGAATCCACCCTGCTTTGTGGATTGTGGTTGAGTATTTTCTACTTTTGCATGTAAACATTAAGAGCTTTCTGCTGGTGACGGCACTGAATGGATGACCTCTGCAGCCTTGCAGAAGTTAACCATTGCTCTAAGGCCTTGTGACTTCAAAGTCTGACACAATATAATCCTTTATACCACCAAGAAAACATGGGTTTTACTGCTGTTTGGACAAAATGCGCCAAAATGTGGCACATTTTTGTCATTGTATTAAAACTCTTTTTGACAGATGAGGAACATGCAGGTAAATCTCGAAGTGTACAGACTCAATAATTAGCTTTCATCAGTACAGTTGGTGAAGGTTTTAATTACTGGAAGTGAAATGTGTGCAGAATGATTCTCCAACACGATCGCTGTTTGAATTTCAGTGATAGATGAAATTTATTCAGTTATTCACAGATGTTTCTCTTCTTTTTGACTGGCCTTGTAGTAAGAAATACAAACGGCACCATCTATGAAACAGAATTTAAAGTATAGTATTGTAAAGTGTATTGGCTCCTCTCTCAAAATTATTTCCTCAGGTGTTGCATCCATTATAACCAAGTAGAAGTCATTAAGACTTGTAGCTATTGGTGCCGTTACCCTGTTCTGATGCCACATTTTCTGTGATTTTTCTAATTTTGCTTTTTATTTGTCGTCTGTTGGATCTATGATCAAATGTGTATATGAAGAAAAATGGCTTTATGTACAAATAAAATGGCTGGAGGTGAATAAAGAAAGAGAAATTAGCTACAGCCCTCTGAACACCAGTCAACACAGCAAGCTAATTATGACTATGTTTGACCCGATCATCTCCTTCTGACAATTTTAAGGTTGTCGATTATTGGGATGGCTCTAAAGATAATGTTACGAGATATTTCTGCCATAGTCGGAGTGCTAAAGGAGATCAATCATGCAAAAGTCACATTTAGGAGGAATTGGAGAAGAAACTGAGAGCCAGGGCTTCTTGTCCAACATCAGTGTCTGACCTCACAAATGGGTTTCTGTAAAAGAAAAGTCCAAAACCAGAAGAGCTGAAGCTGTTTAGACTGTAAAAAGGGTGCCGACATCAGATTAAACTCAATGGATTTGTTACTGAAATTCTTAAATCTGACAGCATCTGGTACTTCTGGCCCTGTTCATGTATGATAATTCAGCATTTTTTTAATAGCATATTCACAAATCTTAAAGCCAAAGTGAACATTAAAGTATGAAGCAATAACTGCAACAGGTTTCCTAAAGGGCAGAAGAACCTTTAGGCTTTGCTAACGGGTTAGCACATTTAAAAACAGAGGTGTTCATGTATAGTTTTAGTTTTAAAATTTATATACAATCTGCATTTACATCTTCAAAGTGTGGCATTGGCTGGCCTCATGGATGGGAAGCGAACTTTGAAGTGGCAGCAGTACTGTTGGAGGGCTGAGCCCATTTTGGGTAGGAATTCAAGTTAAACATGGCGACGCCCCACGTGTTCAAAGCCAGAGACACGGAGAGGATCCCCAGGACGTTCATGACAAAGCCGGTTTTCACCTGAAACAGAGGGGACGCATGAGGACCGCTTGCTGGTTTTTAAAAGTGAACGAGTCAATGCGAGTTCGTTACCATGTCTTTGACCAAGAGATGTCCGGATGCAAAGGCGATAGAGTTGGGTGGAGTGGAAACAGGAAGCATGAAGGCATATGAACATCCCACAGTGCCAGGAATCATAAAGTACAGGGGGTTCACAGAGACAAGAACGGCCTGCAGAGACAGATCTGCTCTTCAAAATTTCATTTAGAAAGGATTTAGAGGCATTAAACACTCAGGCATATCTAACCTGTACTTCTTACTGCAAAACACTTTAATCAAAATTTGCTTTATAAGCAAAGTTTGTTCAGAAGCAATGAATTTGACTTTATTCTCAACTAACGATTATTTTAATTATTGATTAATCTGCAAATTATGATACAGAAAGTGTTTTTGTCACCACCTCTGTTTTGCCAAAAGATGATCTCTTATCGGGTTGACTAATTAAGTCTTTAGATTATATAAACAGCTTGTTTTCATATTTTGTTTTAACTTAAATTCAAGCACAAATTCTTCAAACGATGCATTCTGCAGATAAAACATAAGGCTTTTTTTTGTGAAAGGGCAAAATTACAGGGTGCAAAAAACCTTTTGGTGATCATTACCATAATAGCAGCAGTTAATGTGCAACAGGTTAGAAACAAGAGAACATCCACTGCCAGAGTTTAACAAATCCGCTGAGGCTCTTAATAAGAACTAAACCAAAACTTGGTCACTGTCCACAGCTTTAACACGACTTCTTAACCTATACTGTCATGTCTGCATAAATATTTACATTGAAGTTAAGCATAAAACAAATTTATGTCCTAAATTTAAAATGTCCGGCTGGATTTTCTTTCTTTTTCTTATTTTAATTGTACACAGGTCTTTAAATATTTATCCACAACTGGAACTTTCAATATGCAGTAAGTTATTGTCACAGTTTACTGTGTGTTTCATCACATTAACTTCACTCGCTGCTGCGGCGGGAGTGAAATTACCGTAATAACCCATTGTTGGTTGGAAAGCGCAACGTCTCCCGTCAGAAACTGTTGGAACTTTTCACATAGCGCAGAGTGTGGTGGAATTACGGTACTGCAAATATGGCTGGATCACTGGCGCGCCATTAAGAACGTAAAGTTTTAATTGTATAATTTTCCATCTGTAGAGACTTTTTTCACCAACTTATATATATTCATACGTGTGCTCATAAGAAACAAGTTTCATTTTATAATTCTATTTGTTAGACTCACCAGTTCAGCAATGATGGGTAGAAATATAATAACAGTCGCTGTGTTGCTGGCAAACTCAGTGAAACAAGCCAGGAAAGCAGTGATCAAAATCGCAGCTACAGCTGGGGGAACTTCAGCCAAGGGCTGGAGGTGGCCTCCGATCCAGGACGCGAGGCCAGACTCCTGCCGCAAGGCAAAATATCTGGGTTAAGAGTCAAAGGTCGAATAAAAACAAAATAAACTGCATTTAGGAAAAGAACAAATAAAAAGCAAACCAGCAGAGAAAGTAAGTGTTGTCTGGGGTTTTTCAACCGTTTTAAGGTTATTTTGATAAACTGAATCCAAAAATTACTTTGGTTTTGCTCCATCAGGTCAACTTTCTGAACCATAATGCAACATGAGCATCAAATGGATGGAGAATTTTGCACAATGAAGACGTAATGTTCAATTTACATGTATTTACCCTTAGAAGTGTTTATTACTCAATTACAGAAATCCAAGTTTGTAACATTTAATTAATACACTGTGTTATAAAAATTTTTTTTCTCCTAAAACCATTTTTGGGTGAGAAATATCAACAGAAATGAACTGAATATGTCACAAAAATATCAATTTAGTCAGAAGATCGGATTTCTCTGAATTAAATGAGAATAAAATTTAGAATCATTTTTGGATTCAGCAGTGCAAAATAGTCCTAATTCAGCTGAAAAACATGAACATCTACTTGGAGTAAAACTTTATAATCGAGCAACATTTTCATTGAAGCTGACCAACGTGAAATAAAAAGCCTAACATCAAATTAAAATACAAATTGTTAATTAATTGTTGTTGAGAAGCACACACATTGCAACAAACAGAGAGACATAAAGCACCGACTATAACGACATAATTAGAGTTCAATGTCTAAGAAAAATAGCAGAAATTAAGTAAATATATTTTACAATGATTTTCCTTTGGCACAATTTCATAAATTGTCAAAAATCAGTTTTTTGTAACTGTGAATTTCAAAATATGAATAAAGTTATTAAAAAGACGGAATCTAATACTAAAAATGAAACAATTTCACAAATTCACACAACTAAAAGACAAAATATTATTCTGTTTTAAAGTAAAATATGAGAAAATATATGAATATTTGGTTTAAAGCGGATAGTTACATAAGGTATCTGTTTCTAATTATCAGAGAAAAAGATGTTCCCGTTGTGCTACATAAGTTTTATCAGGTCATTTGTTGCACCAATCCTAAATTATTATTCAAGTTTTTATTTTCTCAGACTTTATAAAAAAAATTTTTTCCAGGAATTGCTTTTTAAGCTGCAGCAAACTATTGACTGTTTTATGTTAGGAGAAAACATAAAGGCAAGACAAAATAAGCTTTTGACTGCAATCAGTTTATGACTTTAAAGTATGAAGCTCATTTGGGAAAATAATCTTGTTACCTCACAACCTTTGGCCATTGCAAAGCCGCCTCCAAGCAAGAGGAGAATGTTCCAAGGAACAGAGTCCTGGGCCTTTTTCCACGAAAGCAGAGGGATGTATGGAGTGTTTACAGCTGAAAAAAATGTAGCAGAAAAAGAATTATTTTTAAATGAACTATTTTTAAATGAACTTTGCGAGAGTTTACATGGTAGAAATCTTTGAAGTTCTGCAGATTAGTAGATTTAATTCTCTTCCTTTCAAATATTTGACCCAAATCAGACCAAAGAGCCTCATGCTTTGCTTTTTTAGCCAGTGTCCAGGGGGTTTATTTGACCAGCTGAACAAAACAAACAATCTCATGCACATGTGCCTCAGACACCAAACATTCACAAAGCTGTGCATTCTCACAAACGCGTTTCCATCTTTTTAGAGATGATGAATTACATTCTGGATGCTTGGCAGGACCACAGCCATAAATAATATTCACCAAAGCTGCGACTTAAAAAGAAGCCTCCAAAAGCAGTTCTCATGCATCGTGGTGGCTTGTTTGTTTAAAAAGAGAGGCGAGTCTCAGAAATGTGAAAACTGTGTCAAACAAATCCGGTCCGCCATAGCATCTTATGTGGACCTTTAGGACCTTCAGAGTTCAGAGGGCAGCTTAAATAATACCCGTTTGCTTAAATATTATCGACCAAGTCAAAGCAGTTTTTGTCTTTCAATGGCCAAATGGTCGCTCCAGCTCTTTGGAACTCCTCAAATTAATGCCAAATCTACATAATCCTGCATGTTTTCACGCCAATGGATAATTGTAAGATTTTTTGCAAATTTTCTGCAACTGTGAAAAATATTGTATTACAGTGACTACTAAAGCCTACCTGCAGCAGGGCTTACTGCTACTACATTCCTGTCTCTGTTTTAATTGATGCACCATTGCGGTAATCTCCCAGGTTGGTTGACCACCATAACATGTTTATGCTTAACTGTGGTCAACTTGAGCCTCAAAGACAGATTCATGTAAATGATTTTGTTTCTCGTCTGTTCTTGCCTTTCTTTAAAAAGAAAGGCATGATGCGTTTCTTTTTAAGGTTTGTAGCCTGTTTCATGCTGTGATACAGATTCTATTTTAGTGATTTGTTGGTCTGAGATTATTTTTCACAAAGGGCAAGGTGACTTGGAAAGCTTTATTCCTTTGAAGGTGGCGTATTGTGCGTCCTTTAACATGTTAGGATAGGTTTATGAACTGCAAAAAGCATGTTCATTTCACTTTTTTTGCACAAAATACTTCTTAGATGATAAGATTTCAATCTGGTCAGTTCTGCCTATGTTGAGCTCCTTCCAGAATGATGTGTTGTCACTTTAAATCCAAATAAACTCAATGTTTACACTCATACTTGCAAATGGTTGCAAACAGATGCACAATTATACAGCCATACATCTTTGAACAGCCTTAGTAGAGAATCCAGCACAACCAAAAAGAATGCAGCAAGTGGTTTCTGAATGGCAAGTTAAAAAACAAAACATTTTATATAGCAGTAAAACCAGCTGAACAAACATGCTGGAGCTCAGCTGGGGTTGCTAGGTAACAGGGCTCTGCCCTTCAATTGTGACGAAACAATCAAGAGATTTTTGGAACTGCTTATCTTCTAGACACCAAAAATTATGAACATGAATTTTTAAGCACTTGTACTTTTTTTAAAAGTTGAGATTCAAATGTAAACATGCAAAATAAGGTTTTCACATAAAACATTTTAATAAAAGAAATCTTTTAGCATTCACTCAGGTTATCTTTGTTGTTAAAATTTGTTGGATGAGCTAAAACATTTTAGTGTGACAGCATTTTTTTCACAGCACTGTACGTTTTACCTCAGTGTAAAATGCTAATTATATCGCACACAAAGTGCAACTGCAGCGCTTTAAAAGCTTACTCTAATCACAGAGACAGAGAACGTACAGTCTCCCTTCCAGACGGGAACTTTACTAAGACTCTCTAATCTACATTATTAACATTCCTCGACCTGCTACGTGTATTTTGCAACAGCTTCTGTAGGGAAGAGTCCTTGAATCCAAAACAAATATCTTAAATATTAACTTTTGATATCTGACCAACCTTTTGGGTCACGCCACCAAGTCAGAGAGGGTTTTTGTGATGGGAAGAAGAACAACATGGACACAATGATGATACCAGTGACAGCATCTGAGACATACCTGCAGAAAACACAAGAGACACAAATTTAAAAAGAGTAAAAGCAATTAATAGGCTTTTCTAAAGAATAATCCCTGTTCTAAAATGTTTTAAAAAGATGGTAAAGTTATCCATTTCTTACCCTTTTTTGAAAAACACAGACCATCCAGTAACAAATTTGGGATCTCTTGAGAACAGAAGAAGAGCGAATAAAGAAAAAAAGAAAGAGATGGACCCTTCTGCAAAGCTGAAATGAAAAGTGAGTAAAAAGTACAGTAACAAAAACATATTTGTACAAATTAAAAGACAATAAAAGAGTCCTCACTTCATGGGCCCCAGTTTTCTGTAATCTTCCATAATGAGAGCTTTGGCTCTGGCCTCTGCCTTGTCTCTGTGGTCATGTTTCGGGAAACATAACCTGGATTTTATAAAATAAGTGACATTAGTCAGTTATGTTCCACCAAAGCAAAAATCACACAATACTCCAACCAAATATCACAATATAATTTTACATTACCTTGTATTCAGTCCGCCGTAGAGATAAGAAATCCAAAGCCAACTCAAAAACAGAAAGAGAACCATAAGGGGGAAGGCAAAGGCAAACCAAGAGCCAAAGTTGATGAGATCACAGTCTGGGAAGTAGCTGTAAAGAACAAGAAGCTCACTGGTAAATGGAGTCATTTCTAATAGAAAAATCTTTTTTTAAACATGAATTTACCTTTTGAGCTGTCCGATCAGGATGAGGTTCGGTGCTGTGCCTGTCAGCGTCGCTGTACCTCCAATACTGGCAGCATAGGGAATAGAGATCAAGAATCCTTTCCACACTTTCAGCTGATACTCTGCCTCTAACCGGATCTCCTCAGCCGACCTCGTGTCTGGAGGCTCCAAGGCTTCCACCCTTATTAACGTTTAAAGACAGGAGTCAACATTTCACCGAAACACCACACGACTATTGACATGTATTGTTAGCAAACAGATTTTTGTCCAGTTATTTTTAAAGTAAACTAACGGAGTTTTCATCCATCCATCTAACTGTATCTAAACCCGCTTGTCCTTATATCTATGTAACCTATATCTTCAAAGTAGTCAATGTTTAGGCTATTTTAAGAAAAATTTCACTATCTGTCTTACTAATCTCAGTTAAGACAACATAAACTGAGCAAAAAGCTTCTTAATTAGAGTTTTATGATCAACTAAATTGCGTTAAGACAGTTGAGCTTGGCAAATTGTTTTATCTATTTTCATTTATTTTTGTTCTTATTTTAATTTATTTTAATTCCTTAAATTAAGAAACGCTAAGCTGACTGACTTTATAATTTTTGTTTTCAATCTTGGTTCAGAATTTCAAGGATAACAAACATTGGTTATTTTTCCACTGTTACATTTGGCAGAAATAAAATGTTTTCCTCTTTTTCATTCTCGGTCCTATGTTAAGGACAGCTCATCTAAACAATTATTTCAAAGAAAATTGCTTTCTCTCAATTTTCATCTGAGTCTAAGCTTGTTTGGGCTAATGCTAAGCTAGAATAGGCTAAGCTAAGCTAATTGTTTCCCAGCTGCAGCGAATTGAGGTATTCTATTTTTCTCAGAAGTAAACGAGTTTTTAAATTCTGATTCTCACTTATGAGATGAAATGTGAAACACCAAATGAGCTACAACTAGAATACGTTAAAGATTCCCTGAATTCCATCCAAGTTCAGAAATTCCTCTAAGAAATCACTACCAAAATGATCTCTCTGCTCTTTTACCTTTCCAATGACAGCACAAGTTTTTCTGAAGGCTCTGATGGCACCGCATGCATCCTCAGTGATTTTCGACCTGCAAGAAATTAAATCAAGACACAGTTTCGGTCACATAGAATTCAAAATAATTCACATAAGTTAAATTATTAGCTGCTTTAGGTGGCTGCACCCTAAATTAATTTAACATGACTGTCACATGGCATAAGAACAATAATCAATTGCGATTTGATGATTGACCAACCCTGCATCCCAGGATTCAGTGTATTTTAAACTGCACAAAGTTCATACACTAGATTACATATTATAAACAGCAAAAGTAGCACAGGACAATGTACATTATATCTGCATTTGTGTGTTATAGTAAATGAACAATTCTTGAATTAAATAGTTGGTGAACATGATTTGTCCATCAACTCTCTGTTTTGATATTTTCCACCAACTTCTCTGGAAAATATTTAGCCCAACAAATAAATGTGCAACTATGTTTGTAAACTAGTCACTGATTATGTCAGTCAGTGTGTAGTGTCAGATAGTCAGTTATGTGGCTTATACTGGGCTTTTTCCAAGAGATAATGCGATGGGACTGCATCATAGCAAAGGTTGAAATGGTCAATAAAGCAGAAAAACATTTAATCTCTCTGGTGTAATCAAAACAGATTTTTTGTTTATGTTGTTTTGATGGAAGCCTTCTTGATTTCCTGTCAAAAACACGGTGCCAACATTACACTGTACCAGTTAGTGCAACATTGTCATGATCCTTTGGGGTTTGGGACTTTTGCTTCAGGGTCTCCAGGTCCCCAAACAGGCTCGCCAGGATGGCGTTTGCAATGGGAAGCATCATGGCTGTTGTGGCAGTGTTGTTGAGCCACATGGACAGGAAGGATGTGGTCATCATCATTCCCAAGATGAGCCTGAGGAGTTAATAAACGAAGATACAACAAATCCACTTTAATCCTTGAAAGGATCTTCTTGACAGTTTTAAAGCTGACTTATTGTGCTTCCTTGAACAGATTGTGATAGGTTTATGAGCTACACAAAACATGTTCATTACATTTTTTTTCATTCTTAGATAATGAGATTTTGATCTGTTATTTCGATCTCCTTTCAGAATGATCTGCTTTTTGACTACTGTCACTTTAAATCAGCTGCTACTGCTGGCCACGCCCCTTCCAACTCAACATTTAAACTCACATGAAAATGTGAGTTTTCACAATTACATAACCGTGCATCTTTGAAATGCAGAAGTGGAGCCTCCTACACAACCAACAAAAATGATTTTTGAATGGTAAATCACCAAAAAAAAAGTCTTTTCCAGCAGCCATTGTACAGCAGTAAAACCCTTTAAGCTGACCAAATGTGCTGGCGCTCAACTGGAGTTGCTAGGTAACAGGTGGGATTGCTAGGGAAAGGTGGAGTGCCTGCTGATTTGTGATGATACATCCAGAAGGTTTTGGAAGCGGCTTATTTTATTGCCAAAAACGCCCTGAGTGTTTTTAAGCACGTGAAGTGTTTTTACACCCAGTAGAAACCCAAATGGATTTTAAAAAATGTAGAAAATTTTAATTTAGATCATATGTTGCCTTTAAATCTAATTCTTCTCTAGTTTTCACCTTGAATTTGATTTGGCTTGGGTAGAAGTAGATCAGGATGAGTGTGTATGATTAGTTTCACAAACATTAGAATAACAAATTCTCAATCAAAACTTTCCCTCTCACCAGGCGGGTTTCACTCCGACAATACTAAGGACCTTCAGTGCTATACGACGATGCAGGCCGCAATCCTCAATCGACGACGCCAACACAAGACCGCTGAAGAAGAGGAAGTTGGTCTCTATTAAGTACTGGGGGCAGACTTTTTTGGCTGGGAGAACCCCCAGCGTCGGGAAGAGGCAGATTGGAAGCATCGCAGTGACTGCCAGAGGCAAGGCCTCTGTGCACCAATACGTAGCCATCAGTACCACAATGTAAAGGCATTTTCCCTCCTGAAAGAGGAGAAACACACACCTTGAGGTCAAAACAACTCACAGTCAAATAATCTGTGTTTTTCCTACCATTTTGTATGTTTTTGAGTCTAAAAGAGAGGAAGCAGGATCAAATTATGAAAAACTTTGGACACCAAAATGTACTTTATTTAGTTTCAAGCTGTGGATAATTTGTTTTTAAATAAGGAAATAACTGGTTCAATGGAAACAAATGTATAATGCACTATAAGTTTGTTCAAAAACACTGAAAACAGAGAAAGAAAGTGAGTTAATTTGCTTCATGTAATCAAATTAAGTTGGTCAAACTTAATTTATTTACATTTGTTTAACACGACAACTTAATAAACGTAATACTCAACTTATTTGCTCAACTTAATTTGATCACCTGTAACAAATTACATTTATTTTAAGTTTGATCAGATGTTCTCTTGGATCCAAACCTTTCAATCTGAGACAGAATATTTTAATTTAATGTTCTTCTGTATCAAAAATGATGCTTATCAAAATAGTTCTATTACATTAACAAAAACAAGATAAGAAAGAGTCAATTTTCAGTTTTAATCAGATGAAATTCTTAGCTTAATCCTCAACAAATGACTCAGTATTATCTAGCTAATTGAATAAAATAAAACACAAACATGTGATCAGTACTTACCTTTTCTGGCAGAGTAAAAACTAAAGGAAGGAACAGGAGCGGCGCGAGGCAGACAAGCAGCTGCTTGTGGACACACCACAGCTTCTTGAACACCACAGCTATTTCCATTCCCTCAGTGGGTTTTCTGCTCTGTTTGGGAAAATAAAGTGGCTGGGAAAAGCCTGAGAGGGATCACTTTGAAGCCCTTGGCTGGACGCAGGAGTAGATTAACCACACACTCTGCTACAGGTTAACTCCTCCTGTGGTGGTGTTTCAGAGGACAGTGCGTTTCTGTCAGGTTTCCAAATGACTGGACTCTCCCACAAATCTGCAAGTTCGTGCACTAAAAAGCTTCAGCAGGAAATATCTGAGATATCTAAATATTGTAAATGACCTAGTAAACAAAGACTGTAATACAGAGTAGTCAAATTGCACTGTCGAGTTGGATTGTGTAAATTTTATGGAGAAAAATGTGAAGGTCTAGCTGTTAGAAAACAAAGACAAATGAGAAAAGGAAAGAAAGAGAAAGTTATAGCTAATGTTTTCTTTGTTTCATCTAAATCAGGGGTGATCAATACGTCTATCACCGGGATACTTTGAGTGGATCTCGGCAGCAGGTGATGAACTGAACGCCGCCAGGAAGCCGAAACCGGAACTGATCAAAAAAATGAGCCAATCAGCCAAGGCTGTGTTCATGAGAGGCTTATTAGCAATCGATGGCTAAATATCAAGCCTGGTAACCTGATATACACCGGTTACTTAACGGCTAAAGAGAGAGAGAGTGAAACGGTGCGACGGTTCCGAGTGGGCTCTTTGCTCCTCAGCTTCCGCGTTCGGGGAAAAACGGCTCAATTGTTTCCGATCTATTGAAAACGGTACTTTACACCGGGTATTTGCAGGGCTTTTCCAAGGTAATAATTAATAATGTACATCGATCCGAAGCCCCTACAAAGTGAGCCGGAGAAACGTTTTAAGATGTTCGCCTCGTTAAACGTTCACAGATACGACGGTGAGTTTTACTTTCTTCAACCGTTGCGGCTAACATTAGCTTTAGCATATGCTAGTAGGCTATATTCTCGGACATTTTTCTTGTAAAAATCTGCTACTTAAGTATCTAAACATTTCTCAGCCATTCTAACGGACAATGTTTGTACCTTATTTTCAAGTATGTTACGTGTGTTTATTGTTGACGACAGTAAACGCGATTATGGTTCAGGGTTCAGGCTTTTTGGTTCCGAAGCCTGACGAAGCACAACGAGCCCGTCGCTCCGAAACCAGCAGCTCTGGTATCGGAGTTCTAGTCCAGCTGTCTGTTCAGGTTCAGAGTAGTTACTTTTAGAAAAATACAGCCGTGTAGCTTAAGGTCTCTGTGTTATTTCGTTTTATTATTTTTGCATGCTTCTTGTGAAAAGCTCAAATAGGACGGTGTTCACAGCGGGTTCAGGCGGATCAGTTGCTCGGCTGTCCGGCTCTGCTCGTTCGTTCCCAAACACTCGCTCTTTTCAGGGTGAGTACAGAAGCGATTCAATGGAAATAACACAGGACGGCTCCTTTACCTTCGTCTTTAGGCTGAAGAAGCTGATCCAGAGTGAAGTGAAGGCTGCAAACTTTGTCATGCGGCTTTAGCTTCAACTGGTAGCTTCAACTGGTAGCAACAAATATTTACAAGCCACCGTCTTAATTCAGGATCGCTTGGAAATCCATGAAAACTTAAACAAAGTGCATAGTATTGTTTTATTTGTGTCTTAAGTACGACTTTGTGTTTTATAGCAGTCATAGTAACTGAAAGCGGAAAAAAGAGCCGCATTTGCGCATGAAGTTGTGACGTCAGCGGCAGGTGCAAAGAGCCCGTTGGTCACCTGTTCGGGTTATTTTACCTTCGCTGTGGTTCATCACAGCCGCTGAAGTTTCTGAACGTTCAGTAAACGACAAACTTAGACTAATTACATCATTCGTTTGCAGTAAACGTCACAACAAACATCAAATAGGACAAATATATTTGATTAAGTTTTAAGAACAAATGGCTTCTACCACGATAATTCTGTGAAATTAAATGAATTATATCCCAGCTTCAAAAGATTTGCCTTTACTTTTGCAGAGCTCTTTGGTTCCTCCTCCTCCTCGGTCTCTCTCATATTGAGGTCAATATGAGAAAGATCTGAACCAATGACTGACATCTGCTGGCCTCAGGTTTGCAACCAGCTTCTGACTGAGAAACCAGTAACCTGCTCCCAGTGTCAGAATCTCACTGAGGAAGAAACCCCATCAGGTTTTCTATCACTTAAATTTTTTTTTTCTGATATAACTGATGTATATTTGTATAGAAAATGAGCCAGTAGGGTTTAATTTACAATTTTTATGTCTTCATGTCATGAGGTAGACCTCAGCCGGCTGGTGAGAGAAAAAGTAGAACTTGGTCTCAAAAAGTTTGAGCCCCCTTGATCGAAATGATTCAAACTATGAAGCCACTGGACGTCACAGTTGAGCACAGACCTGCTGATGAATTTTGATTTAAACGACTTAAAGGGTTTTCAAGGCTCCATTTTCTCACACAATCATTTAATTTGGCTAACCATATATGTATATATAAATACGACTTATTTTGTTGTGAGGAAACTGAAGTCCTCACAACATGGCTGCTGTGTTAACCCTTTAACATTTTTACCGCCACTGCACTGAGAAGTGGCTCGTATAACAAGCTCTGCAGTTCTGTCAGGTGTTTGCTAATTGATGCTGGCTGGTCTGAAGGAGCTGAGTGAGGGGTGGCTGCTCTGACAGGCAGAAACTTGGAAACTTTAAAACTTCTGCTTCAGTGGGTTTTCTTCCTTGTCTGTTAGTATTTGGTTCTTCATAAGTGGAGTTCAGCTTTATGTAAATTTGCCTAACTGATTCTGTAAGAAAAAAAAAAACAATATGCTACTTTGCGTAAACAGCAGGTTTCTGAAGAGACTGAGGTGAGATCTTAAATTAATCATCACCCAAGTTTCCAGTGTGGGTAGCGCCTTCTTCAGCTATTTGGCATTTAAATGCGTGGTATTTTCTTTACCAGTAAGTGAATGTATATGAATATTATAACAGATTTGCAACAAAAAATCACAGGAAACTGATTCATTTCAGTCCACATTTAATTAAAAAATGTTATATGTTATAGTTTGCCATTTGTCATTGTACCTTGATTACAATGGAAGCCAAATTCCTTTTTAAACCAAGCAAAAATTTATGAAAAAAACTTTTGATTTTGATTCTTCTGTTCTGACACTTCTCATTCTTTGAATGCTCTCCAGTAGCAGTCAGTCTTCCAATGAATCTGAAGAGACCTCTGACTGAAGACTAATTCTATTTGATAGTCTTATTTCTGTTATGACATGCTAACCGCTCAATTTCCAGGTAGTAGAGATAAGATTTCACAATAACATGTACTGGATGACACCGTAAGTTGTAGTTAAACATGCTAATCCACCTCATTTGCTTTTGCTGCTCCTTTTTAAATATCTGTCTGCTCTTTAGTCCTGCCCTGCATACATAGTTCAGGTTTTATTTGAGCTTTTGCAATGGTAACTGTTTAGTTGGAGAAGTTAAAAAATAAGAGCAAAGATCTTTCCAGCTGCACAAGAGGGAACAATTACCCAAATATGCAAAACCTCAACCAACAAAAACATAAACAAAACAAAATAAATCAGAACTAATGTAACAGAGCTCCTTTCTGATCTTACAACATTTTTATTGTGGTTGTTACTATGAGATGTAAAAAAAAAAAAACGCTTCAGAAAAAACAAGTAGTTTAACATATTTTTATCATGCAATGTTTTACAGTGGTTCAAATTTAAATGTAAGAATTAAAGAGATTGACAAGTTTTATTGGTGAAAATGCAAACAACAATCTTCATTTTATAATCGTTTTAACATAGTTGCAAAAAAAAAAATATTTTTTAATTTTTATTTTTTTTTGCTTGTATTTGTTAGAAAATACAACTTAGTTCATAATAGAAAGAGGGGCCCCATTTCAAATTGTACTTAAGGCCCCATGTAATCTTTGTCTGGCCCTGGAGCTAAAGCATCCTCAGTTAATTATGTTGACGAAATGCACGGATTAGCCTCCAGGTGGCGCTCTTATCACATTTCCCACTCAGCTCCGTGGTCTTGAAGCTGTGTTTACAGCTTTTCCCCTCTGACTCAGTGGCAGGTTTCTTTTACTCATGCAAGGCGCTGAGCAGCAACGATGACTGTATCACCTGAGCAACACAGTTTTCTCTAAATCAGAGGGCTTTTCTAGAGAAATCCTGAGATTTTTTCCTATTAGGGTCTCTGATTTATCTTTAGAAAGGTGTAAGGGTTTTCTTTTTGTTTTTTTTAATATGTCAGGTTGAATCAGTTCCAAAAACTGAAGCAGCAATTAGTCTCTTTATGACAGCCATACTTCCTCCAGGTTTAAGATTTCAGAGGCATAAAGACTCTGGTATTTCAAAGATTCGTGGACAAAACATTAAATGTGTAAAAGGTGACAAATCAGAAACAAAATGCAAAATATATGGTAGAAATTGTATTTACATTGCATAAAATTATTAAGGTATGTATAAAAACATGGTTTCTGTTCTGACACTTCTCATTCTGTCGAGCGTGTTCCTGTTGACCTTTTTTTTAACCCAAAACAAACGAAACATCTAGTTGTGGTTACACAGTGACATACTTTTTCAAAAAGAACAAACCCTAACCATATAAGTATTTAAAAAAAAAAACAAGTAAAAATAACAAATAGGAAAAAATGCATCTTTACAGATATTATTTTCTTTGTTGTTTCCATGGGAATTTTTCTGTTAGCCGCGCAATATGTTCCTCTGACGTCTCGAAGACACGACCCGAATCGTCTGAAATAGTGAGAAAAAAGAAAGAAAGGTCAAAGCTCATCAGTATGGTGATACAAACTGAGATCAAGACCACCCTCTTTAAACCTACAGCATTAAAAACCCTGCAGGAGAGCAGCCGCAGGAAGAGGAAACAGTGCCTCTCAGAGAAGGAGCGCGACCGCCTACACGACTTAACAACACAGCTGCAGGCGCTATCTCACTCTTACATTATGGTTTAGGTGTTGGGAAACAATTTTATAATTCAATATATGAACTCTACATCACCTGTGTATTAGAAAATATGCAGTTTTAACTCATTTTTTACTTCTCTTGCTGTATTTTAATGCATTTCCCCTGTAGTCAGCATATTTTCTAATCTCTTAGGATGTATTTGACACTAAAACACACATTTTGGAAAATTAGAAGTAAAAAAAAAGTTCAGCGTCTTTAGAAATTATCTTTCCATCTCACAAGATTTGCAGGTCTCCTTGCGGGATGTAATATTTACCGCAAAAGTTTAATCTCTAAACCAAGAGTTGAGGGTTTTTTTTTTCTCCTCCACTGCATTTTTTTCTGAGCCACATCAATCCCTGCATCATCTTGCATGCACTCCCCTGCTGCATGACTACAGACATTAGCATGAAACCATTCCTGTATCTATGACTAAATCTGTGTGTAGGCAACAAGTCAGGACTATGCATAAACTCTGTGACTCAGAGCCGCTTCATAAATCGGATTCAGACACAAAACACAGTTTCCATCCGCATCACATCAAGCAGGAATAGATGAAGACGCTCGTCATCATTGTTATGTGTTTAAAAGTGTTAGAGACAGAAGAGGAGCAGTTTCACATTATGTGGAAGTGACTAGTGAGGAAAAGTGAATTGAGTTATTTTGTTTCCTCACATCTGGAACGGGAGAAAAAAACTGCAGAAATGTTTTTCAAGCCTGGTTGCTTAGTTTTAACAGATACAGCTCTGGAAAAATGAAGGGACCTCTGCAGTGAACCCCATTGAAAACCTCCTGGTTATTCACCAAATATTGATTCCTGAACTCTTCCTGAGTTAAAACATTAGTTTTGTTGTTTCTAAATTAATATGAACTCGTTTTCTTTGCTTTATTTGAAAACTGAGAGCTCTGCATCTTTTTCATTATTTGGACAACTTCTCATTTTCTGTAAATAAATACAAAATTTCTGCTTGGGATTCCAGAGACATGTTGTCAGTAGTTCGTAGAATAAAATAACAATATTCATTTTACTCAAACATAGACCTATAAACAGTAGAATCAGAGAAACGGATATGTTAAGTGGTCTCTTAATTTTTTCCAGAGCTGTATATAAAGCGCTACAAGAAGGCTACATTTTTGACAGGTTTTGTTTTGTTTTTTGCAGAGGTCACTAGCGTTTCATTGGCAGCACTGGCTAAAACTGACACTTAGTGTGCACCAATCAGTTGGATATAGATTAAAATTGATCAGTTTTATCTTGAAAGGCTTGGATTGGTTGATCAAAACTAAGAACTGCCATAAATCTCAACCTACAAACACACTCATAAGTTGAACATTTTTTAGTTTAATATTCAGATAAAGGTCATGGACCTGTGCTTTGATGCATAATGTTCAAGTTCCCACTAAAACCAGGAGGATTTAGCCCATCACTCCAGTTCTGAAGTCCTTTCACTGGTTTCCTGTAGCTTAGAGAAGAGACTTTAAGAAACTGATGTTAGTTTATGAATCACTGAACGGTTTAGCACCGCAATACATTAAAGATCTGCTGCTGTTGCAGAACTTCTCAGCTTTTCTGGTTCTGCTTTGCATCTCCAGAACCAGAACCAAACATGGAGAAGCAGAATTCAGCTTCTATGCAACACAAATCTGGAACAAAATTCCAGAAAACTGCACAACAGCTGAAACACTGAGTTCCTTTAAACCAAGCCTAGAAACTTGTCTTTGTAGATTTGATTAGAAGTAAGCGGAACATTGATCAACATACTAGTTGTGTATTGATTATTTTAAAGGTCATACTTGTGTTGTGTATTACTTGTTTCATAATTGGTTTCTGTTATTTTTTTTATGCTTGAAAGCACTTTGAACTTTCATGCTGCTGAAATGTGTTATACAAATAAACTCATAGAAATGGTGAAAGTTGTAATGACATAACAGACCTTAAGGAGCTCTGTTATGTGTCGTACATCTCAATTTTTGTAAAAACATTTCCAGAAACATACAACAGAAAGTTATTTTTTGTTGTTGTTTTGCTGTTGATTTGGTGTAAACAACTACACAGCAAAAACACAAAATCTTATCAAGTATTTTTAGTTTTCAGGGCAAAATAATAACTGTCAGATTTTGGCACTGAACACAGAAAATGTCTTGTTATAAATGAAAAAATCTGCCAGTGGTTTCATCAGTATTAAGAAATTATTGACTTAAAACAAGCTCCTGTATTTTGTTGAGAAGTTGCTTGTAAATTAGTTTAGCTTATTTCAAGTGAACTAAGACATTTCCACAAGAAACAAAACCAGAAATACTTGGTAAGATTTTGTGTTTTCACAAAAAGAAAGAAACAAAGTATTGTTTCTAATTATTTGTATTAAAACTTAGATGAAAATAGTTGGTGTTTGTGTTTTTGCAGTATAAACAAAAAAAAAAAAAAACAGAAATCCTAAGATCCTACAAAATCTAACTGAAAACAATAATTAGTTTGTTGTTTGTCTTTTATTCATAATTTTTTAAAAGGTATTTCAAGAGCAGAGTTACTTTTTGCAGATAATCTTTTAAGTGGGACATTTTTGTCCCACTTGTTCATGTGGGACAAAAATGGTTTTTGGATCACAAAAGGTGCAGAAACCGTCCATATTCACTGTCCTGCCTCAGAAATGTTCCAACCTAAGGTCTGTCACATCGCCTACACATGTAAACACTAAGATTATCTGAGCTTTGTAGGTTTCTTCCTGGTCTCTAATCATTTGCCACATCCTCTGCAAAAAACAAAACAAAACAAAAAAAAACCTGTCAAGCTGCTCTTTGAAAAACAAAAACTGTCAACATGCAACTCTTGCTCTGCTGTACTGCGCACACACACAGGTGTTAACTTTTAAGGTCAACTATAGAGGGCATGTTTCTGGTAAATTGAAAATGAAGCAGGATTTTTCAGTGTTTTGCATTAGAAGCTCATTTTAACCTAAAAATACAGATGATTGCATATTCAAATGATTGCATATTCTACATATTTTTTCATGTAACTACTTAACCCCTTTAATACTACATTAGAAATACATTAAAAGATGTAAATAAACAACCAATTAAATTTACTTTTTGCATGAGAAAATAATCTTATTGCCTAAACTGTAATAACTTAGCCTTCCTTTAGTGATCATTTAGTTGGATTTGCAACTGTAGATAAAAATATTTCTAACATGTGAAAAGCTCAAATCTTTCTGATTGACTTGACATCAATCCAGTTATTGAGTATCAGTTCATAATAGATTTTTTTCTATAGAACTTGAACCAGAAGAAAATTGCCACTTGAGGAATTCTGGGTATTTAGATATATTTTTCTTTTATTATTATTATTTAATTATTTTTTTACCTTAAATGCAAAATGTTTACACTTTTGTACAGTTTTGGTTTAGTTACTGATCTGAGCGTGTTGTTGTTCTGCCAAAAGTTCTTTTTTGAGTCTGCAGTTAACGATTAATCAATAACTAAATTATATGACAAACCATTCGTTCAATATTCGATTCATCACAATAAATCTGAGGAATCGTTTCAGCTCTAAAAGAGATATGTTCTTTCTGTCTTTAAAACTCTGTAATTATGTCTTTTTCTTCCCAAATCCAAATATTTCCCTAAAATAAATGTAAAAATGGATTATATTTACCTGAATACTCATAAAAGACAGAAGAACCTTTACAAAGGCCACTGTCAAGTAGCCAGCTGCAGTCCACGTAAATGGAAACTCTTCAGATTGGCAAATCTGGTCGGACCGGGTTAAGTTCAGCGCCGCTGGCTCCGTCGGGCTCGGTTCAGTCGGGGTCACACATTCTGTATGTGAAACACAAACAGGTTAAGTCGCTGTTTCTTTAAATAAAATAAAAAATGCAAAGTTTCAACATCTTGCTTAAATTCTCTAACAATCAGAATGAAAAACACTGAAGTGAGGAAAATTTTGTTTATGCCTCAGAGCGTTTCCTGCTTTTTGATGTGGCTTGGTGTGTTTTGGTAAAGGTTTCAGGAGAAAGTATTATTTTTACAAAGAAACACAAACTTTTTTTTACCTCTTTCCTGTATTAGTTACCTGCATTAAACTTCTTAGTGGAAGATTATGTTCACTCATTACATTAATAACTCATAAGAATTTAGGATGGTTGATTTCTTAAGTAACAGGGTGCACACTTGAATTAATTGGGGATTTTCTCCAATTTAAGATGAAAATTTTACATATAGTCTCAAGTTTATATATTTGCATTGCTAATATCTTCATACACTTGAAACAAGATAAAACTAACTTTATTAAATAGTCAAATGATCTGCTGGTGGAACTTTTTAATCAACATTAAGGAGTTGTTGATGTAAAAGTAGCCTGTATATGTCGCTGAAAAGTTCATTTTGTTTTATTTCAGGTGTACTAAGATATTTGCACTACAAACCGGACCAAAAATACTTGGTAATTTTATGTTTTTTGTAGTAAAATCTCCACTTTTTGGCTGTTGGTTTGAGGTGTAAACGTTTCATTCAAGTGTGTAGGACAAGGGACAGAGACTGCAAAAACACAAAATCTTAGCAACTGGTTTTTGTCTAGTTTCTGGTGCAAATATCTTAGTTCACTTGAAATATGACAAAACTAACCTGCAAGTAACTTTTCAGCAAGATATAGGAGCTTGATTTAAGCCAATAACTCCTTAGTATCGATGACAAAGTACTAGTTCCTCTTTCAGATCATGTTACTAGCAATCTGCTAGAGGAACTAGTACTTTTTCAAATAAATTTAAAGGAGTTATTGGCTTATAAACTAGACAAAAACAGTTGGTAAGATTTTGTGTTTTTGCAGAGAAATCTCCACTTTCTGGTTGTTGGTTTGAGTTGAAGTTGAATAATTTGGAGAAACTCCTGTTCATTTAACTTGCATTGAAACAAACCCACAACATGATTCTACTCTTATTCACAGTGTCCTTTGGTTTAAAAGACTTTTTCCCTTCAAGACAGTTTTTTTTTTTTGCTCAATCTGCGCCTCGCTTCACCATAAAACATTTCTTCAGAAGACATCAGTCTTGTTCATGTGGGCAGCTGGAAATTCCAGTCAAGGTTGAAGCTGTCAGCTCTGGAGAAGGAGTTTCCTCTCAGGACTTGTTGGCTTTTAACTAAACGTCACTGTGGACGGAGATACTGCTGTTCCCCCAGTTTCCAGGTCATGACACTCTTGACCCTTATTGGTCGTTCCTGAACATCAGAATCTATTCCCTTTCATGTGAAGGCGATGAGTTGGATCTACTTCCAGACATCAGAAAAACTTTATTAATCCCCAAAAAGCACTGTGAATGCTTTCTGGATTTGCTATAACATCAATGCAAACTTATGCATCCAATACTTGTTTTTAAAACTGATTTATCCCATGAGATTAAATTAGGGAATTATCTCAGAAGGTAAGTGACTTTGGTTACAAACCAACAATTACTTTTTCCATTTGTTTTCCATCTTGCATGTTTTTACTTGGTACTAATGTAGCTCCATAAACAGAAATATCTGTTGCAAAGTGAATACAGAATCATATTCAGCGTAGTTAAAACAGCCTGCACTTCTAAAGGGTCATGTATGAGGTGTAATAAATTCGCAGCTTACCGTTAACCTTTAGAACGACGTCGCCGTCTTTGTTTTTCTGCCCAACATTTGCTCTGATGTCACATTTGTATGTTCCTGAATCTGCAGGCTTCACTTTTGGGAAAAACAGACTGAGGTCCTCTCCAAATCTAACTTCCCGAGAGAAGTTGGAGGGCTGTGTTTGATCTTTGCGCCTCCTGATAATGGGAATATCGCCCTGTTCAAAACAAACAAACAAAAACCATAAAACACAGGTTTCTCATGGGACAATGTACAGTGAGAGATTACATTTTGCAACATTACATATGGCAAAGTAAAACTGACCTTGTACCAAGTGAGGGAAAAGAAATTGTTGCCGCTGAAAACCGGACACTTAAGCAAAGCATCTTCATCGCAATTCTTTTCTTCTGAATGTCTCTGGGTTGTGTGATGCACCAACAGCAGCTGAGACAATACAAACAGAAACAGTCAAAATAACATGGCTTTTCTGAAAAGACAATTTTTAACAATTAAATCTAACTCACAATGATGAACAGTATCACCTGGGACATATTCTACACTTCATCAGCCTCCAGTGTTCACAGTGAAAGTGGGGTATTTTTCTCACTTTTCTTGAAATTAAGTCATAAGTTCTGAGAAACAGGAAACAAGAATAAATCTATGGAGAGTATACGCCCTCTGGTGGAGCCTGAGGACACTGCAGACTTTCTGTGTTTTTAACTGTTGTAAAAAGATATTTATGAGAGGAAATTCATTGAATTTGCATTAACTTCATTTGTTTAAAAACAAAAAAAGATTCAGCTTAGCCAAAACAAGGCAGATGATTCAGGATATACTAAATAGATTCATGTTTTTAGGGGTTTAAACTTTTTTACTTGTTTACTCTTTTTGAAGAAAAAAACTTTTTAGCCATCTGGAGACAGAGTGGAAACGGAAAAGCAACATCTACCCATTATTGGCATTTCCATAAAGATGCATGAAAAGATTAACTTTAGAGAAATCTAAAAATCTGTCAAATAAAATCTAAAGCATTTATTAGGATATAACAGCAGGTATCTGATGTAACTAGTGTTACACAGAGTACTGCACTAGTAGTACTGTAGTACTAGTGCAGTATACGTTTAAAATACGTTTTCAACGTTTAAAACAGAAATATTGCAATTAGCTGGCGTTGCTACGAGCAGTTCAAAAATGAGAAACTCACTCTGGTTTTCTGACTTGTCAGTAAAGTACTTATCTTTGTATTTATAAATCAAGATTTATACATTCTTTGTAGGTAAAAATACTAAATTATGCATTATTAAGTAATGCACTTAAGTATGCATTATTACAGGGAAGGTCAGCAATGTAGTATTCCCGAGCTCCTATCCAATATGGCTACCATACATTTAAAGTATTTATTAGCACTTCTGTGCCTGACATAACTGGTGTTGCACACAATATAAGAACAACCTCTGTTTGTTATATTCCTTTAGTCTCTGAATAAATAAAATACAGTGAAAGATTTTGCTAGCTGGCTAATGTTGCTATGGGTAGTTAGCATCAAATCAATTTGCAAATTCCCCAGTTTATTCGGGTTCCAGCTATTTTTCCTTTAAACTCTTGGGCTTTTCAGACACTTTTCCATTTTGGTTTCATCTTTTATTCAATAAATAAAATCCAATCCAAATAGTCTCTGCTAATCTAACGGTTGGATCATATTTGCTAAAGCCTCTGGAAATGAAAAGAGTTGTATTTTCTTTCATGACTACACATCAAACACAAGATCAGAGACAGTAATGTTAAATGTTTTTGGAAATGAAAGAGGATTTAAGAGGGTCAATGAGCTCTTTCTTCTAACAGTAGACCTGCATCAATCATTCACACACACACACACTTAAGTGTCAGGCTCATCCTGTTGTTTTGGCCACAAGGAACTAACCATTGTCTTCCTCTCAGCCGTATTATTTGTATGTGTCGCTCCTGTTGACAAAGGAGGGCGATATATGGTTATTAATAGCAGAATGACTTTATGGAAAAGGGAAGAGTGAGGTCTCTGGATTCCCCCAACTGCATCAAACAATACCTCATTCAGCAGCAGCTGGCACTGCGAGAGCAAAGGCACAGAAAGTTTTACTGATTTTACAACTGAATTTTAGTGAAAATGAGTTGTTGTTTTTTTTTTATCCTCCTCCCACTGGACTCCAGCGACTGCAGCTGCGAGCAGTTTTAGCTCCATGACCCAGAGTAAACCCAGAGCTGGACATAAACTTCAAATGTAAAAGCACGACTCTCAACATTCCTGGAATATCAGTCAGAAGCAGATGTGCTGATATTCCAGTGCTGCATTTAGCAGAAACACCCATCATAAAACACAGGGGAGTTTTAAAGTTCATCCAAACCGCTTATCACGAGAAATAAAAGGTCAGCAGGAAAGGATTTGCAGGCTAGTGGGACGAATTAAAAGATGCGTTCTTCTAGGCTTAATATTTGGTGTAAATGTGACAGAGCAAAGGGTTCGCATTCTCCATCTTGGTGCTGGAGCTAAAGGGTGTTACCGCGGTAAATCCCAGAGGTTGTTAGCACGCCCAGCTGCAAGCCTGGGCCTCCATGTTTCTGTCAGCGAGCTTGTTCGTTGCACACTCTGTCGCCTCTGATTGAGGAAATCCTCTGACTGTTTGCTCCGTTTGCTGAAATGAAACATCCCAATGGTTCCGCCGTCCCTCCCATAGGTCCTGTACGCAGAGACTTTCCCATGAAGACCACAGCATGTTTACAAGGGTTTGACAGATATATGGCTTTTTGATGGACCCGAGCAGTGCCACTGAGCTTCAGTGCCAGGGAGGAAGACAGACGACACCGCCAGATAAAATTAGCTTTTTTCACCTAAACTACTGTATCTTTGTTAGTCAAATAGTGCAACATTACAGTAATGTTTTATATTAAGTTTATTTCTAAGTGTCATTTTACATTACCAGCAGAGTTGGTAGTGTAAAAACTTACTTAAGGCAGTCACATTGACTTTAGTAACTTTTTTTGAAGAGTAAGGACCTTTAGGAGTAATTTTGCTGCTTTGTACTTCTTTATGTTTACATGAGTAATTTTATTATGAAGTAAAATTTCTGGATTTTCTACCCACTGAATAAAAACCATGTTTTATCCGGTTTTTCAGAACGCCAGCAATAACCAGTAAAATGGGCCCAACACAACCCAGTTCATGCTGGAGAAACTGCGGGATGCAGAATGCAAATCATATGCATATCTTCTGGTCTTGTCCTAAACTAAGTGATTTCTGGAAGGACATTTTTGAAGCTCTCAGTGTTATTTTCAGGAGAAATGTTCCAAAAACTCCCTTGGTGGCAGTTCTGGGAGTAATACCCGATGGAATAGACAGGAAGGGTGATAGATATCTTCTAAGTATCTTGCTCACAGCAGCCTTGAAATGTATAACTATCAGGTGACTGAAACCAGGGCCTCCTACATATAACACATGGATACAAAAAATCTGGGACATTTATCTGATGGAAGGAATCACATATTCCTTAAGGCTTCAAAAAACAGTTTTTGATATAAGGTGGAGCCCGGTTTACCTTACTAATTCAATGACGCCCTTACAGGATTGCTTGTTGGCACCTGTATGTACCCATGGGTCAGTTAGAATACCTTACTGTTTAAGAATGTGAGGACCATCCTATGTCAGAGGGGATTTAATTGTGTGCCTTGTATTTTTTTTAAATTTATTTATTTACTTTTTTTTTTTTATTTTGTTGTTCTTGTGTGATGTTTGTACTGGTATGTATTCCTTATTGTCTATGTTAGATCATTTGATGTCTCATCTTTTGTCAAGTTATAATGCAGAAGATATATGTCAGTAAGAGACAGACGAATGCAACTGTGGACATGTGTTAAAAATAAATAAAAATAAAGTTTAAAAAAAAAAAAAAACATGTTTTAACCAAAATTCACCAAACTCAGACACACACCTGCAGTTTTGATTAAGTTTTATAAGTGATTTGTGGCCTAATTGTGTTAATTTGGTTGGTATTTATAGAAATTATTGTAATTTTTTACCTTAAAAGACCAAAACTTGCACTTAATATTACATTTAGGTCCATCTAATTTTGTCATAAAATTGATCAGTTACTCAGTACTAGAGGAGACATTTTACCAAATAAATTTTTACACTTGAGTACATTTTGGCTACTCTGCCCACCTCTAGTTATGGTTGAACCTGCATTAACTGTGAAAAATATTACTGAAAGGTAGTTTATTTTCAAAATACAATTCACAAAGTACCTTTCATTAATTTATTTTTAAGTTAGAACAGGCTTATGGTCGATACAAAACATATTCATTACATTGTTTTGCTTCAACTCATTCTTAGATAATGACATTTAATCTGCTCAACATCAGCTGTTTTAGGGCTTCTGTCACTTTAAATCTACTTAAGTTGCTGCTGGCCACTCAGCTGCTGGCCACTCAACGTTTACACTCATGTGGAAATGCCTGAAAGCTGATGTGTCATTATACAACTGTACATCTTTGAAAAGCAGAAGCAGAGCCTCCTGCACAACCAACAAGAATGCAGCAAGTGGCTTCTGGATGGTAAGTCAACAACAAAACGCTTGTCTTTTCCAGCAACTAGTGCAGAGCATATACAGCACTAAAACCAGCTGACCAAATATGCTGGAACTCTGCTGGGGTTGCTCGGTAACAGTACAGTGCCCATTGAATCTGACTTAACAATTGGGAGGCTTTTGATACTGCTCATTTGTCAGACACCAAAAAAACAATAATTTATTGCTAAAACAGTTACAGGTGTTCTTTTTTTCTTTAGCTCTTGGTCTGTGCTCAGAAACAGTAGAGACCCTAATGGAACTATCAGGATATTAGTTATACAACTTTTGTTATGTTAAGCAGAAACTTTAGAATCATCTTACATTAACCAAAGAGAAAAAAGACTTTTTACTTTTTTTTTTCGAAGCTGCTTGAGGTCCAGTGTTTCCCCAGTCAGTGGGGATTCGAGAAGCCATGTCATCTTCTGGTGTTGGTCCACAACTTGTGCTGAAATCTCAAGGCAGCCGGAAATTTCAGAGTAGCTTGTGTTTCCATCACAGTGGCAGGCAGGAAATTAGCTGATGATACATGACACTAGTAAACAGTAGCTGTCTCTTTTTAGATTTATGTTTGTGTATAAATCATGATAGTAGCTACAGTGGCAACACTGCATTTTTATCTGGTTTCTAGTGAAAAAAAAATGTGTACTTGAAATAAGGCAAATTTAACTTATAGTAACTTTTTAGAAAATGCAAGAGCTACTTATTTAATATTCTTTCTTTTTTTTAACGAACTGGTTAAACTGGAGGCACTGTGCCGTTACCTAGCAAGACATTTTTCTCATGTTATGGATGAAATAATGCAGAACTTTTTCATCAATATATAGGAATTACTGACCAAACTAACACACATGTAGCTTCAAGTAAATAGTTTTTCAACATTGATTGAAAAAAGTAGATTTTTTTTCCATTTATATCAAGACATTTTCCATGTTATAAGTGAAACAATCTGCCAGTAGAACGACTGCTTTTTACATCAATATTAAGAAATGATTGACTTAAAACAAG